TATAATTATATAATTATAATTAAATATAATCATTAATTTTATATAATATAGTGATACCATACGTATAGTTGACTAGTGTACTGTATATAGTGTTGGTAATTTTTCGCAATTCAATTTTCAATTGCCGCAATTGCGGAAAATTGCGCGCATGAGCGAATGTATAAAAATTAACTTTGACAACGTTAAAAATTTTGTTTACAATAGATTAAGAGAATTTACTAATTTATTATTATTTTTACATGGTTTTTAGATGGCAACATTTTATGATAAATTAATTAAATTTTATATAATTAATTTATGTTTTTATTCATATTGCTTTGCCATTTAAATTTTGTTAATTTTTTAAAAATTATAAATTTTTCTATGTTACAATTACGATTTTCGCAATCGAGCTTTTTGCAATTGCGGCAATTTCACGCAATTTCCGAGCAATGCAATTGCGCATTTTGCAATCGGTACATCACTAACTGTATATCATGTCTTATTAATATAGCACTACAATAGTTATAAATATGGGAATCCCATATTAATAGTATAATATTGCAATAAATTAAAATTTCTATAGAAATTTATTTTTGAGAAAATTACTAGAAATTTTCTCATAGAAATTTTTTATTTGCCCATCTATAATTGCAAGCAATTGTATGCAATTGTATGAAATTGTATGCAATGATACAGTGATTGTATGTATTGTTGAATGTCTTTCATTTTATTGATAATTTGGACACATTTCTGGTCGAAAGTCACGTCTCCATCAAAGCGTCTCATTAGTTGTCACTAGTGTTTAGATATACTGTAAGTAAAGGCCTGATATGTATAGGGTTTCACTTCATTTGATGGCTAATTGTATTTAATAATCAATTAGTTTTGCTATGAAATCAGTTTATCGCAGTCTTTACTCAATTGCATAGTCTTATGATTTGCAGCTTATATTTTGTACTTCAATTGTATTTACTCTCAATTAACTTTATATTACTGTAACTATAATTATGAGAGTTGTAACAATTATTTGACTTACAATTATCGCAATTACCGTAAATCTTATAGAAATAATGAAAACTTTTACTTATGTAATAACTTACTAATTATATTTATCATTAGTTTAGTTGATGTGTTTCTCTATAAATAATGCTAATATTAATTTTAGTAATTTGTCGACATTTATTCATTAAGCAACTCATAAAGTATTATTGTGTTTTATAAATGCATTGTATTTTCTACTATACAGTATAAACTATAATTTATAGGTACTGCATACTATACTATATAATCAATTAATCAATAAATTTTAAAAAGTATAATAAGTGTCAGTAAAAAATAATTATAGTTTTGTTTTGCATATAACCTAAAATGTTTATTTTATTTATATATTACAAATTTATTTAATAAATATTTCATTAATAAATATTTAATGATTACTTACTGTATATTAAATAAGCGATGCTATAATATTATTATTTGGTTTTATGTTTTTGATCTCAACTATAGGTCGTTTAGTTGAGTAAAGTCTTATCAATTAAGTTAGGTTTTGTGAAACAATTTAATACCATAAATATTACTCCAACTTTCTATATCACCTGATTTAGAGTGAATATGAGCTCCGATACTCTGCTTACATCATTGGCCTCTGGGAATTGACATATATTTTTGTATCCATATATATATATATATATATACCAATGCTTCTCTACACTGTATTATTATTGTACTATCATTTCATTATCTTAGTTATATTGTTTTCTACATTATTGATCTCATAATAATAATTATATATACAAGTAAGTATACAGTAAATATTATGTCTATAATAATATTGATAAATATTTTATTATAATTTTCTACAAATTTTAAACATATTGTATATTTATTTATTTTTTATTTTGCATCACTCGTTTTTCCCTAACATTAAACATAATTTTAAATACAGTACAACACTATTGCTTATAAATATAAACTTTGATTTTCTGAAATGTGAATAAAATAAATAAATAAAATTGAATTTATTAAATGTTTGGTCTGAGAAATGGGGCAAAAGAATGACGAATAAATTGGTCATAAAATCAATTTTGAAGTCAAATATTTATGAAGAAATGACCGAAAAAAATAATAAATTGATTTACTTTTATTTTATTTAAGTGAATGTTTCAATAAAGTCAATGTAAAGTAAAATTAAATTTTATTCAATAAAACTCAATATAAATTGACTGCAATAATTTAAACATAGATTAATCATTAAATGATTTAAGATATAATTTGAACACTTGAGCTCTCTATTAGTAAATGATGCGATGAATTAAATATATGCCGTAAGAAACTAATGATATTATATTATGTCATTTTAAGAGTCAAACAAATCTATAGTAAAACAAATAATAATAATAATATTTGAGTTATTTTTCTCAACTCAAACAAGTAAATATATATAAGTAAATAAATTTTGGATTCACTTTTGAATTTAATTTACAATTGATTGCTAATTCAATGTTTTTATATTCACGTAAACGGTTAGCTTTAGTTGTGTTGATGGCATAAAACACAAAAATCAATATAACTTTTGCACTCTTTGTGGTTATTTTTGTACCAATGAAATAAAGTTTTTATTTAAAATTAGTTTATATGTGAAATCAAAGAAGTTCAGCTAAAAAATAAAATATTGTAATCAAATCTGAATTTTATATCAATTTTATACAATAGTGTTATATCTTTTAGTATGAAATACATTACTTTTGTTTTACAAATTTTATTATATTATATAAAAATATATATTATGTTTTGCACTGATATTTAATGCTATTTCTTACAGATTTCTTCAATTAGATTATATTATTGTGAAAAAAGAAGTATTTTTAAAATTTAATTATTACATAATTTATTATTTGAGTTTAGATATTGCAATAAATTTATTATAGACAAGAATTGTTGTGTTTGTGTTGAACACAAATAATGATAATTACTTTACTTAAAGTATATATCATTTGATTGTTATAGTTATAGTGAATTGATGTTTGCTATGATTAAGTTGTTTTGTTTGATGTAATGCTTTTTATTTGACATTTTTCTGACTTATTAGCCATTATTCACGGAGAGGCTATTGAAAAGGCAACTCAATTGTAGAGACAATGAGATACAATGAAATCATTGATAAAGAAATTCAGGGAAAGAAATGCAATGATGGCAATGATGGCAATGATGGCAATGATGGCAACGATGATAATGTTGGGTTATTCTAGCATTTGGAGGCAATTTGTGTAGAAATTTTGTTGTTAAGTTGACTGCAAATGTGATGATTGTATTGTTGATTCAATTTAGCCAATACTAGAACCACATAACCCTTGTGTCTGATGCCTAGCATTGCATTGTAGTCAATGTGTGTCCACTATATTGACTTTATTGAGTGCCGCCTCATCCATACATATAGTCTATACCTCTATATAATGCTCTATATGTTGTTAAGGCCTAACATTTACTAACATGAATGGCATCAATAACTTAATACCGTTTCCGTAGTTGATGTTGAAAATGAAATAAATGTTATAAACATAATATAGGATTTGCCTGAATTACAAACAATCAATATTTGATACATTCATTGCTTTACTATAACAAAACAACAGTAACTACTTTAGTGATAACTAAATGCAATTTGCGGAACTCTATATGCATTTACTATATAACTTATATTTATATAACTTTATTATTGTTGTTAACATATTATCATAATAATAATATACTAAACTTTTTAATATTTTTATTTTAGATTAACTAATAATTGACTAAAAAATAAATTTTAGCATAAATATCACAAAAAATTAGTAAAGTATATAAATAAATTGAATATAATGTAACCATTGAATGATTGAATTTCTATTTGATATTAACTAATTTAATAAAGAGCTATATAATTAATTAATCAAAATTTGACTACATTTTTATTTAAAAATTTATGTATCTAAATATGAACTGAATTAAGCACTAATCTATATCATAATTGGACGAATATTTTCATATGAAACATAATATAAAGTTAACGCAAACATAATATTGTATTAAACTTTTCAAGTGATGGCTAAGCCCGGGGTATTTAATATGCGTTTCTCAATCATTTCATTAAGATTTACTAATTTAATGAATGTTTTTATTGTCATTACATTTGAATTTATTATAATAAAACCTATTTTTCTTTTATTACAAATACTATGCCTATCGGCACTGCTATTAAATTATATTACACACAATAATATGAATTTATTTAAATTATTTAAATTTAAATGTTATAAATGCAAATATACAGTAATTTAAGAGTTGTATTACATTGTATAACATGTGTTAAGTTTATTTCATTTGCATACATATTGTTTGAGACGAGTCCTATGTTAAGGTAAAGTATAGTACATATTGTTAGCGACAAACCCACAGATCTCATAGAGTCTGACCATTGAATGTAAGCTTATGTATTGAGTCTCTTATTTCACATCAAATCTATTTCTCTTTTATTTATTTAAAGCCAATTATCTCTTTAATACTATAATAACTGCTAAAATTCAATTTTCTTGTAATATTATACTGATTTATCTAATTCATTAAATCAAATTAATACTTTATAATTTATATTCTTAATAGCATTAATATTAACTAATAATTAGTATAAATTAAATAACTATTGTACTTAAAATAACTAACAATATTAAATAATATTAAAATTTATGATTTATTTGCAAATATATAATAAAATTAAGGAATTCATATAATTGTAATCTAATATAACAATACTTTTATTAAATACAATAAAGACATACAAAAATGCAAACAAAGAATACAATTAAAAGCTATTTTTACTAAATATTAATAAATTAATCAGAGGTTTGGAGAGTGTGTTGTATTGTAAGTGCCGGACACCTGAGCCAACACAGAATCGCTGTGTTCTTTGGCTTTACGTCTCAGTTCATTGACGCTCGAAGTGGTCAATGAAGTGTCAGATGAGTTGGATGTTATGGTACTTGTAGTGGAAGGAGTCACCGGTAAAGGAGAGATTGACCGACTGTTAGGTAAACAACAGGCGCACAGAGCTATTGGATGAGGGCTTTAGATAATTGATTAACATTTGGGAAGCGCTAACGTATGTAACCTTTGAATGGGAACGAAGTCGAAGCAAATTGATGTGCCATTTGGGGTGTCATATGTGTCGGAACAAAAAGTGGTGGCAATGATGACAATCGACTTGACGTGTTGGCCGCCGCCGCCGCCGCACTCAATACACTATTATATCAATTGTTAGTTTAGTACACAAATAATCATTTAATTCAATAACAATACCTATCAGAAGCAGTAAATGCTGACAAAAATGAGTTCCTCAATGGAAATGTAGGTCCAAATGGATGAGTAGCAGTCAGTTCTTTAAGTAGAGAAGCACTTTCTATGAAAGACGACTGTCCGTGAAGAGAGAGCGGTGGTGAGCGTAATGAAGAGAGTGAAGATGCTGTCAAATCGCTGATTGAATGGCGAGTATTACCCGATGATTGTGTGCCAAACATTGGATTAAATAGCGAACAATTGTTGATTGATTTTTGCACGATTTGCATATTTATCTGACTTTCTGGTGTCTGTCTGTCCAATATTTTTGACTTAACAGGTGTTTCATTAGATGGCGAATCCACTGATGAACTGCAACTCATTTCTCCATTAGCTTTGGGTTCAGGCGATGAGCTCGGAGTTATCATTAGATCATTATTGGCTGAATTCTCAACATTTATATTACTTAATGAAGAGCTATCATTAGATTTGCCATTTGTTTTATCTTCTCTTTCTTTACGCAAACGTTCAGCTTTTCTCCATTTGGCTCTTCGGTTCTGTCAAATCATAATATCATTGCATTAGATGACTATCGATCACAATTGAAATAAGATGTGATGAGATCACAACTTATTGTTTGACAAATTATTATATATTATTATTATGTTATGTGAAACGTCTATACAATATTTATATCAATTTATTTCATATTTTATACATTTATTTTCTGATTAAATATATTATTTATTTATAAAACAAATTTTATAAGCAATAAAGCAATTATCTTTGTCTTTCAGACTTAAATAATATTATTAATCACATTTTATCAACTTATAAATTTATTGTAATAAATAATTGAATATATTAATTGGTTGACACATTTAATTAATAAGTTTACATTAATGCATCAAAATTTAAATTTATATGCTTTGCATGTAAATTAATGCAAAAATTAATTTGTAAAATTTAACAAAATTAACTCATGTTTTGATTCACTAATTTAATAAATTACTGCAATATATTTAGTAAACTTGAAGATAATCTAATGATTTTTCGAAAGCTATTATATAATTAAATTTGTTTTCATTAATTTAGAAATTGTCATCAAAATTGCTTAAACTTTAAAAGAATTTTATAATGTAAAATGTAATAAACGTATTGTTAAAATTATATAATAAATAAAAAAAATTACATCAAAACCAACTATTATTTTTACTTTTTATTTGCATTTATCTAATAATTGAAATGCAGTTTTATTTTAACAATTTTAAAATGAAATTATTTTTTTTATATATCAATAAATGATTAATAAAATAATTGCCATTACCTGAAACCAGACCTGTACTCGAGCTTCAGTCAAATTTATTTTCATTGCAAGATCTAAACAAATAAAGGATTACATCAAATGTTAATCAAATTATTGGATTAAATGTCAGAAATATTGTGAGACAAATACCTTCACGAGTAAAGACGTCCGGATAGTGTGTTTGTGCGAATGCTTTCTCCAGTTCCTCGAGTTGTTGTACCGTAAATGTGGTCCGATTTCGGCGCTGTTTTCGCCGTACAAAAGCGTCGTCGTGTATATCGCTCTGATAGGCGGCGTATGTCGTGTCTGTCAAATAATTATTAATTCATATGGGTTTCAATAAATAAGTTGATTAGCATATGATAATAAATATTGTTATTTTGATTATAGATTTTCTTTATATTTTATTAAAACTTAAACATTAAAAATTGATTATAAAATTGTTAACTTAAATATATTTTTACTGTACCTATATTGAATTTAAAGTAATTTGAAATATAAATACAAATAAAATATAAATTTTAAATTTAATTATATTTTCTAGATTTATTGATAAAAGCTTAAAGTTATAACATTATATCATTTAAAACATAAAAATGATTAAAAAGCTGATTATAACATAACATAACTTAATTTAATTCATTTCTTTGATTTCCGTGGTTTTATGTATAAAAAAATTTAAAATAAATTCTAAAATTGTAATTACATTTCATCTAATTTTTTAGTTATTCCATTAATAATTTGATATCTAATAATAGATATAAATTTTTTATTAGCTTAATATAATTATCTTTTAAAAAAATATTTTTACTTTTTTAATGTAAAGAAAGGCTAATATTTTTCGAGTTTATTCACAATAGTATTGTTAGTTGAGTTTTGAGTTGCATAACACATATCATAAGTATTGGTTGAAAACAAATTGTGTTATAATGTTATTCAGAGTCAATGGAAAATATATATCAAATATAATGTTTCACATATTGGATGTATATATTGATATAAGTTATATTAGATGTTTGGTATATTGTATTGTGTTATATATTGAGTTTATTTTATTTATTTGACGTTCACTTCATATAAAAAACTGTGTGCATTAAATCACTTTTGCTTTATTTAAAATAAAATTATGGCAATGATATTGAATCCAATTTCTGATATACGATTGCTTTACAACATATAAATATAATATTACTATTTTCTCTCTTAAAAACATACGATAAGATTATGCAAAAAATTTTAAATATATTTTTCTTTAAAAGCTTTGATTTAAGTCTATTTTCTTTAAGAGAAACACTGAATAATTTAATAGATATTGAGTTGAAAGTGCATTAAATTTAGATCTAATTTTTCTAATCAAATTTAAGACTGAATTATTATAAAAATTTCAAAAGTGATCTGACTTTTTATTACAACAACAAAAATAAAAAAATATATATTTGTTTATCAAATAACAAAAAAAAACAAAACTTTAACTAAACTTATTACTAAACTAAACTAAAATATAAAATTATTATCACTTACATGGAGTTCCACTCGAATACATGGATAGAGTTGGCATTGATGTGGGTGTTGTGCTCGAGTGATGATGACTTCCAACGGGTGTACCGATCGGACAGTGATAACAAAACATCGTTTGCTAGTTATTATACTTTTGATGATTTTATATATTTATATTAAATTATGTTATTCTATAAAAAACAATTATATAATTTTTTTAAATTTCAAGTATTAATTTATTACAAACTGTTAATGCATTAATGTACTTATCTATACTGTAAATATACTTAATATTTATGAAACTAAAAAAATAATAGTTTTATTATTAATTATTATTAATCACTAGATAAAAGAAATCTTAGTCATATATAATGGTATTTGTATTTTAAAACATAAATAATTTTTTGTTATGTAAGCTAATAATACAATCTTAAATTGAAAGTTAATTTATGAAATTATAAAACACTATACAGTATAATATAATGAAATATAATATGGAAAGCAATAAACATGTGAACCTCTCGACCACTTAAGACATTAAGATTTGATTGTTGACATTATTGACATTAAATTTGGTATAATTTAGATTCCATTAACTCGTTTCCGATTTTCAAACACAAAACTATATAATTTTTATTATTAAGATTTACATCAAAAGCCACCACTCTTTTAAATTTTTTTATTAAAGTTTAACTTTTTTGGGGTAAATTTTTCTATGAGGAAATCATTAAAGTAATCATTAGATTGTATAGCAAATGTATTTTAATTCAAATGCTATATACTATTGAGTGACGGATCTATTTATTTAATTGGTTACGGGTTTGTATTACAATCATAACGTTATTAGAGTACAGTATAGCCATTACTCATAAAAATTACAATTCAAATCATTCAAACTTTATTAGCAATGCATTTATGTGTTGATGTGTTTCACATTTACGCCCGTAATGTCTCTTTCGAGCACTACTGCCATACAATCTCTAACACTAATCAAACCATACTTTCCTTTAAAAAAAACTTTTTATCACTTATATTATATTGAATTTGAATTTACAACTATTTTTTTTTTATTGATAAGTATTATTTAAACATCACATTAATATTTAAAGAAAGTGCATTTAAAAAATTAATAACATTTATAAAAAAATACAAAAATATATAATAGCTTTATCAATATACAATAAATGGGTATATTATCTTACCATTAAATAAGATGATGTTACATTTGAGCACATTTTTGACAAATATGATAAAACAGTGTTTTCAGTGGGTTTTGTTAGACTGGATGTCAACTAGAAATGAATCGGCATTTTGTATAGGATATGATAGCATTTGTTGGATTGCCTACACATTGATTGCCGAGTATAACAATGATGTGCTATTGGATGAGTGGTCCGCTTAGGGCATGGAATATGCCTTCTCATCGATTTTGTAATCTCTATAAAGTCTAACCTCAATAGAGGCGGAGTTCCGACACCACTGACAACATTAACTGCATTGACTCTTCAATCAAATAATATTTATATTTACATCTTTATATTTATTGTTTTCCAAGTTTAAACTTTTATGTCAAATCCATTGGCAATTTATATTATATAAAAAAAATTATGATAATAAAAAATCAAAAATCAAAACTGAATTTATATGATTCATTTGAAAGTAATTTTGATTTTCAGGTTTTTGAAACTTAAAGTAATTTGTAAAGTAATGTGCAAAATAGGAAAAGTGAAAAAAGTAATAAAACATTTTGCATTTTAATTTTAAAAATGTTTAACAAGAAAATTGTGACAAAATTTATTTTCCCTTATGATTGAAACAAAATTTTGTTATATTTGATTATTGCTATTATTATTTTTTTTGCTGAGATATTTGACAGAAATAACTCATAAGTTATATTTTTATTGAATAATTCAAGAGACTATCAATTGGTTTAGACGTCAGTCGAAAAGATACCATACATTGTGTTATTGGTGCTGAGGTCAGTCATACTAAAGTATTGATAGCAAAAATGATGGTGTGTAGCAATGGATGGACAAACAATGGTATAGTAATGATTACATTAGATAACAAGTATTGTCGCATTGAATAGGGCTCAGGCCTGTCATACAGTACATCAATTAGCAGTCATTAGCCTCGGGGGAGATCAGACACATGAAGTGCTTCTATTGGTTTCAATTCAATTACCAAACTTGTTATTAGAGAGAAAGAGTAAATGTGAGACAACTATATCAACGAATAATTATTTGATAGTCAATTGTGATGAGCTCTGAAGTTCACATAATTTAACTGAATTTTATTCAATTCATTTCCTAAAACCTGTATATATAGAGCACATGCATTGTTACGACTATTTAAACAATTTATCACTTCATGTAAATGAACTCAAATTAGCTTTTCTTTGCAATGAATATAATGAGATGTTATTTATTGGACTAAGAGTTAGTCATCTAATTATAGGAATGAACTCCTCTTTAATTAACAAAATGAACGATTGATGGCATAGAGTATAGATAGTATATACAACACTTAAAGCACATCCAGTACTCTATAGATTTATTGAATAACAGCACAGAATATGGCACTACTTTTCCCTTAGCTTTAACTCTATTATACTTGTTATTGCCGTATAATAGTAAGATCGACTCATTCATTATATAATACATAGTTTGGATAAAAATGGATAATAAGGGATAGTAAGCACTAGTGAATGGAGTTATCCAATAATATTGATGTAAAGGTGTTGAGGTATTGGCAAACAATAAGCTGTGGTCTCTTTCAAGCATAACATTAACAATTGTGTTATCATTTGTATGTGATTTTTGCATTGCATCGCATCGTTTACTATTATACTGTATTTCAACACCAGTCTCTCTCTCTCTCTCTCTCTCTCTCTCTCTCTCTCACTCACTCACTGAGTCTCATTCATACTAGTACTCTATACCACTGGGCATTTCAATTTTGGCATAAAATTAATTACAAGTGTAGGAAAACTATTTATTTTATTATTGCACCAAAACTAAAGGCGAGTCCAGGGATTCACTTTTGTTGCGGTTATCCCTTCGGAATGAGACATCAGACCATCATATTATCAAACCATTGGTTAACACTATTGTAATGTATCGCTCAATGTTAAGGAATATACTAACAAATGACCTCATCTTGCATTACTACTACCAGTGCTAATAATTTGCTATAAATTATTGCATTCTCTATTTGTTTAGTTATTTTTAACTAAAGAGTCAATTCATTTGAGGAACAGTTAGCTATCAGATCAACCATTTATTGCTTCATTCATTACTCCTGAGATTTTTATACATTATATGACAATATGAATGCAATTTTCAAATTTGCTTCAAATGTAAAAATAAGTTCAAAGTCTGTTAACAACACTAAGTGCTAATCACACATACAATTGTCACTCGGGATTTAATTTGGGGAACTATTGCTGACACTCATAATACAGCACTGGTAGACATACAAGTCTGCACTATTTGAATAAACATTTGGCGATAAATCTGTCTTTAAAAGACATTAATAGCAACAAAAAATACAAAATTATGTTATATCTAAATAAATAGACAATATATACAGTAGTTGTTAATTACTTTTAGATTTTTAACATTTTATTCATTAAATACTAAACAATATATTTTATTACACATGATTTATCAAATAAAGATTTAAGTGATTCAAATTTGTGATAATTTAAATAAATATAATTCAATTTCAATACATTTAAAATAAACAATTTATGTCTATTTTACTTTGAATTAGTTTTATAAATTCTATTAAATTTCAATAATAAATACTTAATGACTAATACTTTTTTATAAAATCATATTATTTGTGTTTAATTTGTTAATTTTATTGATAGATAAATTTATCCAATCTTTTATTCAACTACTATATAAAATAGATAAAACTTGTATTTTAAAGACAAATTTAAAAAAGTTAATAAGATTCATATACTTATTCAACTCAATTTAAAAAAGCAAAACTAAATAACACCAAAATATATTAGTAATTCATATTCATATTAGTCAATCAATTGAACCAAATGTTGTTTAACCCAAATATAATTTATTAAAATAGTAAGTTTTACTAATTATTGCTATTAAAATTGTAATTTTTAATTAATTGTAATGAGTATGACAATAATATTTAGTTAAATTTATAAGTACTATAATTACAATTAATAATACGATTTAAGTCAATTAAATTTGATTATTTTTTATATTGACTCAATTAATTTAAAGTATATGAGTTTAAGTTCAATATAGTATTATTTTAATACAGATATTGTTAGTTTTGGTACTTATGATTTAGACTTGTTTTAGTTTGACATTTTGTATGTAATTTTAAGAATTAAAGTATACTAAAGAAATAAGAAATTTTAATAAACATAAAATTATTTAATTATTAAACTTATTATATTATTATATTTATGTAATGCAAACTTGTACTTAATTTAGTTTTATTATTATAATCAATGGGGAAATATATGGAGAGAAAAATGAGAGATAGATAGATAGAGAGATAGAGAAAGAGAGAAAGAGAGAAAGAGAGAGATTGTCTTTTTTGCCATTAGTGCGATTAGACATCAATCTGAAGTTAATGTATAAATGTGTGTCTATTTTAATTTAATTTTATAGAATTGACTTCAAAAATGAAAATTAGTTTAAATTTTTGTACAATAAAATTAGTAAATTTATGCTTAAATTTTATGCTTACTTTTATTATATAAAAATTAAGTTTGAATAATATCATTAAATTTGATGAATCACTCTATTCAGTAAATTTTTAATGAATTCTAATATAAATAATTAAATATTGATATAAAGTTTACTGAATGTTATTATGAAATTATTTAAAAGTTTTCTTAAAATACTCTCCACTAATATTAAATTTTTATAATTTTAAAATGTATTTATATTTACATGTGTTTATAAATTGTTTTAATATAATTTAAATACAGTATAGTGTATATAATATGATTATTATTAGTGATATCGATGGAGTTCAGTTCAGATAAATTTTGTAATTTATAAATTAAATAATAAAAATGGTTTATTAATTTCAATGGTTTTATTAATTATTAAATACACACATATATTATATATATATATACTGTATATATATATATAATGTTGTCTCTTTAATAAAAAAATAAATCAATAGAAATAATGTTAAAATTTAATGAGTAAATTAATTAATTTAATAATTTGTTTTTGCTATATATTAAGCCAAATTTAATGATATTCTTATTATTTACTAAAAACAATTATTTTGAAAAATATTAAATGTTTAATGTATTAAATTACTTATTAAAATATAGAATTAATTAAATAATCGTATTATTATTATTGAGTATATATATAATATTACTAACACTCAGTATTTAAAATTTACTGAAAAAATAAAATTGTATTTTTAAATATTATTTATTAGACAAAATATATATAAAAAAAAAATAATAATTATTATGAACAAATTACAGTATTAAATTAATATTCAATACAATAATGTATTGACAATTGTAAACATAATAAAAATGTCAATTAACAGATAATTGAAACTATGAAATGCATTGTTTAAATGAATTGACAAAAACTTAATTTATAAAATATTGTTATCGTTGTGCGCCACGTCTTTGACCACCTCTTGATGAAGCAGCGCCTCCTCGAGAAGCACCTGATCTCTGATTGTTTTGACCCTTTAATTTTGGTGGCGGCGACTTAGGTCTAAGTGTTTCTACTCTTTCGGGACAACCGGTCAGATAACCATTCGGACCGTTAAAGTAATTACAATAAGTATCACTATTAAAGTTACTATTTGTAAGTCCCGGTCCTATTGTTAGCCAACCGGGTCTTATAGTGGAATCCCTACCAAATACATGAAGTCGTCGTCGACCTAAACAAAAGTGTTCAATAATATGAAATATCTCTTCGGGCTTTTGAATGGATCCGTATTCAAATTCTTCACTAATTATTAAATCGATGTCAATATTTGCGTGAATAAACTCTCCGTCAGTACTTCTTCTAACAGTGCCTTTGATACCCATAAGACAATGTTCTTTAGTTCGTTGAAAGAGAGCGTTTTGTTCCAAATTCTTGGAATGTCCCGGAGTTTTGATGTTTGTCTTAATCCAACAAATATCTTCACACCTCCTAAATCCCCACTTTTTAAGACATTGACGACCTAAGTCTAAACCATCACTAGAACCGCACCACAGAAAAACAAATGATCGCTGAGCGGCCACTTCTTCTAATTGCAAATTCATGACATCACTCCAACTACAGAACTCTGTATTTGTCACTCCATGTGTTCTCTGATATTCTTCAAGTGGCGGCTCAATCAACATGACATCAAACTTGCATTTAATGTCTTTTAAATCAAAATGTCTTAAATCACATTTCAAATACATGGGAGGAGTGGCTGTAGTGGCAATCAGTTCATCCTTAAGACGAATTAATTCTTTAAGTTTTGGGTACTCTTCAAACCGGTCGGAAAGGCCGACGTCTCGGATAAAATTCTGTGGCCTCTGACCCGTGTCTACAAAGTGTTGGCAATAATCGTTGTGTGGATTTGCACTTTGAGTGCCCTTTTAATCAAAATAGTAATATAGTTAATAAAGACATCAATCAAATCCATTTAAATAATACCTTCAAGAAAGTACTCGAATCGGTATAAGTGACCACTTCTTCCTTTTCGGCAAATTCTTCACTTTTATCCCATTTTCGTTTCGCTTCGTTTTCTTCTATATCTTTATGACTTGTCTTATCATTTTTATCTTCGTGTCCAACAATGCTATTATTGGCGGCAAATATGTCGCCGACATCTTTCAGTGTCATTAGGTTATCACTGGATCTATTGTCATGTCTTTCGCTATTATATCCCAATAGTTCAGTAAATTCATTGTCGTCTTTTGCATTTAACTGTAAATATCATATAAATAAATAAAATTATGGATCAAATAGTAGATCTAATTAATTCATTAATATATCAAATAATAACAGACCTGTTGTCGCAAAAGATTGCGACGTCTTTTAGCTTTGCTTTGCAAGTGTTTGATCATTGCGGCCGTCATGTCCTCAATGGTCACCGATTACACAGACTATCAATACATCAAATATCACCACAATTTGGTCACAAAATATCAATCAATATAAACATCAATTCATTCACTCATACAATGAAATATTCATCTGTTTTGACGTTTTATTTGATATTTTAAACATTTTTTTGTATATTAATTGTTATATAATTTGTTAATTAATTGATTAATATATTAATAAATTAAATGTAAAATAAAATATTTTTAATTAATTTTGTTGTAAATTATAAAAAAAAATTAATAATTAATTGTTATTTATATTAAATTAAATGAATTTCCAATTTGTGACGTAATTTGTGTATAAAAATTGTATTTAAATTTAGTGTAAAACGTGTAAAACATTTGTCGGACACAACTCCCGACTCCCGACTCCCGAAGCTTTCGACACTAAAACTGACCGCTAGAATGGATTTCGCGCGTAAACAGTTGTTGTCAATGGGATGGACGGATGGCCAGGGATTGGGCGTCAATGAAGACGGCATCACAAATGCTATCAAACCGAAGATCAAGTTTAACAAAAACGGTATCGGCTTTGAGGCCAACGAGTCGGCCAATCAATGGTGGAACCAGTCGTTCAACTGTTCGGCCAATTATATAGACTTCAAGATTAGTCAAACACAAAGTGGTCTCAAAGTAAAGGAAAAGAATTCGTCTGTTGATAACAAAAACCATCAAAAATATAGCAATTTTGTGAAGAGTTTGCCAAATGAAGACATTGATGACAATTGTGACGACAATAGCGATAATAATTTGTTATTAAATAATAAATTAATGAAGAATTTAGATTTTGAAGAAGTATTTCGCAAATGTAAGCGACGGACAGCACATAAGGCCTCACGAATTGGTATCAAAATGAATGGTAAACTCAAGAGACTTAAGGAACAGGACGAAGAATTTTTGAAAAAGTTTAAGAAATTAAAGCAAAAATGATTGACGACTTCTTAAGACTTTAATTAAACGAACGTTTAGTTTAATCTTTAAATTATTAAAAGTAATCTGTTTTTAAAAACTTTGTAAAGTAATTGCAAATTAAGATATTTTAGTGATATTTGTTTGCCATTTGTTTGATTGAATGGCATATAAAGCAAATTAAATGTGTTTTTAATTTATGTTTCAAATGAAATGAATGTCAAAATTGAATCCAAAAGATTGTTTTATGTGATCACTAAATGGTATATATATTTGAAACCCAATGACTTATTATTAAATATATATATTGTATATATATATAAAAGTTTGCCATAAGATGTCGATTTTAGAGATTAGCATTTGAAGGAATCAGATATTGAGATATGAATTGATTTTTTTAAAATTTTAATACCTTTTCTTATTTCATCCTTCACTACACACCGCAGTAATTGTCAAATATTACATCAAAACAATGTTTAATCTCTTTTTTAATGTTAGTCTTAACATAATTTTAGCGCTCAATCTGACAGTGAAATCACTCCCTGTGCTAACATTGCCCATCCATATGCCGTACACTCCCTTTGATTATGATTTTTAGCTATTTTTCTTTTACAGAACAAACAAATGCTTAACTAAGAGATTGATTATTGCATTACAAAGAATGCAATCACTCATTAAATGCTAGTTTTAAATACAATAGACGGGGTGTCGGCTATTGTTGATTCAATGATCAAACCGTTTCATATCTACTATTAGTTATACGCAATAAATTTATCAAAATCTTTTGAAATATATATATATATATATATATATATATATATATATATATATATATATATATATATATATATATATATATATAAAACTTATTTTTAAATATTAAAAACTAGTGGTTAGTCGATATATTTCACGCTAAAAATTATTAAAGTTTAAAAATACATCAGAATTGATATATTGATGAGATATGTAACATATCATATGTTCATCAAATTGCAATAACATTGCTTATTATTTGGCCAAAAAAATATATTGTCAATACACTAAAAATCAATAATAAATTTTAATAATCTTATAGCTATAGTCTTAAGTCATAAAAAGTGTTGTTTCGGTCACACCCAGGGTTTGTCTTTAAGATTGTTTATTAAGACACCGGACTCTACTGTTTTTTATTTATTTATTTTTTTTGAGAACAAGTTTCTAATTCATTCATTTGTTTTGCGCCAAACATTTTTTGATTACTTTGTATTCAATCAATTTAATTGTAAACAATTTTTTTTAATAATGAGTTTATTATTTATTACAGGTTTGTTTAAAAAATTTCATTAAATTTTAACCCAAAAAATCACTTGTAAATTATTACAATCATTACTATAGTAATATTGTTTTGATGATGTCCTTCATTACTGTTATTTTCTATGGCTTTAAGCCACTAAAATACTTCATGCATTATGTAATTGCTGGTAATGGGATATAAATATAGGGGTATTTGAATGTAAAACATTTAGTAATTATTATGACTATTGAATAGTCAATTTTTGTTCATCCAAACTTAACTATACATAAAAGAATTTTGATAAAAACTCATTTGATTTTGTTTTTTTTAAATGTTATTATTTAAAATTTATTTATTTTTTATTAGATCATATTATTTGTAAAATATCGATAACAAATTGTAATTTTGTTATTATTGAGTTTTGAGTAAAGAAAATTAAATAATTTATTCAATAATAAAATTATATAATTTCTTATTTTCTTATATTTAAGTTTTGGATTTTATTAAGGAATGGTTTACCAAAAGTCTAAACCCGTTTGCAGTATATATCGTTTACATATAATAGCAGTGAAAGCAATGAAACTTTAGTTTTAGCTGTAATTACAAATCTTTTAAATATACAAAAGCCTTGTATTTAATAACAAAAATAAATATTAGTATTTTTCTGGTGTCCAACTCATGAAAGGTCTGCAATTTTGAAGATAATTTATGAAATCTATGGTAAAAAGTGAGAGGACTTCATATTTTGATAAGTTGTTAGACAAGTGCTCGCGTTTTGATTGTACAGCCGTTTGATTGTAAAAGTAGTGGCAAAACAACTTTAGAAAACTTCTATTTATTTAAAGATGTCTTAAATGACTCAAACAAGTGTCAGATCCAAAGTTTTTTTGAATGTTTGCTCTTTTCATTGGTATATAAATTGAAGAAAAAGATAACAAAACCCTAACATTATAGCTGTCATAAAAAAGTGATGGCAAGACGTCAGGCACACGGCTACACATACATACAAACCGGTGCTAAATATCACTACAAAAAATCATAATTTAGTTTATTTCAAAACTATAACAAAATTTTCAATTAGATATGAATTTATATATATATATATATATATATCAATCTGGGTATAATTCAATCACATATTTATTCAATAATATGATATATAAACGTTAAATATAGATTTTTCATGCATGGATTTAGACTGTTAAAGATATTATAATTAATGGTTTTCAGTTATTATTATTTAAGCTAATTATTGATTTGCTGTATATTATATACTGTATATACTGTATAATATTATATATTTGCAATTATACTCTAAATTTATATGTTATATAGGAATTTGAAGAAATAAACAAAAATTGAATAATAAGTGCACAACGCGTGCAATCATATCATTTTAGACGACTTGTTGCCACAAAAATATGTTAAATATAGTATTTTATATATTATATCATTTAATAACATGTTTTTAATGCCTAAAAACTTTATTTAATATTTTATATAATGTATCGATAATTATATTGGCGAAAACATTCCAATATAAAATCATTTATATACTGTATATATACAGTGATAGTGTTATATATACTGTACTTTATATGATATATATATATTTTATAATATCTGAAAATAATTTTAGTTCATTAAAAATATATTTGAATTATTCAATCACTGTTTTTCTCAAATATAACAAATGAAATACAGGTATTAATGTTTTGAATACTATTTTCAATGGTCTCTCCTTTTTTGGAGGGATTTGGATGAAAGACAACACGATTCAGTGTAATCTTATAGACAATGTTTTGGACTCACGCTATGGTTGGGCTCAATATAGGGACCTATCAGGGGTGGAGAACTCCTTACAGGACTCACCTGAGCTTATCCTTGAAGAGACACAACACCTGAGCTCAGAGACCACTCTAAGCTATAAATTATTACTTTTAGTGCCATTTAAACCCCACTACTAATGGCTTTATAGTAAATCATGTTTTGCTTTATTTTTCTCAATGTTTTATAGTATATGATAAAAAATACTGTGAATACATATATTTTAATGCTAGTATATTATATACTTTGAGTTATATATATTAATAAATTTATATATTATGTTTATATTTCAGAAAAAATTGGATAATAATTTAATTTAAAGCAATTGTAATAAATAGGAATTTAGTTTTTGACTTTCAATATTAGATTTAAACAAATACAGTATAATGTATTTTAAAACTGTTTAAAAATTTTATGTTAGGCTAACCCTAAATATAGAAAGTACAGAAAACACATAACATTTTATTCATGTTTAATATAATAAAAGAAAATACTGTACTTTGAAGTGGACTTTCATTTTGAAAAACAAAATCATTTATTTCAGACCAAAGGTTAAAGAAATTATTTTTTGTATTATAGAAACTTTTGAAGCGTAAAGTCAATGAATGTAATAAACTTTTTTATACATTTGATTGTTAAGTAAAATGTTATAAAAGCAATAAATGTTTGCCAAATTGTGGAGCAATGGTTTGGTTATAATATGAAATATATTTTTGGTCCTCAAGTACTTCATATAAAAATAATTATATATCCTTTTTCAACACTTGATGATAGCATTAAAAGCATATAAAGAATATGAATCTATTGTTATATCAAATCTTTGTCTTCGTTTAAGAAGATTGTGTCTCTCCTTTGACTGCGACCACCTGTCAGATGAATAAATGAATCTATGGGTAGATCCTTGAGATTCACCACAAGTGATGTCGAGAAATGGGAAGAGAGAGAGAGAGAGAGAGAGAGAGAGAGAGAGAGAAAGAAATATTCATTGAATAAGTTGTACTATTAAGATGAAAATAAATAAATAAAACGAGATTTCAAAATTAAAATTAATGAGAGAATGAGATTAAATTTCAGATTGAAAAATAAAATTCGCAACAAAAGCATCACAAAAGTAGTTTTACAACAATATATAAAATTATTTTTTATTAAAAAAACTCCAACATATATACTATACACAAACAGAGAAGTGTTTATGATTTTATGTAAATTTATTTTTCTTTACTCAATATATTCCGATATATTTATGTAAACTCACTGTTCAGTAATAATTTAAGGGAAAGAAACATAACTATAATAATAATGTTGTGTGTGGTGTATGTATTATTGTGTGTGTGTGTGTGTGTGTGTGTGTGTGTGTGTGTGTGTGTGTGTGTATATGTGTTTGTGTGTGTCTATAATGTGTATCCAAGAAAAGGTTCCCATGATTTGGTGAAACAGATTGTAGTCAAGAGTGTGACTGTATTGAACTTATTGTGATTTAAAGACAGTATTGAAATATAGAAGAGAAGAGAAGGCAGACGGAGAACACTTTCCTTAAGGAGATCTAACAAAAGCATGTGATTCACGAGTCAGTCACTGACCAAATGCCAGATGCTCTCAGCTCTCAACTAAATATATTTATTTCATTTTAAGACTCTCTCTCTCTCTCTCTCTCTCTCWCTCACTCACTCACTCACTCACTCACTCATTCATTCACTCACTCACTCACTCATTCACTCACTCATTCACTCACTCACTCACTCACTCACTCACTCACTCACTCACTCATTCACTCATTCACTCATTCACTCACTCATTCACTCACTCACTCATTAGCTTACTTTTCTCCATTATTGAAGCAAATCCCGGACTTCTAGTGAAAAGTTATATACAGAGTCTTAGAGAACTTTAAAGTTATTAAACGAAACCAATAAAAGACTGTTTGACGAGACAACCACTACAACAAACCTACGCATAAAAGTGTTATATCTCTGAGCTCTTAGAGAAGTCCATATAATGTAAGAGATGATAGGTTTTAGAGATTATATGATGGCTTTTAGTGGTAATACTGTATATATAAAATTTGAATCATCATTATGTTGAAAAATTGTTTCCTAAATTAGTTTGCTTTATTTTAAGATAATGAAAATTACTATTTATGGTTATATGAGATAAATTTAAGTTATGTTTATTTATCTGCAATTGCAAATGCATTACATACAGTATACGTTTAGGTCCTCCCATATCCAAAATAGGACAGTTTGTTTTTTAAAAGAAAATTTATGAATTGACCAAAAATTTGTGGCATAAAATTATTTTGCACATCAAAAGTCTATAAGTGTTGGTATGAATTGTATGGCACACGTGATATAAGGAAGCCATATGTCACAGGAATGTGATTCACGCGAATTGCAAAATAGTTTAGATGTCGGACCCACTGATCCCATGAATCCTTAAAAACTTTATGGAAGACTAACTGTTGTAAACATTTTTTAAATATTATACTTTCTTTAAAGCGAATAATTTTTTGTTGAAATGATTTCGCTTTTGGGTTAATGTTATATAAAGAGATTTTGAATGAGGACTTGTGTGGCGCTGACATACCTAACCAATAGTGAACACCTGTCAGGAAAAGCCTAATTAAAGAGAGGAAATGCCTCCCGTTATGAAAGTGGTTAAAATCTTTAGCTAAAACTAATTTAACGGATAGTCTGCCTTGAAATGCATAACATCCTTATCGAGATTTTTCAATCAAAATTAAAGTTACATTAATTTTGATATTAATAGAAAAAAAGTTATTTTTCAATGACTTTTCATTTCATTCACTTACGAACAAAGACTAAACAAAATAATAAAACAAAATAACTTTAGGCTCTTTCCAATTATTAACAAACCTTTTATCGAGAATTTAATTAATTTAATACAATTTTTATTAACACATTAATAAAATATTTATAAATCAGCGATAAATTCATGTCCTGTTGTCCACTAAATATTAATTATGTTTAGATTATAAATAAATAATAACAATAAAAAATTATTACTTAAAAATAAATTTCTTTATTCAACAAACAATTCATAAAACATCACAATTTGAGTTTCATTTAAAATGCAACTCATGTCTAAAGTCTAATATAATTATATAAATAACTAATAATTCTATGCATAAAATGATAGTTTTGATTATAAAAATAGCTGTTTGTATGAATTTATAATATAATAATAATATGTTATACAAGTTATAAAGATTCAAAAATAGTAATAATAATATGTATGAATGTTTAAATATATGAATATTATATTACAATAATTTACAAAATGCTTTTGTTTGATAATAATGAGCGATAAAAATGAATTGTACTTTAAAATTGTATAAATAAAATGATAATAAATAGTTAAAAACAAAATCTATGGACTTTGCGGAGCAAATGATATATTATGTTTGGCTAATATGTTGTCCAGTATAGGGTTAGGAAGATATTCTTCCTGGTCTTCATCAGCGCAGGCAACTAATACTACCTGATCTGAAAACGATACACTTTTCTTAAATGCACTCTTTTTTCTTGTCATTTGCTTATTGTTATGACAATTAAGATCATCGGTTGTGTTATTCATTGTCTTAGACATTGTATTAGTCATTGTATTCACTGTCTGTTGCTTTTGTTGTTCTGAAATCAAAGCTTTCGAGTCATTCAATTGTGACTGAATGGGCAGTGACTGAGACTGAGGTGATTGTAGAGTCGGTGGTGTTGTTGTATGTATTGGCAGTATATGCTGGGGAATAGCTCTCAATTGTTGCCCACAATTAACTTGAACTATATTTCCGCTGGCGTTCATATAAAAAGGTCTTTGTTGTTGTTGTGCAATACTAAGGCCTGGCTTCTCTTGTCTTAACATACCTATCCTTTTCATAGCTGTTTGATAATCAGGTGGTTTATTGGGCCGAAAGGCAGTCGATAAGCTGTTATTAACTGAATTTGGAGTATTAATTGGACTTTGGATCGTTAGTGGACTCACATCGGGATAATTGTCATAATTGTCGCATTTGTTAATCTCTAAACCGGCTATCAATGGCTTCAATGAAGACAATTGTTCTCTTTTGTCATTTGTTTTTATAGGTACACTCCTATGCGTTCCGTTATGTATAGGTAAGGGTGGGATAGACTCTATCCTATCCTTTCTGAGCGATTCATTAGTTTTGATGCATTCAATAGGATTTTCAGTGGAAATAAGCATTTCTTTGGTAACCATTATTTTCTCAAACTTTGAGGTTAAATCTTTTACAGAAGTGAGTCCCGGATTGTTGTCGACCGTTGGTTCGTTTGTTTCGTTATTAATGATTGTTTTGGAGGAAACACTTTTAGTAATACTGATTGGCATCTCTTTATTAATTGGTTGAGAATGAGGAGGAGTCGCAGCAATTAAATTGTTTGACTCATAATTATTATGATTTAATGAATTCATATTATGATTGACTATTGAATTATTAATCACAGACTTAACATTTGGTCCGAAATTTGAATTTTGTAAACTCATGTGATTTATCAGTTCTTTTGGTCTATCAATGAATGCTCCGTCAATACAATCACTATTTTTAAGGTTAGACTTCATTATTTCAGCTCTTTTTGAAGTCAATTCTTTTAAAAAACTTTTTTCATTGCTAATCGTCTCACTTGTATTAGATGGTTGTTCAGGTAAAGGAAAGGTAGTATTGATTGCTTTAGTTTTAGGTGGAGTGGGAGGACGGGGTAATTGATTACTTTTATAAAATTGATTATTATTTTGTATAATTTCTTGATTTCTCACATTAGATATCACACTTGTATTATAAATGCTATCAATTGTATCGTATGTTTTTTCAATGAAAGGTGGACTCACTTTAAGAAGTGCTGGTCTCTGATAAAGCCCTCTTTCTGGCCGATGTGACTGATGGAAACCTTTTGTGCTGATTTGTGCTATTGTTTTACACTCAGATGATGTATCATTAATGGCATCATTGGCATAATTATTGGTACCATTTTTGATGATGTCCTCTCTAAGGTCTGGAAGAGATCTATTTTTGCGTTTCATGAACCCACCCATTAATAACTTTCTCTTAACTCTATGCTGTTTCTTGGGAACGGCAGGCACATCAACTTCACCGTAAATCTCAGTATCATTTTCTCTACAGCTCACAGATCCAGAAATACTTTTGTGGACCGACTGTGCTTTTCTTGTTCCCTCCCACTCACTATAATAGTCACTATAATCTGATTCACGCGATGAGTGTTTCAATAGATTTTCATTATTCATTTGCAATACTTTGGAAAAGAGTTTCTTTTTAGATCCCTTTTTGGGAAGAGTTGCATACAATTCCAATGTCTTTCCGGCAGACATTGAATTATCACAAATTCTCGAATGATTGTTAGTGTCAACTAAAGTATGATTTGTTGTCAACTCTTTATTTTTGGTGTCTTTATTATCTCGACTTCCCTGTCGACTATGTTTGCTGTGTGTACTGTCTCGACTCCCCTGTCGACTATGACTACCCATAACAACTAATTGTTCCTTAACTCGTCGTCTTTCTTCGGTTTCAATTTCATTAATTCTTTTGTGAAGAGTAGCGGATCTCATAACACAAATTGAATGTTTCATTTTGGCAGTGATTAGAGTTTGATGGTTACTATAGGGCGCCTCCATTGCTGAGCGTGCTTTCAGTGCTGCTGAATCAGTCAGTACAGCAGCAGTTTTAAGGTCGCCCTCCCTTTCCTTTTCGTGCGACTTCAACAACAAAACATCAGCGGCTGAACATAGTTTGTCGCAGTCATGTAATGATGATGTGTTTATCATATCCATGAGTCGAATATCTTCAGGTATAGGAGTGATAGAATCACATTTACTAATCACATCTTTATTTTGATCGCTAATCTGAAAACTGGTTGAACTGCTATAGCCTGAGGTCGAAGACGAGGCGCACGACGACAACGATGACGAGAGGTTACTCTTCTGGTAAAACAGTATATAAGCGTCAGATGTTATGATCGACGACTCACTAATTGGCACCACTTTTGCATCATCAAAATGATACCAACAGTTGTCAATTGGGTTTCGACAATAGGCTGTTCCAAAAAAAGTGATAATATTATTACTAATTGGTTTACTAACAATTGTTTTTTAAATAATAATAGTCATACACGTATAGTGTCCGCTCTGCATATTTCCCTTATGATTGCAGACGGCGTACAAATCATAAGTTGTGTCATCACTTTTCAGTCGAGACCTCTTCCACGGTGACCAAAGAGTTGGTAAATCAGAGTTCGCGCAACCATTTGTTTGTTGTCGCGGTTCCAGATATAAACTCATATCTGATTATAATTTTACGTTTATAAATAAAATGTAAATGAAACCCAAACTATGTTATTACATACCCAAACCATTTTGAGGAAACACTACATGAGTGGTCACTTTATTTCGTTGTGATTGAGATGATTGACGGAAACGTTTTAAATGAATAATAAAGATATCGGGGACGGACCACAAATTCAACTTTTTAGTACACTGTTGCCGCCGCTTACATGACGGACAAGTCCAGGCATTATCGGCGCACAACTGTTTAATTAATACCAAATAATTAATTAAATTATAAAATTAAATAATCAAATATAACAAACCTGTTCTTCTTTAAAATGCATATCAAAGCAATCACTAAGTGAAGCCCTATTAGTCTTTTGAGACCTGGCTTTAGCCAATTCAATTGAATGGTCTACTATTGAGTCGTTCATCTGGTCATCAGTAATAAGCAATGTCTGTCTCAAATCGAAATCCCATTCAACCATTAATTTTAAATGAGTGGGTCCTCTATAGTCCTTATTCTCACATTCATACAGTGCCTTATCAACTGTTGACATATATAGCGGATGATCAACATCTTCAGGCAAATATGCTTTACCAGGTATACCACCAATAACTCGAAGTCGTAAATTAATACTATTACTGATTGAATTAATATCAAAATCATGTTTAAGCATAGATCTCATGGCACTAATTATGTCTAATTGGATTTGTTTATAGGATGCTTCTCGAGATATCAGACAAGAAAACAATGGTCCAAATATTTTTCCCTGATTTCCGATACCGACCCGATTGGACCAAATCAATGTTAACTTTTGTCCGCTACCATTGCTTGAGATCGAGTTATGGTTAGTATAGTTTTGGTCGACTTTTGGTGTTTCCAAAGCATAAATTTCATTCATATCTTCGAGAACTTCCTGAACAATATCAGTATCTTTTGCTAATTCTTTGAGACCAAATTCTTGTCCAATTAATAGAAGAATTAATTGTTTTTCAGGTATTTTTAATAAGTGACTAATTTTATCTCTTAATTCTCTAATAGTGGCCAATGATTCAATAGTAACACCAATTTTTATCTATAATTAGTATCAAAATTATTTTAACTTTATTTTAGTAAAATATATTATATTAAAACTGATCGACACTTACTTCTCGTGGCTTTCTATCAAAAAATACTGAATTAATAATAAGAGTGTGCGTCAGTCTAACGGGAACGGGTAGTGATAGACATAGGTATGGATCAAATGTATTGCTTTGTTTGCCACAGGATCGGCATACAAGAGATGATCTCAATTGCGCCTGAAATAAGTCGTGAATAAAACTACTGTTGCATCGCATGTGATTGGCTAACGTTTCCGCAGCCAACTGTTCGTCGGACATGTTATGAGATACGGCCTAACGATTGCAAATAAAATATCATTTTATTCAAATTGCTTATATAATGGGTGCAAATGTTTTGAAGTATTTATTTCCATATAAAAGATAAAAATTTCCGCATAAAATATCAAAATTTGATTATTTTTAAATTGCGACAATTCATGCATTAAATTCAAACAAAATAATAATAACTTTTATGTTTATAATAAAATGTCAAAACTTACGGGAATTTTCTTGTATTCCTTAAGTCCTTCAGCAATATTAAGGTCTTCGTGACACTTGTCGAGAAGCCAAAGAAGGAACTCCTGTGCGTCGTGTTGTTCACTGCCTTCATATTGAGCGCTATATTTAGCCATAAGTGTCTTGAATTTACTGGAGATCTCACTCGAGTACATACAAGACCACAAAGATTTGAGTAATAGTGCCAACTGTTCTGTTAGTTCTCCTTTAGTGCCATACTTTTTGGCGTGAAGTTTGTTATGTCTTAACAGATCAATCTTATAGTGATTCATCACAAAATACTCGGCCAATAGATCTGTATTACAAAGACATTGTATGATAGCTGTCATGAAACACGTGTTGCCGTGATTTTTGATGCCACAAACGGCCGGCATTTCGTAACCAGTTTTTCCCGAATGAGCACCGAATTGGTTTCTATTAAAAGATCCGCTCGAAGCTGAAGATGTAAATGATTCTTGTCGTTGAAGGGATGATCCAATTGGTTCAGAATAGTATGAATTTTGAGACCAATTTTGATGCAATGTATTGGACCCGTTAACGGGTGGAGTCAAGTGTTTCATTAATCGCATAAAAAAGTTTTCCTTTCCATACAAATGATTATCATTTAAACTGTTGGTTGTATTTATAGACATTTGTCCGATTGAATCAGTTTCGGACGTCTCCTCCATATCAGTGACCGATCCTTTTCTTCGGGTATCACTTCTGAGTTTTGGCAGAGTATAGTATTGGCGATTCATTGGCTCAGATGATTGATAGGCTCTTATATTTAAATGAGACATTATGTTGGCACCAATTATTTGATGGTATCAATCATATATTTTTAATATAAATATTGTGTAGATCTATAAAAATTGGCACTTATTTTAGTGATTTAATTGATATCATTATTAATATCATATGTTATAGACATATGAGAAAATAGTGTAGATATGAAAGACAAACTTTCAACAACAAAAAAACTTATATATTATATAACAACTAAAATTGATGAATGATATAAATGTGACCAAGGTAATGGTAATGGTGATAGTGATGGGTAGTTATGTTTAATCACTGTATGTGTATTACTAATCAATGTTTTGTTGTAGCAAACGGTTGTCATGAGTTATAGTTAGTTTACATCCACAACAATAGTGTTCACCCGTTGTATTAGTTTAAGCGCACGACTGGCGATACCATTGATATGAATGGTAATCAACAGGTATTGCAGTTATACTGTATAGGCTGTGAGTATAATATCAATGATAAGTGTGTTTGTATTGTGGATATGAAGTCTGTATTTGAGTCTCGAGCCATCACTGGCATCACTATATCTTATGGCACCGTTTAGTGCAGTGGCCTCTCTATCCCAGGCACATCCAAGGTTGCCCTATAACAGTCCAATCAAAGTACATATACCTGAGCTTCACTAACACCAGCTCTTATAGCACTTGCTTTGCGCCCAAAAAAGTTTGCATTGATTTGAAATATAAACGCAAAGAAAAACAGACACTTGTGTCAAACACTTTAGTCACAACTATTGTCATCACAATTACATTATATAATTAATTGTCTATTGATTTAGACGTTTAACTTAATTGTAAATTTATTTAACAAATGGTTTAAAAACAAGTGAAGAGAAGCGTAGAGAAACACAACAACAACTTTTTGATAAGACTTTAACAAAATGGCATAAAAGTCAAGCAATGGTAACACTGAATGCGCTCTCAGGTTGTGTCTGAAGTTGTGAGCAAAGCTTAACTAAAACTCCTTACAGTCGACAGTGTGTTGGGTCTCTCAAGTTGTTTTCAGGCTGTTTGGGGCCAAAACCAGTTGGGGAACGACAGCTCCACTAATATTTCCAGTTTTCGTTACTTAGCCCGCAGTTACTCTGGCTTCAGCTTATGTATACTTATATATGTATATAAGTGTGTATATAAGTTATACATGTTATATATTGACATCTCGTGACCCCATCCAACCACCTCATATATAGCCCCATCCATCCATCCATATCCCCATAGCTGTACACTACAGACTCGCTAATCGAAATCAAATCATTTAATCATTTTTATGCAGAATTTTGTATTAAGTCTTAAGCCATTTATATTAGAGATAGCAATATAAGGTATAAAACAATGTTATACACTATTGCAACCAATCGTTGCATTTTTGAAAATTATATACATTTTGACTAACAAGACATTCAAATTGGGGGACATTTCAATTGTTTTCAATTGTATGCTAATACTATAAATACACATTTCATATATGAATAGACAGTTGAGTCCAGATGTTAATTACCTGTTGACCAGAAACCGGTTTTCAACGCAAAATCATTTAAATCTTCAATCTTTTCTTTAGTCTAATTATAAAAATACAACATTTGAATACATATAAAGCAGGGATAGTCTCATATGATTTTATACTCCATCATCTCTACTTATTTTTATACTGTAAATGTTATGCTATAATAATAATAACTCTCTCTCTCTCTCTYTCTCTCTCTCTCTCTCTCTCTCTCTCTCTCTCTCTCTCTCTCTYTCTCTCTCTCTCTCTCTCTTAGTTACTAACCTGAAATAATAATACTTTTTTAATGTAGTTTTTTCTACTTAAGATGAAAGTTTGAAATCTCATTCATTGTTTTTAAATAACTTTTATTTTTAGATATGCTTTTTATTATAAGATTTATATATTAATATTTAGTTTTAATAAATATCAAATATATACAATAGTTATAACAGAATATAATAATTAGTTTATGCATTAATTTAGTTAATAATTAGTAATAATTTATTTTACAATCTATGTTCTCAATTCATTTATTTGTAATAATGTAATTTATGTTTTATACAAAACATTGTTTATTATAGCATTAAAAGCATTAATAAATATATTATATTTGTTTTTTAATTGCTATAAACAAAATACCAGTCAAAAGTTGTACTGAAAAATACACTAAATTTGTTATAAAAATAAAATATAAACAGTATCTAAATGTTTACTACCTGTTTCTCTACTTATATATATTATTCAAACTTCAATTTCAAAGAGTAAAAATAATACAATAATTAAACGTTCAATAATTATTTTATTTTAGCTATACGTGTGTAAAAACCCGTCCCAAACATACTTTTCCTTATTATTATTAGTACTGAAGAGATATTTTCAAGATATCCTCTTTCGACTCGTTTGATGAAATGTTTCCTTACTTTTTGCAGTCATTTAATATTTATAAAATAAATTAATGCAAACACTGTAAGACATAAACGACAAACATTTGGTCTAATTATACTCAGTTTTGTCTGTCAAATGAACTGTTCAATTGGATTAGAAAATATGATTTATGTATAACATTTAAATACCAATTTAAATTCAATTGATCGTTATTAAAATTAGATACTATAATATTATTATAATTATAATTGTTTTTTTTGATGAAATATTATTACTAGAGTTAACATTTATATACTTTATAAACTGTAAGTTATAGGTTAATATGTATTGTAGTAATTAAAAAATTTCTCAGTTTAGGGCATATTTATATAAAAAAATAAAAAAATATTTGTTCAAATAATCTTAAAGTAGAGTTTGTGTAAAAAAAATTACAATAAAATTATACGGTATAAAAATTTAAATATAAAGCAACATTCAATTAAATGTTGGGAAAAAAATGCTGTAAGTTGTTGCAAAGATTTTCATCAAATTATACTTTATATTTAAATTAATATATTTAATATCAAAATTGTAATAAAAAATTTATGTTAAAAATGTTGACTAAATTGGATGCGATAGCGAAAGATTGGCGGATATGACTGACGTTTGACTTGAAATACTATCGCATCTCTGCTTTGGCTTCAAATGCATATCATTATTGTCATCACAGATCTCAGCGATTGTCTCCTCATTGCTATTACTAATTGTATTTGTATTTTTCAAATTTTCGACATCTGTTAGCATATCGTTGTTGTCATTATTATCTGAATCATTGATTTTTATGACAACTTTCTTATTAATTAATTTGATTTCGTCTTTCTTTAGATACATATAATAGATGGTAGAGTAGATAATAGCGACGACACCGGCGATGATACCCATTATTCTGAATGCAATTCTAGCGTTAAATATTGCCATAAGACTGCCGCCGATCATACTTCCGGCCGCCCGACCCACTGATCATTTTGTGGATAAATTCATAAATCATTTTAATATTCATTGAAAATTCATGTTTTCCTAAAATGTGTTAATACAAACCTCCGTAATGTAGTCCACCCACTATTCCCAACATTGTGGCTGTCAGTCCTGTTTGAGGTTCAGTAAAGCATATCTCGTTAGTTATTAAAAACATTGTTTAGTTATTTTTGTTGGCTTTTAAAATACAATTATATGTTTATGTGTTATACACAAAACAACAACACTTTGTTTGCAATTAAGATTACTATTTTAGATCTAATTATAAGCTACAAAACATTTAACACTTTGTTAATTAATTTGAGGTTTTGTTTTTTATTTTTAAAAACAATTGTCACGTATACCATATATTTAAATCTTTTATTTTCTTAAAGTTTTATTAATTTTAATATAAAAAAGACAATTGAATTAAATATAATATTATATTACGAAAGAGTCGACAAACTTTGAATGATATGAATTGCATGCATAATAATGTTTGCTCCAAATCATAGCTTACATTTCAAGCCATATCTCAATACAAATTATCATAATCTATAATAAGTTGTGCAATAAATCTATTATATAGCGCATTATATATATATACACTTATTTTTTACGTGTATTACAATTGTAAGATTTATCACTTTTTTATATCTTGCTTTTAAACATAATAAATATATATAATTTACATTACATTTGCAGTTCAAACCTTTTTTATTATTATTATTATTATAGTTTGTAATGTTATAGTGACGCCCTAAAAACAGTGTTCATTAGGTATGGATATACTGTTTTGAGAGTGTATAAACAAAATGACCCAATTTATAGGCAATACATATAATATAAAATTTGGCAATACTTGCAATAAATCAGAATTTTGTTCACATTTTGTAAAATATTTTTAACCATAAAACTATAAAAGCTAAATAATTGAGCTTTTAGCTTAAATGCTAATATTATTTAATAGTTTTTTTTAAATAAATTTTATTTCTTTCTATGATTTAATTTACTCCTTTTCATTGTTTTTACAAATTAAAAACATTTAAAATCGATTGTACCTTCAGATATAAATTAATATAAATGCAAAATTCCAATCGATAACACTTAATAAATACAATTTTAATCAGATATAAATGCAAAATAAATACAACTATAATTAAATAGAAATATAAATAAAAATGCAAAAAAATCGTATCAATAATAATAATATGAAATAGTATCAAACCTTCCGGAGCCAATTTCTGTGAATAGGTAGCGGCCGCGCACCACATCAGATGATAAGTGAAAGCCTCCATAGCCTGTAATTATGAGAAAAATATCGATGAGTTTTGAGATTTTCTCACATACTATACATTAATATTTATCTAAAGATTTTATTCATTGTTTGTTTGATTTTTTCATAAAACATTTTAACCAATAGATTTCAATGTAATTGTTTTTTTTGGCTACCAATTTACTGGGACTAAACTGATGTTAAGCTGTCTATATATTAAAAAAGCTTATAATTATAATAATAATTATCTCATTTAAAGTTTGACATTTAGGTTCAATGAATTCATTTATTATGAAAATATTCTCACATATAATTAGATGAGATTTTTTGGACCTAATATTATTCGTTATTATTTTATCTAAAATCAATTTTAACAAAGTTTTCTACAATTATATAGAAGTATTACTTATTGTTGTATAAATTTTATATTGTATTGATGAATACTAATGAATGATCAACAAAATTTATCCGGTTTAAAGTTACTAACTATTAATTTTAGATATCACACTAATTAAAGTCACGTTTGAACAAAACCTAATATCTATTAAAACTAAAACCTATAAACTGTGTTTACTTTAAGCGGTTTAACACGTTTTTATAGTTAGATAAAAAATAATTTTTGACTAAATTAATTCTTTTATGAAATATTGTTTTCAAGTTAACTAATAATTAAAATAAGTAATGCCTATCAAAAATTTAACTACTATTACATGTACTGTATTATACTTTTATTAAATATATACTCCAAATTTAATTAAATATGTATCGATTAATATTATTAGAGAATTATCATAAATAAAGTATTATATATATTGAAAATTTTAATAGTTTTAGTATTGTCGAGTTATTTATACAGTATTAAAAAATTATTATTTGGTAAAATAAAACGATATATTAGAGAACACACATAAATATGATTAAATGAATTTTTTATTTATGAGCTAAAGATTAAACAGATTATCATTAAATTCATTAAGCATTTAAATATAAAATCATTGAAAAAAAGTTGGTTTATAAGAGTAATTTAAGTGATGATAGTATACCTCAAAGGGAATGCACCAAAAGGGAGACTCAATGAGTGAATATCCTCCGAAGCGAATCAAATAGAAGACAAGCGCCAGAATCATGAGATTGACGTGACCGGCCTTCTCGACGAACCAGTCAGACTTCAATAGAAATGGCAAACCTATTATAGCACCGGTCGTTAATGTGAGGCCCAACAAATACTTGGGTGACTTGAGATCCAGTAAATACCAGAACAAAAATGATTCAACAAAACCCCAAAGGGTTCCTAATATGAAGATCACAATCAATAGGACCCATATATTCACCGATTTAAGCAATGGCTTAATATTTTTAATTAGATTTTTAGGCGGTGGCGACACATCTATGTTCATAATTATCAGTGTTATAGATGTCAATAAAACGAGAAGATTAAAAAAATGAAATGATGGCGAATAGTTAGTCGAGTATTCATCTTTGCCAGCGCTCAGGTAATCTATAAGTATACCACAGATGGGAGAGAAGAGACCGGTCGATAAAATAGCCCAAAATCTTTCCTTTCCGAAGGAGGACTCATACTTCTCGCATATGACTAAAGTCGTGGCGTCTAATAGTGTAAAACAAATGCCAACACATATTTGAAACACTATTCGTATACAAAAATATAACCAAAATGTGAAGGCATGTGAGGCATACTCCTCATCACTCGTTGACTTATCACTAGTTATTGGATAAAAATAGCATTTTTTAAAACAATTATTTCAAAAGTTATTATATTTTTAATTATATAATATTGTTTTAGTAAATATAATACTATAACTAATTTTTAAATATTATACATTAACATAGTTTATATCATATTAACTCAAACTTTAAGTATAGTAGTTTAAACTATAAAATTTGTATATTTTGTGTCAATATATTGTATTTAAATCAAATTTGCAAAAATATAAGTGTTAAATAAAATAAAATTTATATTTAATAGAAATTATCTTTATTAGTTAAATAATGATTAAAATAAAACGATTAAATTTGAGGTTAAAATACTTATAATTCACTTAAGCTAAATATTTTTAAGAATTTTAAAATTATTTAAACATTTTAAAAAACTAAATACTCATAAAAACCTATTGAAAATAATTATTAAAAATACAAAAATAAATAAAAAATTTGTTAATAAAATAAAATGTAAATTTATAAGTCATGATAATATAAAAAGTATTGATTCTACAAACAAGCATAATATTACTATACTGTAGTATTATTGATGCAATCATTTAATAAGTTTATAAACTTTATTTTCAATGGACTCGCGAGTCAACATTTATAGCATTATTATACATTAATTTAATAGTTTGGTATTATATACAGTAATAAGATTTTTCTTTATTGCAATAAAAATGCTATCAAAACCATTAAGATATTAATTTATTTATTAAAACAAAAATCAGGACTTCAGCCAAATAATTGAGTTTTGATTTATTTTTAGATACAATGTATTTTTAAAAAATAAACTTAATAAATAACCAAAGATAACAAGGAATATCTTATCAATATAAATAAATTTGTTAACTGTATGAAAGAGTTGCATAATTTAGTCATCAAATTTAATAAATAGGTAGATAATATTGAATAGACAAATATATTTTTATTAATAAACTTTTCAAATAATTATTGCTTTCAATTCAGAAAGTATTATTTGAATCCAATATAATCAATTGTATTTTAAAATTATAATAATTTTTTTTATTGAAAGCAATAATTTTCAATGAAAACAAAAATCACATATAAATATTCTATCATATTAGACGAGAGAGAGAGAGAGAGAGAGAGAGAGAGAGAGAGAGAGAGAGAGAGAGAAGAGAGAGAGAGAGAGAGTAGGATAAAAGATACAATGAACTGCTAAAAGTTTTTTTTGATGTTATACTTGTAATTATATTGAAATCGATTACATAAAGAATTGTAGAAAATCATGAAAAAATTCTCAGAAACCATATAATAATGATTACAATTTATCAAACGAATATCACAAATATACTCAAGTTTGAGCACTAGTATTAAGCTGTCAGTCCTCTTATATTATATGTATTTTATCCGATTATATTGTGACTTATGACCAAATGAATAGTTGTATTATTGTATAGTTTGTGTAAGTTTATTACATTACCTTTTATTCATAATATAGAACTTAAAAATTTCATTTTATTTTTAATTTGATTTTTAGTACATCGAGTATTTTTATCATATAGACTATATGATATAGTCATAGTAATTAAAAAGTATTATGCAATTATAAAAGTTTCAACAATTTAATCTATAATAATAAATATGTATATTAAATATAAATAAATTAAACAAAAATTATTAAATTGTCATAAAAAGTATTATCTATAGTCTATATTATAGACTCTATAACATAAATTATACAGTATTATACCGTATATTATATACAATACAGTCTAAAATCTAACCATAAAGTAGTTATAAATATTATTGAAAACTACAACTATTCTATTTAAATGATTAAATAAACTTTAAAATCTTATTATATTTGAAAATGGCTACAAACTTTTTTCCATTAAATTTAATTTACACTTTATCTATACCGGTATTAATATTAAGTTAATGTCTATTAAAAATATAGTTACACGAAAAAGTTAATTTCTCATTGATTCAGATACTTAGTGGGAAACAAATTATAAATTAAAGTTTATATATTTAGTAAATGGTGTGGTAAATGATAATAAAATATATTAACTCAATTAAAGTTAATTAGTAAATAAAAAACAACTAAAAGATTTATAGATTAAAATAAAGACATAATTTACTGAAAATTTTATTTAATACAAATTTGGCTTTAAATTATAGCTAAAACGTTGTCATCTAATCAGAAAAATACACTAATTATTATTAACCAACATTTCATATATATTTTTAAATTTTATACCATAATATTTGTTTATATTTAATTGCATTACAATTGATTAATTTATCGTAGTAACATCTACTTCAATATTATACAGTGTATAATATTTATTTAATTTTTCATAATTAAAGCAAACTACTGTTCAGTATAATAATAAACAAATAAAAATCAAATAAGAAAACTTGGCTCAAATTTTGATTAAAAGTCATTCATTAAATAATTAAATTAATAGATCACAACTATATATAGTTTGTTTAAATGTGTTAAACTAATTAATTTTAATCTTTTAAATCAATTGCCTCTACACTGAAATAACTTCATGTATTGTCCTATAAACTAATGGCTCCAAACTTATCTCTAGACTCGATATATTCGAGTTATTTTCAAATATCTACTACATCTACACATAATTTATTTTATAAACATTATATTATAATATTATGTAAAACATAATATATTTACAATTAATTAAAAATTGATTATATAAAGCTAACAAGTAATAAATCATAAGTATCAATCTCTAAAACATTTTTCATGCATTTTGCTACATAATTAGTTACCAATCATTCATTGATAAAATTATGCAATATATTCATATAAATAAATATTATGTAAATTTATTTAAATAACTATCTTGTAAAAACATTCAAAACTATTATCTACATAATAAATTAAATTATTTATTTATTTATAAAACTTTATTTAAATAATATAAAATAATAGTAATTTTTCAAAGTTCATAAATTATATTTTACATATAGTCAGTAAAAAATCCAGTATAAGATTATTTATTTGATATAAATTGGTTATAAACAAAATATTGTCAATAATTTTTTTATTAACAGTAATAAAATAATAATGTGTTGTATTGTATGTATGTTTTATTCCTTTGATATATTTTATTAATATTTCCAATCAATCAATCAAACAGATAAACATTTTACTGAATACAAAATTCTTAAGTAATTCATTTTTAAATATTACGGTAATATAAATATTATTGAAATAAAATGAGGATATTTGGTTAGATTGAAAAAATTAATGAATTGTTAATTATTGGCTTTAATTATTACTTTTTAGAATAATTTCATCTCAATTACTATATTTATTATAAGATTAGTTTAAATAAAATTTATTATATATATATATAATCAGTTCAAAAAGTTAATTTGAATTTTCTTTAAATATTTATGTATAATTTTATTATACTTGAAATATTAATCAAATATTTTTAGAATTATTAATCAATTTTAAAAAATATAAGTAACTAATTAAAAGTAAATATTAAATGACAAACCTATCAGTAGTGTTTGGATCACCACTAGAAGGCACAAACATTATACCGATTGAACTTAATATTGTTAATATTAAATTGATGATCAAAACAAGCTTATAGTTTCCCATTTTGTCAGCTATAAAACCAGCGATTGGAGGGCCAATCACTTGTGTGACCGGTAGTACAGTGTAGACAAATGCAGTTTCTTCGACCGTTATGCCCAACTGTCTCATATGTATTGTCATATATGGTAGAAGACATGCTGCCGCTGTTGTTTTAAGATAATCATCAATAGTTATATACAATTTGTCGACATTTTATCAACATTTTTATACCTCCAAACCAGAAGAATAGGATGAGCTTCAGTGGTACTAATTGGCGATTAATTTGAAACATTTGATATTTTGAAAAACTTATCTAAACACTGCTACAGTAGTTATGTCTTAAATACCCAGTTATCTCGGTTTCTAACTTAGAAAACCAAATTTTCTTAGCAAAGTATGCGTTATTTTTTTTAATAAACAAAGATATAATAAATTAATGTCTAATTTTGATTATATTGTAAGTCACATGTAAATAATACAGGCATGGCTATTATCATTGTCTATATTTGCTTAATAGATATAATTTGATAATCTTTAAATGTATGTTATAAGTAACCAAAATTATTAGACATTACCGGTACTGTTTATGAAAAATAAAATATTTAATATTAATATACAGTAAATATATAAATTTTATAATTTAGTATATATATATACGTATGCATTAAAAAGATTACAATATTTTATAATTACAATTAGTTTTGTGCTTTTGTAATACAAATTACCGGTAATAGATATACAAGTATAATACAACCTATTATCGTAAATCATTTTAAAAATTTAAATAATTGAAAAACACGTTTTTTGTTAATTAAATTCCAGGCATAATATATGCAATGTTATCTAATGTCTTCTTATGGATGTCCTGTGGACAACCATCAAGAATTGGATCCAATTGTGTGAGACAGAGAAGCGGTCCAATGGCACATAAAGTTGAATCTAATAATACAGATAACGAACCGGAGACAGCTATCTGTCCGCTGTGCTCTTTAAGTCGCTGACCTATTGTTGTTAGAGATTCGCCTAATAATGTTAAATGTGATGAAACATCAATTGGTTTTGTGCTAATTGGTTGCCACATGTCTTCAATGGATGTATAGCCGGCGTAGTCGTCATTATTATATACAAGAGAATTGTTTGTCGAATGATTCAGTTTTGAGAATTGTGTCAAAACCTTTGGTTTACCGGTGCTTATAATGGATGAGCCTTTAGTGACCAGTTTCTGTGCTTTCCGTTTCCATCCAACCTTTTCTTTATCAGGCATTGACTTCCAAATTTCACCCAACTTTCTACTGACGTCTGCAAAGTCTAAATCTGGACACTGCTGTTGTATTTTACTTCTGTGTTCTTTAGACCAAAGCATGTAAGCTGTGATCACCTTTTTCTTTGGTTTGTCATCCAAACTATTCTTGCTTTTCATAGATTTTCTATCACTTCTTTTGTTATCGGATGTTGTCTTCGATGGTCTCGATTTTTTAGGTTTAGGCTTAGATTTAATAATAGAATCATCGGTTTCTATAATAAGTGATGTCTCCTCGAAATCTTCATCGAAAGATATTTGTGTCATATCTTCTAATGGCAACGATTTTGTCCTTTTATTGTTTCTTTTATTTTTATTAAGATTTGGTGTCACTCCTGATGTGATTTGTCTGAAAAGTCTATTAGCTGGTGATTCTGTTTCCGGCTCTTTCTTTACAGTCTTTGCTGTTTTGGTTAATTTTGGTGTCTCTTGTTTATCATTTGTATTAACACTTTCCTCTTCATTGTTAACGTTATCGTTATGGTTAATCACTTCGTCTTTAATCTCATTTTCATCGACTTTCAAATCATTTATTTCTTTTTTAATTTTTGTTTTTTTCGCATTTCTTTCATCAACGGATGACATAGAACTGGACATTAAATTATCTTCAGTTGTCACGGATGTATCACTAACATCGATGTCGTTGTTTGGCACCAAAGAGCCAATAATCTTACTCTTGGGAATCTTCAGCGTCGGAATTGTCTTCTTTGGTAAACTTTGGTCGATCTCATTGTTAACAGATGTGTCGTTATCTTTAATGTCATAGATATCAGAGGATGGCTTAGGATTCAGACATAACTTGATTTTGAGATTCTTATGTTGAGTTTTGGCCGAATCGGTGTCACATTTAGCCGTCTCTTCATTAAGACTAATGTCATTGTCGTTTGTCTTCATACTGTCCATTGGTGTCAAAGTTTTGCCAGTACTTCGGTTATCATTGTCTTGAGTAACCATATCCATGAGTTTGGCACTCTTTCTCAGTACTCTTCCCGATCGGGAAACACCTCCTGATCTCGACATTTGTCACAACAATTGATGGACTTTAGTGTTGTGTTTGATTGAAATCAATGACAAATCAATTGAATATTGTATTCAAATGTTTGAAAACAAAACGTTTGTCTCTATTAGTGAACAACACATTAGACATACATTTGACTCAATTTCTACACTAATGTCAGCGCTTTGTGTGTCTGTGACTAACATTCACATCAAATACTCGTTAAAAGACTTTTCATTTTATTTTCTTAATCATTCAATCCTTTAAAACAATTGTATTAAATATTTATCATTGATTTTTATGCAAACTTATCAAACATTAATCAAAAAAAACTTAAATTAATATTTTTATTTGTTTTTCAATAAATTTATAATTTTTTATATTAAGAATTATATTTTATTTTATAATTTGAAAACATGTCGTTAGAGTGCAGCAAAAGTGTCGTACAATCAATGAATTTATTGAATAACTTTTTAATACCAAAATAACTAACAAATAATCGAAATTTTTTTTAGAAATTCAGTCCATGACTTAGTTTAACATTAATTTTGATATTAAAATTCAAAAGATCTCATTTGATAAAAAAAATTAAGCATAAAATACATGCTATTTATGATAATTTTTAATACCATTAGTCAAGCATTTAAATGATCATAAAATTAAAATTATTAACTTTTATATTTGTTTGAAATTTGTTATTATTATAATTAATAGTTTTTTTTATAAATACAATTATGGCTTAACTATTATAACCTAAATGAAATATATTTAAATTACATCAATATATAATATTAAAATTATTAGGTTTTATGGATTAGGTATTTATAAATTTAATTTTTCTTGCAATAAATTATTATATTTATGTTACAAACTATATAAATGTTTCAATACTATAGTATAATCTAATTAGTAAATCAGTTTAAACGTACGTTAATTAAAATTTATTATTGAAACTTGTTTTTAAAATATTTAAACAATTATATTATTATATGACATCATTTAATAAAAATTATTATTATTATACTGTATATATAATATATATCTGAATTTAAATTACAGTATATGTACGGAATTGAATAAAATATATTAAATACTATTAAATTGATTTTTCATAATTTACAACCGATTTCTGTACAGTATATATAATTTTTTTTAGTTTGATTTAATACAGGTTTAAGATATTTTTTTATCATTATACAAACTTTTTATTTATTATAATAAAATCATTTAAACTCAATATCTAAGTTTTAATTAATAAAATAATTTTTTCTGTAAATAAAACGATGTCATTAAATTTGATTTATATAAATGATGTTTACAATTTATATCTATTTTTATATATTTAATTTCTTTATGATATCAAAACAATTGCAGTGTAAATACATTTATCATTTATTTTTTTAAATAATATATATTATTAATAATTTAATCTGATTTTAATCACAACTTTTACGGCAAACTCTACAAATCAATTCAATAAATATTATTAGGTCTTAACAAACAAAAAATCGATTTTTTCAACTAAAAATTTTAACCAAATATTAAATTCTCTCTCTCTCTCTCTCTCTCTCTCTCTCTCTCTCTCTCTCTCTCTCTCTCTCTCTCTCTCTCTCTCTCTTATTCTAAAATGAAAAATGAAATTTTAAAAAATTAATGATCTAAACATTAAATGAGAAATTTAAAAAATACAACAAAAAACTTTATATAGATTGTTAATAAGTTAAATGTTTTCAATATAATGTAAGTTAGCTATAAAATTATGTAAAATATAAAGATAACTCATTTGATTAGATTTTTGTAACAATAACTCATTTTTCAATGTTAAGAGTGCTCTCACTATGAATAGAGAAAAAAATTTAATTCATTTTCACATTAAATATATAATATAATCGCAAACATATATATATAGTAAATATATTAATATGTTATATAATATATACATATTATGTATATAAATGATGTGAGAGTGAGAGTTGGGATAAAAAATAATGGAATTAATGGTGAAATTCTTAGTGATGTATGTGTTATATATGTTGTATATATTGTGTGTAATTCAGTGTATATTGTATTTTGAATACAAGTTTGAGCTATAAATTGATTTTTTGATTCAATTAAATTCACTGCTTATTAGAGTAAAGCATGTATTGTGTGCTATATATCGTATATATAGTATGTATAAGCAGTCATCCAATTGGATGCAGTGATCACATGACTGGTACGTAAACAGTGGACTAATTTGCATATATTGAGTATAACATTGAAAAAGCATTGAAAGCAGTAGTGAATGCAATGCCAGTGCTATCGATGCGCCGTTCAATGCATTTTCAGTTCAATGTGTTTGCAATGCATTGATGTTGTGTTGTGTTGTGTTGTGTTAGCCCACAGTTGTGTATGTATTGAATGAACACAGCTTTGTCTGTAAAGTGAGAGCACTGTTAGCACTGTTTGTTGTGTTTGAAAGCAGTCAACGATTAGGACAAAGAAAGTTGATTACAAAGTATTGATAACTTGTAAGTGATGGCCATCGTGTCCAACACATCCACCGATATGTTCGACATATATACCACATCCGACAATATTCAGCAATGAATGACAGTAATCGCCAGTCACTGCCAGTGACCAGTTATCCGAGTGGTCCACCCATACACTCATACGGCAGCAATACAACTGGTGATCATTGGATGACAACAGCTCCCAGTGCTGGCCAGCCGTTGCCCAGTTATAATGAGATAGGACAGGGCTATCACACGGCAATCGGATCATCAGTTAGCCCGGGGGTCAATGGAGGACCTAATTTGATGCATCACTCATACATACAGCAGCCGTACCTCAACACCAAATATGGGTCAACGCCTGACTACAGCCACAGTCACTTCAATGCAAACTTTTATGCAAACAATTTTGTCCATAAAGTAGACCTCAACTCTAAACCAATTAATGATAACTCTGACCATCAACTCGAAGGTGAGTCTAATACTGCAGAAGGATTAACGGCTAGACTTCTCGACAAGAATTCAGACAACGGTCCCATCTCTTCACATTCGCCTTCATCTCAAGACAGTGGCTCTAATAGTGTTGGTTACCGGCCGTGGGAACAACCGGGTGCCGATGGACATCACTTAGCCGCAGACCAAATCAATGCTCAAACATTGCCCAATCATCCGAATCGTCCATCAAGTGCTCAATCAGATAAGGGACAGTTGGCATCACATCAATCTCAACGCACAACACCCGATACGGCCAGACGTACGGGTAGATCTCCTTCTGCTCAACAGTTCGGTGATAATCATCCAATTGATAGGTTGACAAACACTACAACTCAAAAGTATCAGACATTGACTCCAGTTCCTCCAATTCCTCCCATTTCTGCCCCATATAGCCATAATAATATGTATGGCCAACCACCACCTGTATTATACCAGAACCCAATGGGAACACCATATATTCAATCTCCATATCCGAGTAGATACCCGGCACCAGATGGCAAAATCAAGATGGGTATCGCAGAACCCGATTCATCGACACCTGATGTGAGGATTGCTACCATTGAAAACTCATTTCAAGTGCCTTCTATTTCATCGACTACTTCAAGACCACCGATTGGAGGAATACCTCAGCCGTCGGCGACACCACCACATCCTCAAACTGCTCAACAGGTTGTGTCGGTACCGCACGCGCCACAAACTGTCAACGAACACTGGGAAGCGGCTAATCAGGTATCGGTGCCTCAAAATATGGGCGCACAGAATGGCGGACAAGAAACTGAAAAAGTGACAAAAAAGAAGAGGAAACGTTGTGGAGAGTGTCCCGGATGTCTCAAAAAGGATAATTGCGGTGATTGTGGTCCGTGTAAGAGTGTCCGCAGTCATCAAATCTGCAAAATGCGAAAATGTGATCAATTGAAGACCAAAAAGGAAAAAGTAAGAGAAGTAAGTGTTGTTTACTTTACTAACAGAGCCTTCAAAATGATCTCAAATGGCTTTCAATGTCATCATCTCTTTGTTTGCAAATCACTCCATATTTAGTTCACTTTTAGTTATAACTTATAAATTATAACCAAATGCTAAATCAATCTATAATCAAATGATTCAACTTTTCAAAGCATTTCGTTTATAATTTTATGTTTATTGAAATATTCTTTATGTTTTAATATCCTCTGAAAGTAATTAAATAGTCATTAAGTTTGCAGAAAACTATAATTACAAGTAATTTTTGACAAAAACTTAATGACTTTAATTTCGTGTTTTTGGCAAATATTGAGATCATAAAATAGATTTACATATTTTCGTATATTATAATTAATAAAAATATTTTATAAAATTGTTTTTTTTATCATTTGCTGGCATTTTTAATATTATTATCGAGTAGTGCTTAATATTAAAGAATATCAAAACCAAAACTTATTACAGTGTTATATAATACATGTAAAGACTAGAGTATGTGTGGATGCCATCCAACACATGAATTGATGTCTAAAAATAACATTAGTTTTGTATCAGTAAAACAGTCAAACTGTTGATGTCTTCAAACTTTAACTTAAATAGTGTTTTAATGTCTATTCAGTATTGGGAACAGCAGTTTGGCTAAAGTCGTCCAAAGATTTATGTCTTTAATATCACAGCAATTGATGCAAATAGTATTTTCTGTTTGCTATACTAATCGATATATACTATGACTTATAATGCATTTAATCAAAAGCAATAACAAAAAAAACTAAAGACAACATATTTTAGATATTTTTTTTACTACTAATAGTGCAAACAGTGGGACCAATACATGTGTGTCATAAACATAACATAAATGACTTTCGAGTCATTATTGATAAGAAAAACTAGATTTTGTCAAATTATAATTTATTATTATATGTATTATATATTATATATATTGAGTAAATGAATAATAGTTTGGATGCATTTTGATTCCCAAATGATGCCATCACTTGCCATCACTTAACAAATATCCTAACAATTGGTCCAAAGCTATGACTCACGGATTAGTGGCCAATCAGATGACGTCATTTCAAAGCCTACCAAAAGTCTCAGTGCTTTCGTTGAAATTAATGTCGAAATGCTATTCATTTATAATATTATTAGTTGAATATATTGATGAATATATACATACATAACATACACATACAGTGTTTACTTTTTCAGTCTAAGTCTGAAATCTCTGTACTGATCGCTAACACGAGTAAACACAGCGTGTATTCACTCATTCGTATGCTTTTTATGAACACATCCTTAATCGTAGCAAACATACAGTACTATACATATAATTACATTAAATTTTTTAAATCTCTTTCAAATATATATTACTTTAATTTTCTAACATTTTTCTCTATTTATTTTAAGGCATTTTTTATTTATTTAATTTGTTTTGTTTGAGCTATTTTTTTAAAGAAAAGAAAAAACTTCATTTATTTTAATTTGCTTTTTAATCGGATTTTAGATGTAGTTTTATGTTTCATTATTGTCGCATACATTATAGGTATTATATATTGAGAAAAATGAGTCGTTAAAAGCAATTGATGAACATTTTTAGTGAAACAATCGATGCTTTTAATAGATGTTTATACATGACATGTGTAGAGATAGTGCACAATATATAGCACAACTATAATAAACATTATATTCAAACTTATGTAATTTATATAGTGATGGAAAAATTTATATAAATTGATTTATTTGTTGGAGAATTAGAAAATTTATATAAAATATTTTGTTTTTTGCTTTCAAAGAGGGTTTTTGAATACACAGTAAACACTTAATAACATTTGATTTAAATGGTTGTAGTCGTTGATTAGATATTGTAATAAATAGTAAGATTTATATATAAAATAAATGTTATTAAACATTAAATATGATGTAAACGTGTAGTACATAAGCATCTGCTATGGATGTGCTTAGAGTTAAACAGATGCTCGCCTTTCCTATTGCTTTAACATTGCTTTCACTCGTTAATGATGTGTGACCTAACAGTGCTATCGCTATATACGATATTATGAGAAAACCCCATCTCATTGTAGGCCTTCACATATGTATTAATGTTTAGTATACCAAAGTTGGTATACATATAAAAATTGGAGCTAAAGTTGTTGTATTATATATAGTAAAGCTTTTATTTCATCGTTTTTATAAATAATAGTCGTTTTTCAATATAACTATATCTATATCTATATTCAATAGTTTAGTCAATAAGAGAATTGAATGAAAAGCAATGACTGAATGAAAATGAAATACCGATTGAATGACTCAGTTGTTGTACACACAGTATAATCGATAGCAAAGCTATTATGCATACGATTGCAATCCATGGCTAAGAACTTGGGATCACTGAGAGAGCATTTATCCAGTTATGGCAGTTATGGTACTGTTATATAGTTAGGACTCATAGCTAACTTCAATATGAAATTTGCTGATAAACGACGTGTCAATTCATTATGCGCTCTAGTATTTCATATATGTATTGATCACATATAACTACAATACATATAATTTAGTCAACCATTCAAACTAATGATAATTTGCCTGTTTTTTAATCATTTCAAACAATTGACTCATATTCTCAATATTCCTTATAATATAACATTTGTTTGCAATATAGTCTATGTTTTAATTTAGCAATTTTATCATAATATTATCAGTAAATCATTTATTTAATTAATTAATTGAAAACATTTATAAAAGAAATAAAATGAAAAACAAATAATTGGATTATTATTGACTAATTGAATGCATGTTTGGCTGATAGGCGGCACAATTGGCAGCACAACAATCAAGTGGTATATCACTGAATAAAGAGATGACATCACTGGATAACCCGTCACGTAATATGAACGGATCAGCTCTTGCAACTCAGTTTACAAATCTCGGTCCGACCGACACGCATAACACTGCAGTGGGATCGGCTCCCCGGGTGAGTGTCTATCGTATATGATATGTTGAACAGTGGGTGTATTGGGATGTATGCACTCAAACAAGTGCTACTGAACCCCTAAACTACTTGTGGTGTCCACTTCTTATCAGTTCACCTGTTATATACAGTACACACACTCTTGTCTTTGCTCTCCCTCTCCCTCACTATTCCCGACACTATCTCTCCCTCGTTGTGGGGTTGAGAGGGAGGGAGTGTTACGGTTGCAGCACTTCTTCACCGTTTAAAGTGACGTAAAAATTATGCCAACTTTGCGGAAGTTTCTCATACCGTAATCACTGAGCGATTCACTCTTTTTTTTAACATAATTCCCACGCTTTCCATCACAACTTTCACTCAATCAAACCTACCTGAGCTTATATGATGTGCTTATTTATTTTTATATTCAATTTACAATGTATTTTATTTTTCAAAATTTGAAATCAATATTTAATTTGTATAATGGAAATGGATTTACTGTACAATGTTTCAACACATATATGATATTTATTTATGAAATATTGGATAAAGTGTGACATTTGACTGTTTTTACAAATCTTATGAATCATAGCTTATATGATGTCATTAGTGATAAAAACTAATGGCTTTTGTTGTACACCATTTGCAAACTATTGATCAGTTTTAGTAATGTATCAGAAAATATGATTCATTTATAAATTGATAGGACGTGTCGATGAATATATAAAATATTTGTGTTGTCGATGCTATCGGTGGCCAAACAACAAAAGCGTATTATCAAAGTATATATAAAAAGTGTATACATTTTGTTTAGAAAAAATGCAAATGTTTTGTAAAAATCGATTTAAATGTTAGCTATGAGTGAAGCGTAACAACACTACTATTGGTGCTAACAGTCAACGGAAAGTAACTTTTGCTTAAATCATATATATATTGAATATTGAAATATAGTATGAAAACGGATGGCAGATGTGTGTGTCTATGTATGAGCTTTACTTTAATGTCTTGTATGCTAAGCTCTTGGATTGAATTTAGGAACAGTTAGAAAAAAATCAGGAATTGTTGCAATGGTTAGTTTGTAACAGCAATTGTGAGGAACAGCTGCATTTAATCAACCTGTTTGCCAATGATAATGTCATAATAATAATGATAATTATAATTATTTTAAATTTCAAATATATATATATATATATAAGTACTTTATTGAAAAGTGCAAACATAAGAGTCGGTCCCTCTTTTCAATGAATGTCTCAAATGAATGACAATAAATAGTTGTCTTCTTTGAGTCGATGTATTCATGAATTCATTTTCAAATATAACCAAATGTCATAACTTTGTGGACTTTAAGTAAATAATGGTATATTTGAAGCAATTTTTTACTGCCATTACTTGGTTTGCCATTAGTGTTAATCCTAGAAGTAATTCAATACAGTGTTGTAGTGTTTGTATGAGTGCCTCACCAGAGTTGGGCCTCCAATGAGTGGTCCCTCCAGAAGCCAGAATGAGTCAGTCCCTGAAAACTATATTTTTAGTGCAATAGTCACAGTGCTGTTGGTGTGGTGTGTCGTGAGAGGGAGGAGGGCTCACAACATAATTGTTGTAATATGTGGTCATTATTGAGCATTTGAACAGACAAAACATATACACTATATATTAGTTTTTATATGTTATATATTTATGTTAACTAACTTTAAAACTTTGTTAATAGTTGTTCTCAATGTTTCTCATAGTTTTTTGTTGTTTGAATTGAGCTCTCATTAGACGTAAGACATTACCAGTTGTTGTCTGTCCTGTCGTGAGTCACGTGACGCACGCTCTCAGACAAAGAAAGATGAGTGAAGAACATGAAGAGTCATGTCTTTGATATTGAAATATTGAGATTCAAAATATATTGTGATATCAATGTTGTTAACCAACAAAAAGTTAGATTATATACTCATATAGTACTATATATTGAATTTAATTTGTTTTTGCTATCGATTTGAACAATAGGTTTAGTTTTGTCTCTTCTCTGCCATTAGTTATGCTTTTATTTTATCGATGCTTTCGATGATTGCATCCATCCGTCCGTCCCTTCAATTGAATTATTGAAGACTTAGTAACAAAATTTCAATCATCACATGACTTGCGCACAATATTTGCATTTTAACATTAATAATAGTTAGTATACTTAAAATTTTAAGCTATAATACAAAAGAGACTCCAAAATGTATAGTTTGACCCATTTTTATCGTTATTTTCACATTTCATTAACTTTTAGAAAAAAGTGTATCAGAAAAACAAAATTTGAGGCAAACTTAGGCACAGATTGTATTGAAAATGATTAATATTGACTACAAATGAATTAGTTTTGATATAAGTTTACAGTTGAATGTATTTAGAAATCTTCTAATATTTAATAGATTAACAATAATTGTAAAGAGTGAGGGAATTAGTGATGTGATAGTTGTTATGATTTAGTTTTGCATAAAACAAGTACAGGTGTTGGCATTGGTCTGAGAAATTTGAATCAATATATTTATAAAAAGTAAAGATAAGTTGGCTGTTAGTCGTTTTTGGCGACATATGTTAAGGTGCACCCATACCTACATAGGAAATGTGATGACCTGTTGGACAATAGAAATATGAGTACTAAAAGCGAACAGACGGTGCGCTCCGATATGTTATATGTAAGCATTGAAATGAAAAGAGACGTAAATACATAACAAAGTATTTGATGAATAAAAAGGACTCATTCTTGATATGTATGGATGGGATCGTTGGCTTGTGTTGTGCTCTATTAGGATGAGGTCCTGGGAAACGGCCCAACAGTAGCACAGCTTGTCTTATATATGCTATATATTTCTTATACACTCAAATGGCTTTTGCATTGTTCTCAACCATCTATTGTCAGACCTTTCCTAAGTATATATGAGTGCTATTGAATAGAAATGAATTGTTAGTCAACTCACCTGGGAATCAATGGTATCAATACTATACTGCCAATGAAGCCAACACTAACCAACAGTTTTATCGGTTATACCATTAAAGCTATCAATAATCTTAAACAAGAATTTTCAAAAATACTTGTCTTAATCTTTTTCATTCAAATATTAAATTCAATATATGATTCTCGTGTGAAATGTCTCATCAAATATATACTATATGTTTGCTTTTAATCAATACACCCATTGTATTATTGTATTATTTATAATACTATTATACAGTAGTAGTAGTAGTTGTATGACTCACACTAACATTATAGCAAACTTGAAGCTCATTTATTTTAATTTAATTACCTCTAATATTAGGCCGCTTATGGAGATTTTGCATCCAAACCAATGATGAACAATAATACATATGACTCAAATGCACAACCATTTAACAACTTTCATATGAACTCTCAACCAATTAACGGTCCATTCAATGGTCACGGACTGGTGTCAGATGTCAACAGAGCTCATCACAGCCCCGAAAACAATGGCATCAATACTGATGTTACTCACGTCAATAGACATCAAATGATGAATAATAGACTTAAATCATTAATACAAAGTCGTCAAAACCAGAAAGAGATAAATAATGTACAAAATCACAATTCTTTTGGTTCCGGTTCACTGACTGTACCCCACCCCCACCCCCACCTCACACATCATTTGCAGGTTAGTATACATACCGTTAAAGTCTGCTTTTTTATCCAGTCATTAGTGTTAAGACATATAATTTACTTACTGTTATGTATTTCAGGTCAAACATACCTCGTAGTCCAACAACAGCCTAACACTACATTAAATTCTCATTATAATACATCTGTGCCTCAAAATCAAGAATCTGGACAAACAGTACCGCAATCTAATTGGTCACAACAGGAACACGACAACGGAGGTTACCATAAAAATATTAATGGTATCAATGATAAAATGGTAAATCAAACGGGAAGAAGAACACCATATAATTCAAATGATTTGCCAAATGGTTTCGTTAATCACAATAATAATAATACAAATGATTCTCAAAGCAATACTATTAAACAAATTAAGAATATTAAAAGTAATAATTTAAGTAAAAATAATATTATTAATAATGCAAATAGTAATAATCATGCAAATAATAATAATAATAATAATAATAATAATAATAATAACAATAATAATAATAATAATTCTCAATTCATGACAACAAACCAAAGTCAGTCATACACATCTCCAAAGCCTCAAGAATATCCTTTACAAGAAATGAATCCAAGAACTCCTAATCAGAGGCCAAGTTCCAGATCTTCACCGGCAAGAGCTGTCAAATCACCCGCCAGTAGTATCAAAAGTATGGAAACTGATTCATTGGTCACACTTACAACAAATGGTGTCAATTCATCACAACTCCAGAACTCAGCCGACCAGTCTCCAGAAAACGACCATTTTTTAGTGAATACGACCACAACTATGCACCTCAACCACAACCACCACCTCTCAGATTTGACAACATCTATGAATACATCTACAGGTATTTTGTTAATAAAGTTTTGACTGTGTTTTTATATAACTAATAAAATTTTTAATTTGAATTACAGATATTATCAATTCATATAATCTGAGTCCAAGCTCGCAGTCATCTGCTTTTTATTCCTCATTTTATATGCCTTCCTTAGGCTTACTCGACCCGAGCAGTCCTACTGTGATAATGAATGTCTCCGGCACTGACATCGAGGGCACCAAAAAGTCATTGGAAGAGCAGCAGATATCTATGGGTCACACCATTTCTAGCATAGATTGTGGTCGTATTATTGATTCGTTAGACACTAATTCTGGCCTCAATTTAATGGACGTGACATCGATGACATCGTTCATAAAGAGTGAACCAATGTGTGATCCGATCTCGTCTTTCTCATCACTACTTCATTCAAGTGAATCTACTTTAACAACAATGAGCAATACATCGCCAGTGAGCACAATGAGCAACACTACTGTTTTGCCGCCCGTTTCCACTTTCCTAATGCCCAACTTTCGTGACCAGAACTGGTGGGACAGGAATTTAGATAAATTGAAAAATAATAGTAAAGACATGAATGATTGCGACTGTTATGCACCCGACGAACGTGAGTACATCCAATCGTCAAGTTCTTCAACACTGACTTCTTTGCCCGCATCTCTTTCCAACTGATCTGATCTGAACTGAATCATTGCACCACTTCTTTATTGAATACTTCTGAAACTCTGTGCCACTCAACGAATGCCATCAAATATATATCTATTGCAACAAATAATTCATTTATTAAAAAACCAATGATATGAACTCTACTTTATTCAAATTGTAATTTTTAGTGTATATTAAGTACAGTGTGTGCCAAACAATTGCTTCAATTGATTGTCAATTTATTGCTCACTTTTATAGCCATAATATTTTCATTTTTGCAAATGTTTATATTAGCATTTAAAAGTTTTCATAAGATTTTATTTATGTGTCAAATTTATACCAAAAACACTAAACATAAAAAATAGTGTATAAGTATTAACAGTTCTTAAGCCATTAATTTTAGAGATCTATTATATATTATACATAATATATTGAAATATAAATTATTTTTGTTTAAAAGTGAAGATGAATTTAATTTCAGCCTTTGGTCAAAGTTAGCATTTGTAGGACTAAATCAATGTATTTATATAATAAATAAGCCAACGATTAATATCTTTACGCCTTCAAGTAATATACATAAATATTTGTATATATATATTATATTTTGCAGATAAATATGACACAAATTAACACATAGTCTAAATATATATATATAAATATAAATATTATTTTCATAGATTTTTCATACATTTTTAGAGTTTATTTTTATTTTTTGACAATTTATAAAGATTTCTAACGATTGTCTCATAAAAATTTATCATCGATTACAATGATTTACTTTTTATACAAACAGATAATTAATTAGAAGATTATAATTCTTGAAATGGAAAGAGATATCATATAAATTATTAAATTAAAAGTCAAATTTATAAGATTTATATAAATGTTATCCTACAATGAAATTTAATTCATTGAGGGCTGAAATTAAGGTTTACAATACAACAATTTATTATGATTTTTGAGGTAATATACTTATAATTTACTAAATGGTAGCTATAATGAGATTTAATCGACATTTTTTAGATGTTACAAAATTTTAATAATTGCAAAAAAACATCATTTTAAAGTCACAACTAAATCACAACAAATGTATTTTTTAATTTAATTTTAATTTGTATATATTAATAGAAATTATGTTTTATTAGACTGACCCAAAAATATGAGATTTTGAGCCCAATATTTAAGTTATGCACTTAACCTAAAACCTCAGGACATTTCTACCTCATTTGTTGCACCTTTTTTTAAAGCCAACGGTGCTCTCCATTTGGTTTTTTGATTAGTTTTTAATAATAATCCGCACATATTATCTCCTAATCATTATTAGTCGTAATATTGTTTTTTAAGTTCACACGATATTTAAGGAATTGTTTTGTTAATTGTTTTTTATTAGTATTTATAATTGTGTTTATTTAATTGAATTTAATGTCTTTTATGCTCTGAAAAGATTATTTGCATTTATTTTCTACAAACAAACAATTTTCTATATAAATAAAAATCTATGCAAATGTTTGACTAAATAGATTAGGAGTTATATTTATATATCATTATTTTGCTCACCGATTTTACTCATAAATATATTTATATATATATTGAAATTTTTAGTTTCATTTATAATTTATGCTATACTAAATTAAATTATTTAAATTAATTTGTAGCTAAAAGTGTCGTTTATTATATTTATTAATATTGCATGAAACTGAACACAAACTGTATTTATGTTTTTAAAAAATAACTATAATATAAAAATTTTACAAAAGTTTTCCAAACAATTTTTAAAAATTTACTTTTAAAGTTTATTTAATACCCAAAATAATGTATATTAAATTCAATAAAAGATTATTATTATATTTAATATAAATAATGTGATCAAATGTATAACAACACAATGTTTGCTAAATTATCTGTTTTGTATCCCAATATAAGTCTCATTTATAGTATTATATTTTGAGAAATTAATTATTTACTCTATTCTTAAATTATATCACTAATTATTAATGGTTTTAATAATATACAATTTCATTGTTTTAAAATCATTTTTACCAATTAATTGCAGACTTATTGACCAAATAATTTGTATATTTAATGATTTATATATTGAAAAGTTTGTAACTTTTTGGTAGAATTGATATTTTTATGTATATAAATATATTGTATTGACAGCTAAAATGTTTTTATATAAATAAACTTAAGTTTAGAGTCAATTGATTTCTCAAAATTATTACAACAGTATATTATATTTTTCTTCAATTAATAATAATTTTCCTAATATAAAAATTTAATTATTAATATTATTATTGAAATAAAGTTTTTATATAAATATATCACTAATTTTGTAGTTTTTTAAATGTTGTATACGAAATATATTGAAAATTGTCTATAAGTAAAACAAATAAATGAGTTAATCTCTAATTATTTACACAAATGTGCCATAATATTGATATGATTAATGATTTATTATATAGTATAACACCAATAAATCTAAGGTTTATAATAATATAAATAAAAACATGATTTTTATGTTAAAAATTTGTTTTCATTTAATTCATTGTTTAATTAAACATTGAATTCTCAATATATGATCACAATTATTGATCCACAATTGCATTTAATAACCTTATGTTTGTTTGTTTGATTCGGTTGACCTAATAGTATCAGTAATGATTGGTATGGTATTACTTAAACAGTCCTCTTTGGATGTCTGATAATGCCTGGCCTGTCATCAGGTGTTATGACGAGCACGTGATATAAAGATCTGAAGTTAATTATGAGTTGCATTAAAATCAAACAAATAGTAGGCATGAATTAAAATTGTTTTAAAATTACTAATTTTTGAATGACTTTAAACGCTATATTTAGCAAAAAATATTCCTTATTATAAACAATTGGGATATTCTTCGTCAATAAAAGGCATTAGAAAAATACTGGAGAACAGGTATGTTGTGTGAAGTGTGTCCTATAAGAGCACTTACTGTCTGCACTCTACTGTATTTGCTTTATTTATTTGCGTTAATCATCAGAATTGGTTTATATGGAAATGCGATACGAATAGAGTTAGTCATATATATGGATAAAGAAGGCAAAAGTAAAGAGGGCTGTCCTATAGCTAAGTCTATCATTAGGAGGTCCAGCAGTCAGGAGATAGTGTTAGCACTTGTAAGGCGTCGAAAAGGTCACAAATGTCAGTCCTCTTACATAATCGTATCAATTGTTGTTTGGGATGCAATTGATTTACAATTTGCCGACAATCTGTTTGATATGATTGTCAATAAAGTCAATGATTACGGTATTCCCACAAAAAGGAGATGCGCTCAAAATGAATCGTAAAGTTCTGTTAATGTCTTAATTAGACTCTATTGTAAAAATTGAATTTTTGCAGCAAAACATGTGGCTGTCAGGGAACCGACATCTCAACTAACGGCGCCTGTTATTCATACGGTTGCGGTTGGTCTATGTTTACCAATGGATGCAAATTTAGGAACAGTCAACACAAAAATATTAGAAAATTTCGACTTAAGAAAAGAAATCATGTATTGAATAAATTATAGTTAGATAATAATAATTATTATTAATAATTAAATTATATTGTTTTAGGAGTATGAACTCGAATATCATTTGAATAAATTGGCCACTGGTTTGGCCACTTTGTATGAGGCCATAGCACCCGATGCTTATCATAATCAGGTTTAAACATTTTAACTAAATTTAGTCCATAAAGTTAATTATTTATTATTTGATAATATTGTTGATTTAGATATTTTTTGAAAAGCAAGGATCAGACTGTAGGGTAGGCAATGGAAATGGACGGCCATTTAGTGGTGTAACTGTTTGTCTCGATTTTTGTGCCCACACTCATAAAGATCAACACAATATGAATAATGGCAGTACACTTGTGGTCACATTAACCAATAGATCACATTTGAAAACTGATTGTATTGATGAACAGTTCCATGTGTTACCAATGTATTCAATTGCAAGATATGATGAGTTAGGAAGTGTTGACAAACAATTAAGTAAACTTAATACCGACTCTATTAACATACTTAACAAATATCCACAAATTAAAAGAATATTATCCACTTCTCGACAATTAAAGTCCAAAAAAAATAAAAATGATAAAACATTATTAGATACAAATGAATGCCAACAAACAAAAAAAATAGATTTAAATAATGATAACATCACTGAATATTATTCAGATAATGAGCTCTGTTTTGAAGATAAATCAATGGGTGGTTTGGGATTAGCTCTGACCCATCGGTCAGTTTTGTTTGAATGCGCTAAACATGAACTCCACTCCACTACTAGTCTTAAGCAACCAAATCGTCGCAATCCTTCACGAATAAGTTTAGTGTTGTATCAACACAGAGCCCTTAATCATCCAAAACATGGATTCAACAAAAAATAGATTCATTTTATAATTTCAATATACAATCTTTAATTACTATTTGATAACAAATTGTAAATAAAATATTTTTAAAATTTTCAATATATATTTACATCATAAACATTAATAGTTAGTTTGTTGATCACTGGGTGCCGGCCAGGGATAGGCTGACATCTGAACATTTGACGGATAATTTTGGTCTCTTTGCTGAACATTTGATGTGACAGTCATTGGTATAAATGGTTCAATCGTTCCCGGAAACGATGTCATTGAATGGTAAGGTATCTGAGTTGGAGGAGATATTGGTGTGACTGTGTTTATGTGCAATGCGTTGATTTGATCAGACATTGAATTATATTGTGTTTTGGATATGTCCTCCATATTAATAAATGTCGAATTTGGAACAATATAAGGATTCGGCGGAACGGTATCCAAATGTTGTTGAACTTCCGGAACACGAGTTGGACTAATTTGAGTGTTTTTTATTGGGTTATCATAATTGGATGCAACAGTTGCTTCAATTTGTGATTCTTTAGTTTGAGACATTTCTTCATTTGTTGTTTGATTATTGTTGTCTACGTTAGCATTGATTTGTGGCGGAACTATATCTTGATGTAAGTTCGGTAAAAATATGGCGATTCTGTCCCAAGTAATTGCTGCCAATGTGTCGTTAAAACAGCCGGCCGTCTCCATCACCAACAGAATATTCTTAAGGGATTCTGGAATCGCTTCTTTCTGTAAATAAGATAATGTTATTTTAAAATAAAAATAATTGTTTATAAAATTGAAATAATCACTTACGACAAGATCTGTTTGCATATCAGCCTTCATATACTTATCCATAAAGTCAAGAATTGTTAGCCAAAGAGCAGTAAATGTCGATAGAGTTAATAATGGCGTCAAATGTTGTAAAAACACTTTACAGAGAAGATTTGTTGCTCGCATACGAGTTTCATCCATACCTATCGGGTCACACATATTGATTGGATCCAACAATTTTGATAGCAATGGAAACAACACCTTATAATTTAATAAATCATTTGTTATTTCATAAAATATACAATAATATTGGTATATCTCTACCTTATTAAAACAACTTTCCCATTGAGAGGCTGATAATACTTTAAGATCGTGTAACAGAAGTGCTCTTTGAAGGAAAGTTAGGGCACACGTGCGCACCGGTCGTCGAGAATCACAACAAAATAATGCAATTCCTATAATAAGATAATAAAATCTGTTAAAAAGTAATTAAAAAATGAACAAAAAATGTATGAAAACCTTGAAGTAAAGGACACCAAAGAGTTGACCACAAAAATTCTGAACTCGTATTCTCAACGGTTAGGGCAGCGTTTAAATGAAAATAATGCATTAAATCTAACAGTTTGAGAGCACATGTCTCAGTAACTGATGAAAACTTGGGTTGACTTTGATGGGCAACACTGATGGGCAGCACTTCGTCATCATCTTCGGACTCACTCGACGAAAGGATAGCGTTTGCAATCCGTGAAAGTCTAGACTTATTTGAAGCGTCGGCTCGAGATTTGGTACGAGTTTTGCGTAAATCTCCGCCAAATTTTTGTGTCGCAGATCTTCTTAATTGACCAGTTTTTCCGGGACTTATCTGTATCTTAATGGACGCCTCAACAAACTTCTGCAGCGCATCGACTGCTAATTGTGCGACAGTATAAACATTAGATTCACTAACAATTGGCTGAATATTTTTGACATTATTTGGTAAAACCTCTCTTATAATTAGAGTCAATATTTCTGTACTCTTTTCGAAGGCTTCCAAATCAAGGATTCTATAATTTGGTAACAAATTCTGTGCTAAATCTTTATTACTATTTGTGTCCGCAAAAAATCTGAATGTATTATTAAGATTGGGTTCAATTGTTTTAATAACATCGAGCTCTGAGTCAGATGTATAGCCCCGTGAAATGTTGTGTGTGTTGTTGTCAACACCACTATCTTCGCCATCACTTTGAATGTTAACGTTTTCACTGTTATTCTTCGGCAAACGTCTTTGATAACCAATTCCGACAGAGAGTAAAAAATTGAATATTACGGACCAATCCTCAGTGCGAGTGATATAACAATTGCATTGAGATATAAATGAATGCAATGCTAGTGCTGTTGTTTTACGTTGAATTATATTTGGTTCAAATGTAAGCAATAAATGACATAATAATAAAAAGATTTGTTCGCTTAATGAGTCGGGTCTTGGAGTGAATCTAATGGCCAAACGGAAGATTGTAGACAATACTCTTTCAGTTAAATATTCGCTTTTTGGACACAAAATTATTAATCGTAATAAATATCTAGATATTTGTCCCCAAAATACAGACACTCTATCCCTAAAAATAATAAAATTGAAAATTGTTTAATTAAATAAAAATATGCAAATTATTTGGATTGTAACCAACCTATTCATTAAAATGATTTTTAAGATTATTTCTAATTTAAAAACTTCAATGTCATCGTCCAAATCATCGCTACTTAACTGACAATTGATTAAAGATTTGAGAAGTGCTAACAAAGAATCGATGTGAAGAAATTTAGATTCTTCTATAATAAGGATTAATGGCTGACAATAATTGTTGACAATAACAGAACGTGTTTGAGATCCAGAAGATGCGTTTGATTGGATCTCTTCACTCATCGATTGATTAATATTTTGATTAGTAGTCAGAGAAATATCATTTGAATCATTTTGCTGTTGATTTCCAGCAAAATAGGAATAAAAACTCGAAAGAAATGTTGACGAAGAATCTGATTCTATCTTTTGTTTTTGATTATCTTTGCGACAAAATGTTATTTTCTTGAAGTCTAACGCAAAATCTTCAATTTCAAAGGCACCGTCCAATAGTTTAGAGTTATACCAATTGAGGATCAGTTCAATAATATTATTCCACGACTCTCTCATTTCATTGGCGTATTCACGAGTTATACCAAACAAACATTGAGCCGCTAATTGACTTTTATTCGACATTATCGGTGATGATATATAAGATGTATTTAAAATGAATTTGGATAAACTAACCACAAGATTGTCGAGATGTCCATAAGTGGCACATAAAAGGGCACAACTATTAAAACCATTATTTAATAGACGACGTGTTAGACCAGATTGTTGTTCGGGATTTATTTTATCAAAAATGAAAGTCATTGCGGCCACAGTTGGGCCCCAAAGCACTGCAAATATGGGTCCATTTAAAGTCAACAGTTTAAGACTATATTCTTGACTATTGTTTTGTTCATTTAAAGCAACACCGGATTTATTGCACTCTTCATTGGTATACCAATAAACGCCATTTTCTGTTTCACTGTTTCGTAATAAATATTTCCATAAATACCGGTCCCGAACTAACCCGTGCTGTTCCGCCGGCATTATTATCTCATTAGTTTTGATAGCCATATAAATCTCTCTAAGCATTTCGGGATCAAAATCGGTGCCACCATTAACTTGTCTTAAATTTGATTTGAACTCTTCGTATGTCATCGGATTGGTCTGTCGTTTGACATTAGTGTTGTGTTGGTCCACATTCAGCATAATTATAGCGTAGGCCAAACTGAAAGCGGCGTCTTCATTGACAAACGGACAGTCATTTGATTCCTTGTTTTAAAAATACATTAATCATTAAAATTGCAATAAATAATACACAAAAAAACATTGACATACGTGCCAGTGATGTGCGAAGTGCTCCAAAATCATTGATATAAGGGGTGCCTCTCCGGGCAATCGGAATGATTCGAGGAATATTCTGAGAGCGAAATCCAGTCGCGTGTCTTTAAAAGCAAAACTCTCGACAAATGTCCTCAAAATTTCTAAATTCTTTTTGTTAGACAAATACTCTCCAATTTGTCTCTTATCGAGCTTTGGATTGTCTCTCAAGAATGAGACGATATCCATATCACAAGTGTTCAGATGATTGTCATTCAGACATTGAATACCTTTAGCCGGCTTTGTATTGAACAGTTCAGTGGCCGTCGAAAGTAATTCTTTGCGATTCTTTTGTTCGTTTATTTCAATTGTACTTTTGGGCACTTTTTCTAGTTTAGGAAATTTGTATGAAACAAATGTTTGCGGTTTAACTGATTCGCGAGATTTACTAAAATCTGTTTCAGTTGTTATCTCTTTTAAATCGCTTTGAGTAATGGTTTCAAAGTTATCGTTTGTCTCTGTCGTAACGGTAAGCTCTGTAAAAGTTTCAATTGACTCACTTCTTATTGAGCCGACATCAATGTCTTGTGGAGATTCTGACATTTCTTTTGGATCTTCTTTTGTCTCGTTAGGTATTTGTCTTTGTTCTTCACAAACAATGTTAGGTAACGGTTGGTTAAATGTATTGCTAATCATATTATTATCATCTTTTAATACATCAATGACATCATTAGTACTTTTATTGTGAACAATATTGACATAAGTGGCGGCCGGACACACAACTAAAGTATCGTCGCGACATAATTCAGCCTTTTGTAGACTCTTAAGAATGGCCAACAATGAGTCTAAAGACAACATTTGCATTAAACTAAACTGAAAGTTAGTAACAGAAGTCATAGACGTTTGCTGTGTATTAACTAAAGTGGTAAAACAATTCTTGGAAAAAATCTGTAACAAATCTTCTAATAAATTAGAGGCGTATGGATCACAATCGTAATTAAAGTAGACCTCATGTGGCAAATGAGGTATGTGTCGGAAGAAAGCCACCAAATACTCGCAGGCAATCTCTCGGAACTCAAACGGTGCGTTTCCCGTCGTTATTATACCCATAAGCCGTATGAGAAGCGCTTCAAACTGGTATTTCAAATGCATTCGTAAATTTGTGAATATAAGAAATGCTAAGCGAAGGGATGCGGCAAATGAGCTCAAAGGTCTATCACTTTGAAGAAGCTGTCAATTAGTAAATCATTTTATGTTAAACTATATTATTGATTCAAAACATCATTTAAATCTCATTAAAAAAATAAAACATCAAATAACCCAAACCTGCATTAAATTCCAACAAAGATCTGTTTTAACAGTTGATAGTAAGCTATGTTTACTACCGATGCCGTGAACTGATGTTTCAAAGGCAACAGTCAGTAGAGTGAGTCCAACGTTTATCATGGCTTCAGTGTTCTGTCCTTCGGGTAACGGGTTTATCAAAGATGTTAAATATGATAGCAATTCATGAATACACGCCAATCCATAATAATGTCGGCGTTTATCTGCAATTTAATTATATTTTTTTAATAAGTGTTTACTAAAAAAACATTTCAAACATACCATTATAAGCATAAATATCTTTATTAAATTTAATACTCTGTTTGTTAGTAAAATCAGTCTTCGAGTTATGTTTTATCTTCTTATTTAGCGATGAACTCATTTTAGASTTCATTTTCAGAAAACATAACTCATCGACAAATTCGTGATTAAATTCAGGTATTCTTCTGAAGAGTACGTGAACCATATCGACTAACGATTGTTCCGCACTTTTCCTCAACAGTTCACTAAGTCGTGGTTCAAAAGCAATGCGAAAACAGCTCTGCATTATCTCACAAACCGCACCATTTGTCAGACTCTCATATCGTCTAACAATTAACTCCTTGAGAACATTCAATATCCTCATGAGTACCACTTCATCACTACTCGTATCAGTGCCTATGAAACGAGCCTTCGTTACGGAATCGCTAATCATTTGAATAGCGTTATCATTAGTGATAAGTCCATAGTTAATAAACTTAAGGATTGACTGAAGAGCTAAACCAGTGATGGGTCCGCTCACGTCTTTGTTTTTAATTACTTCACAAAATGGTCTCAAATAGTTGGGATCGGTTACAACTAATTTATCTTTTCTTAGTTTTGTTTTCAAACGAATCAAACTTTTAAGCAGTGGATCTGTGATTATATCTTCCACATCATCTTCGTCTTCATATTCGGCCACTAGTGCTGATAGTCTCGATTGAGACGTATTTGTGGATCTGTTGAGTGATGTGCCACCTCTTTGAGTGCCTCTCATTATAGCAGTTGACAGGATTGAGGCCTCACCTAACACTACCAGACGTACGGAATCTGATGACAATTAATGCAAATGTCAAGTCATTTAAATAAAATATAAGTCAATAAACAATTCATTCATACCGTCATCCATGGTATCCATCGTTGCTCTTGTGATGAGTTGGCGTTCAATTGAAAAAACTCAATACAATATGTTTGTCATTAAATCAATCAAATCATTGACTGAATGACTATTTTGGTCAATGAGTTGTCGTCATAATAATTGGCGAGTATTTAGTAATCAAAGTAAGGATTTGTTGTAAACAGTTGTCAGTTGTCTTTCAATTGATCCCTTAAAGTGATTCACTATAACTCTGTAACTCAATAAACAAATAGTGAAATGTGTTGAATGTTTGGCGCATGTCTTCAATGTCTTCAATCATTTCAATCAATTACACAATACTTTCAAACTGTTTTGAAATTTCATTTTAAGTTCAATTCAATAATTTATTGTATTTAAGATAATAATTAAATCTGATTTAATATATTTTATTTTTTAAATAACGATTTTTTAATTATTTATTAAAAATTTCCAAATAAATAAATTTAATTACAAAAGTTAATAATAAATTGACTAAAAAATACTCTGAAATTTAATAATTTATATCAAAAACTGTTTTAAATTATCTTCAAAAGTAAGCAAATTTCAAGACAATGGATCAAATGTGTTAAACAATAACTTCAAGAAGTATATGTAAAATATTGGCCAATAAATTGATAAAGAAATCCCAGGTTTCCGAGTGTTTGTCGTCGTGTTTATCAGTCTTATGTTTGTTGTCCGCATTGAACGCCGATTTGTGTCTATTATCTGACACTTTATTATCCAAACCCCTGAAGGGTTCGCCAAAAAACTCTTGATAAAAGTCGAGCTCATCATCGGTTAGATAGATATTGTGTTGATCCCTGTCGTTGTCATCGAAATAGTCGACTCCAATCACATCTAAAGTAAAAAGACTTGTCTCATGACTCGGGTGTCCGTAAACACCGATACCGATCGGTCGTCGCATATGTTTGTCCACATGAATCACATCCTTACCACACGTGACACTCTGGAAGTCGTGTTCGCTGAAGTCATACTTAGGCTTAAGTGTGCGGCCATTGGCGTCGGCTTCTGACACATAGAGGTCAGCGTCACCCGAATGAGTGGTCAAAACAAGTCTCAATTTATTGTTGCCATTATATGAATAGTAGCTATAATTTCCCGATTCAATCGATCCGTCCACCGATTCAATGAACAGTACGGAACTGTCGGCCAAACAAGTGTTGACATTAAGGCACCAAAAGGTGATTATTATGACAAACAATGATTGTATCCACACATACATCGTGTCATTGAATATACATTTCATTCAATAGTCATCTAAATTGTGATCAATATATCAATCAATTGATTATTAAATTAAATGTTTGTTTCATTCAATTACTTGTTTTCATTCATTTTATTTGAACCAAACTTTTACCGATTAAGTAATGCTTGCATTAAATGCTATTATAAATGCAAAACATATAAATAAGTGAATGACTTCCAGTCTATAAGTTCCCACATTTTCCATATTTCTCAAAGTATTATTGTTATTAAATATTTTCTAAACTAGTTTTCATAATTATAAATAAACTAATATTTTTTACTACCGTTTAGTATAGATATAAATACTGTATAACCAGAGTATGATTTACATACAGTATTTTAAAATGATTTGTCGACAATTTAATTAATTTTACAATTATTAATATTATGATTTTAATTTTACTAATTACTGTAGTAAATAAATTTCAGATACATTGTACATATAATGAATAATAATTTTTTATTTACTAATTAAAAATATGCTATAATAAATCAAAATGCATACATTTAGTTTTATTGTTAATTTAGTTTTTTACACATTTTGTATTTTTATAGTTTTTCATTACTGAAAATGTAAATATTTATTAAAATCAATATTAATTTACACAAAATTTCACATTAATTTTTTTGTTCAAATACTCATTTTGTATGCAAAATATATTTTTATATAATTTAAAAATTCTAATGAAATTATTTGAATAAACGGGAAATTTTTGGTAACTTTGTTCACATATCGGATGACATGCAATGCAATCGATGTTTGTGTTATGCAATGTATGTGTGAATCACGTGATTAGAATCAGAGCTAACATTTGATGACAAAATAAGTGATACTTTTTGGTGAAAATGTTTTAATATATTTCTAATCATTTGATTAATTGATTTCAGTTTTTTTAATTCAAATCATTGATTGACCGAAAATCTCATCAAATATGTTATGTTGTCATCGGTTTCGCCAAATGTGTGGTCAATTGAATACAATTGACAGGAATATGAAGACATGTATTGTGTCACCGAAAGTGTGGACAAGTAATCACTTGATTGGCGTCTCATTTATACGCCATTTGTGGGGCAAAAGCTCACCCAAGAAGAGAGGAGACGTCACTTCACGGATCAAAGTAAAAGATGTAACTCTCGCCAGTCGTTTATTTGAAGAGACACCCAATCGACATAAGGAACAGTATCTGGAAGTTGTGGACAACTTCGAGAACCACAAGTATATCAAAAGACAAGGATATGTTGAGTTCATAACGGCTGCGCTTCCGTATCTCAAAGACTATGGCGTTCATCGAGATATTGAAGTATATAAGGCTTTAATGAATATCTTCCCAAAAGGCCGTTACGTTCCGTCCAATGCTTTCGCCGCCGGTTTCTTCCACTATCCTCTCGAACAAAGAACTGCTGTTGAAATTCTGTGTTCAATGGAGAGGAATGGTATATCACTACAGTTTTATAGCTATTATATGATATAATTGACATTTTTTTATTAATCTCTTTTCAGGTGTGATTCCCGACAGAGAAATAGAAAATTTGATAATTAAAATCTTCAGCAAATATTCAAATGTATGGAAAAAGTTTGGACGAATGCACTATTGGATGACTAAATTGAGAAATGCCAACCCTTTCCCACTTCCAGATCCATTACCTTTAGATTCATTAGAGTTGGCGTTGTTGGCCATTAAGAGGATGTGTATTGACATACAAACAAAAATCAGTGTCTTATCGGTTGGTGTTTAGAAAACTTTCTAATATTGTTTTAGTATTTAAAAAAAATGTTATCAATTTGTAAGACGAGTCAAATTGAAGATTCATTGGAAAAGACATGGATAGTGTCGGGTCAGAGTCCACAACAAAAACAAATAGTTGAAGAATTGCCCACAAATGAGAGCGTTTATGTTGAGGGACCCTTCAAAGTGTGGTTAAGAAATCAATCGATCGATTACTTTATTATTAGAGCTAATAATCCGAATCCTGTTTACAATAAAGATGACGATCTTTTAGATAATGACGAACTAAATGGTTTGTTTCCATTATTATTATTTAATAGATATTTTACATGAAATTCAACATATTTTAATAAAAACATTACAGACGTGTCATCGATTCCTTTGTCGACCTTCGGAAAGGTAGATAAAACGGAAACATTGGCGCCGACAAAGAATATCCACATTCAAGACGACGGCAAGATATTAGCCGTCTCTGCCACCGGTACTTCCAGTCGAGACTCACTCTTATCGTGGGTTCGGTTACTTCAGGTAACAAATCCTAAGTTAAAGTCAATTCCAGTTGTGTTTACATTAAAAGGAACGCCAACTGATATACAGAATATTACTGATTCTGAATCTCAAGGAATTAAACAATAATATTATTTGTGTATTACTATACAGTAGTTTGTCTGTAAATAATTGATTTATTCTTTTTAATAATAACCTGTTATTTAAATTAGTAAATAATTATTCATTATATTCATTATTTATTTGAAAAATGTAATTATGTTAAAGTTTATGCATTGTTTAAAATATAATTTAATAAAATTATTATAAATCTGTGAATTAATTACAAACATAAAATTATTTAAAATGATAACATAATAAACTCTCTGCAATCTCTGTTCATAACATAACATATATAGTCTCTCATAAATCACAGCCGATTAATAAAAAATATATTTAATTAAAATTATTATATAATTTGCAATTAGTTTATAAACAATGGAATTATCGTCACTTAATGTCTGTATGAAGAGCTGTTCACAATTGCACTTAACTTTTATGACTAACTGTTTATTAACTAATGACTAGTTGTCTCTAATTGTAATAAATTACTTCATCAGACATATAGACGATGTGAATACAATGGATCAGATTGTGAGCAAATTTAGGCGAATTTGGCCACAAATGTCAACACTTTTGGCCGTTTGGCTAATTTCTAAATGATTTAAATAAATTCAAATTATAGACAAATATAGTTTTAACTATTTATCAATTATTGTATATCTATCACTAGTTATAATACTCATGTTATTGTCTAATCAGTATCGCATTTAAAATGATTTCAATAATACAGTACATTATGCTAAAGATACTCAACTTTTAGGAAAATTAGTTAACAATTATTGACGAATTAGTCTAATTCTTCAATACTTTTGTTGCATTGATAGGAATGCGATTTCATTATAAAAAACAAATATTTTTGTGCAAAATAAATAATTTTTCAGTGGAATCGGTTTATAGGATGGAATGGTAGGAAATATCAACAGTTAAATGGCTTTATATACAAATTATTTCACTCAAAAAAATAATTCTTGCAAAATAAGCCCTTTCTTTATAACTTATTGTTCATAAATTCGGTTATAACTGACTCGTTATCAAAATGTTTATCATTATTAAACAGATGTGATGGCCCAGTATGTGTTGCTATCAGCTTTGGGATGCCATACGTTAACATTGTTATCCGATTCGTCGACATTATCGGTTATTTTTGTACTTTCATTACAATTATTTTGAATTAAATTTGTAGTCGCCTTATTATTATTACTATTAATGTTGTTATTGTTGACACTACTGTTAGTGGTATTAATAGTGGTAACAACAGAAGTTGAGTTTGTTTTCAACTCTGTTTTTATCACTTTTAAATCATTTGTATCATTGTTATTGTTATTGTAATTATTGTGAGTTATTTTTGTTTCAGTTTGCAATGACTTAGTTTTGAATTGAGAACTCTTTGAAGGCAGACTTGCATAGCGGGTAATGTCTCGAGTTATAGCTCCGGGTGTTGGAGGTGTTGTCACTCCACTTTTGGCACCATTTCTTTCTATCAATTTTAAAGAAAATAATAATAAATCAGTTATTTATTTCATACCAATTATATTACCATTTATTTCAGAGAATAAATTATCGTGACTTTTGCTAGATTTAGGCGACCAATAGTTGAATGGAGGCATCCTGAAAGCCCAGTGGTCGCTGTAATAAGAACTCGCGGAACTACTATAACCTGATGTCGACGACGAAGAACAAGAAGAGAATGCAGACGATAGGCTACTCCTCTGATAAAAAAGTATGTATGCATCGGATGTAATGACTGAAGACTCATTGACGGGAACTACTTTTGTATCATCAAAATGATACCAACAATTGTCAATTGGATTTCGACAAAATGCTATTAACGTAACAAAAAATATTATTTATTCAATTAGCTAACAATAATATTAATTAATGATTGTTAACCAACCCGTGTAATGTCCACTTTGCATATTTCCCTTATGGTTACAAACAGCATATAAATCATAAATATTATCGTCAGTTCTTGTAATAAACCGACTATACATTCGTGATCTTTTTGATGGCGACCAAAGTGCTGGTAAACCGTTAGTTATATTACCATTAGTTTGAGCGCGAGGAACAATATATGCACTCATGTCTAAAGTACAGTATAATATATATATATATATATATACCAGTAATAGCAACAAAAATATTAATTTACAATTTAGTCATTTAGTAATAATAGTTATTAAAATCATACCTAAACCTGTTTGAGGAAACACTACATGAGTGGTCACTTTATTTCGTTGTGATTGAGATGATTGACGGAAACGTTTCAAATGAATAATAAAGATATCGGGGACGGACCACAAATTCAACTTTTTAGTACACTGTTGCCGCCGCTTACATGACGGACAAGTCCAGGCATTATCGGCGCACAACTGTTTAATTAATACCAAATAATTAATTAAATTATAAAATTAAATAATCAAATATAACAAACCCTTTCTTCTTTAAAATACATGTCAAAGCAATCTCTAAGTGAAGCCCTATTAGTTTTTTGAGACCTGGCTTTAGCCAATTCAATTGAACTGTCCACTACTGGGTCATTCATTTGGTCATCAGCAATAATCAAAGTTTGTCTCATATCGAGGTCCCATTCAACCATTATTTTCAAATGAATAGGTCCTCTATACTCCTTATCTTCACATCCAGTCAGTGCCTTATCGACAGTTGGCATATATAACGGATGATCAACATCTTCAGGCAAATATGCTTTACCAGGTATACCACCAATAACTCGAAGTCGTAAATTAAGACTACAACTGATTGAACTAATATCAGAATCATGTTTAAGCATAGATCTCATGGCACTAATTATGTCTAATTGGATTTGTTTATAGGATGCTTCTCGAGATATCAGACAAGAAAACAATGGTCCAAATATTTTTCCCTGATTTCCGATACCGACCCGATTGGACCAAATCAATGTTAACTTTTGTCCGCTACCATTACTTGAGATCGAGTTATGGTTAGTATAGTTTTGGTCGACTTTTGGTGTTTCCAAAGCATAAATTTCATTCATATCTTCGAGAACTTCCTGAACAATATCAGAATCTTTTGCTAATTCTTTGAGACCAAATTCTTGTCCAATTAATAGAAGAATTAATTGTTTTTCGGGTATTTTTAATAAGCGACTAATTTTATCTCTTAATTCTCTAATAGTGGCCAATGATTCAATAGTAACACCAATTTTAATCTATAATTAGTATTAAAATTATAATAACTTTATTTTAGCAAAATATATGACATTAAAACTGATCGACACTTACTTCTCGTGGCTTTCTATCGAGAAATACTGAATTTATAAGAAGAGTGTGCGTCAGTCTAATGGGAACGGGTAGTGATAGACATAGGTATGGATCAAATGTATTGCTATGTTTACCACAGGATCGGCATACAAGAGATGATCTCAATTGTGCCTGAAATAAGTCATGAATAAAACTACTGTTGCATCGCATATAATTGGCCAAAGTCTCCGCTGCTATTATCTCATCCGATCGATTGTTAGATAAACTCTATAATTAATTTTATAAACTTTTAATATAACTTAAATATAAAGTATAATTTAATTATTATGTTATTTATCATTAAAAATAATATTAAAGCATTGTTGATCATTGATTGAAAAAAATACTATTTAATTATCGAATATTATATAGCTATTATTAGTATTTCTAATTTTTATCTTAAAAAATTAATTTAAAAAATATAAATCATATAAATACTAATACAAATATAACAATTGTAATACACCTGGAAATAACATCTCCATAATCTAAAAATTTCATTAATTGAATCCAATTTACTTAATTATATTTACATAAACTAATATTGAATTAAAGGTGATATTTATTTCAAGTGCATTGCCATTAGTTTTATTAATTTATTAATAAAAAGTAAATGACATTTATAGTGTTGATTTTGTGTCACATGTATTTTAATTAAATGTACAGTACTGTATAGTATAATTTTTATCATAACTACAATATTATTATTATTACTATAATAGCTTTAAGCAAACCATCAATAAAAATATTTGAACAGCCATTCAATTGAATTTAGTTAATAACAATAAATTGATAAACATTTGATTAAAATTATCTGATAAGAGAAACCATATATTAAAACGACAAAAAGTTTTGTTGAATAACAATGCAATAAATTCATATACAGTATACAGTAATTTAGTAAATTAAATGATTATTTATTAAAAATACTTATTTTCTATATGAGGCAAACATATTGCAATAATTATTATTATAGGCAATGGGATAATACTTTAGTTGATATTTAAATAAACAAATATTGTATTGTTATTTTCATTTATTTAAATATGTTATATTATTATCAAATAAGCTAATAAACAATGTAATATTAGATAATAAACTATAACTCATAATTATAAGCAAAAATAAATAGTTTTCAATGAGTATTTAAAACTTACTTTAATTTTTTTATATTTCTTTTTGTTGGCAATATTAAGGTCTTCGTGACACTTGTCGAGAAGCCAAAGAAGGAACTCCTGTGCGTCGTGTTGTTCACTGCCTTCATATTGAGCGCTATATTTAGCCATAAGTGTCTTGAATTTACTGGAGATCTCACTCGAGTACATACAAGACCACAAAGATTTGAGTAATAGTGCCAACTGTTCTGTTAGTTCTCCTTTAGTGCCATACTTTTTGGCGTGAAGTTTGTTATGTCTTAACGAATCACTCCTATAGTGATTCATCACAAAATACTCGGCCAATAGATCTGTATTACAAAGACATTGTATGATAGCTGTCATGAAACACGTGTTGCCGTGATTTTTGATGCCACAAACGGCCGGTACTTCAAAGCCGTTGACCGCCGAATGGTTGCGATTATGACTGTTTTGTTCAATAAGTATGTGATGCCTATTAATGTCACCATTAGATGCCGAAGATGTGAATGATTCTGGTTTTGATCGACGTCTGTCTAGTGTTGAACTTCTTTGTTCTGATAAGTATGCGCTTTGAGTTCGCGGTGACCGATATCCCTGACCACTGTCTCGATGTCCTCCGTGAACGGGTGACGCCAAGTGTCTCATTAAACGTATAAAAAAGCTTTCCTTTACATAAACATTGCGTTTATTTCGGTATTCATTGTAATTATTGGTTGTATTTGCGGTCATTTGTCCGACCGAATCATTTTCTGGATGTTCTTCGATAGCGGCCACCGGTCTGTCGTTAGAAACCATACTTTTTCTTTTAATTCTCTTTCTTCTTCCGCTAAGAAAACGTGGAAATGTAAAGAATGGTCGACTCAATGGCTCAGACGGTAGTCTTCGTTCATTTTGGTCACTCTTACAGTCATTTCTTGTCTCAACATTAATATCTCGTTTACGACTTTCGTTACATTTATTATCACTTATTGACTGATCCATCAAATCGTTGTTCTCATTGTTATTTTGATTACCGGTCAGTGTCTTATTGCTGTCCACTGAATTGGCATCAAATGAATGACAATCTTTGTCTTCATTCGGACTTTCCATGTCTTCAAAGACTTCTTTGGATTCATTGCCCAATAATTGTGTCGTTTCTGACTTCAAGTCAGCCATTCGGTGATCTTTAGCTGTCTATAGTTACCGATGTCTTTGACATCACTTTAATGACTAAGCGATGGACAAACAATTGTTATCATTTAGAGACCAATTGTTTTTAATTTGTATTCAAGACATTCATATCTCATATGAAAACGCAAATAATGTCTTTATTAACCATTAAATGAATGATTATATAAATTATCATTTATTAAAATCACTAATAATATCATTAATTTGTTGTCAATTATTATTAAAATTATTGTCAAATATTTGTGTTTTACTTTTATGTTAAAATTAATTTAAATTAAACAATAATTTGTATGAAATGATACTGTATTTAACTGTAGTTTAATTAAAAAACAATATAACAAATTATATGACAAAAATTTATTAAATAATTTATTATTATTATTATCAATAAATAAGTTGTTTTGCGAGTAAATGATATCACAATTTATTATAAAAATGAAATGAAATTTGTTTTAATCAATACTTAAAATATGATATATTTAACATTATATTTAACATTATATTTAACATAATATAAACACTATTAAACACTATATCATAGTTAATTAACTACCAAATTGTATCAATCATTATAATTGGGTTATAAATATTTTTATTTAAAAAAATCATAACAATATTAATTTATATAATCAACAAAAAATAACTAATAAAAAATATTTGTTTTCATTTAATATAATTTAAATATAAATTAAAATCAATTGTTTGGTTACATTGAATTTGAAACACTAAACCACTACTACTGTCAATCAAAAACATATATAACTTAAAGACTAAAACATTATTAATAAAAACAAATGATTTTAAAAAGCTTTACATTTTGTGATCTGAGTATAAATAAGACTTATATTAAGTGATTAAATGACTACAACTATAACACACTATCACATCATATATTGTATTGAAATAATAAATCTAATAAATATCTAATGAGTGTTGCGTTAAACACAAACACTGTTATCCTATGGACAACCCTATCGATAGACACAACTATAGCAGTATTGCATCACTTGATAGGCCTTATAGTAAAAGCTGTTTATGAGACTCACATTCAGCTCATTGTTGACTGCAATGAGATGTTTGTATGACTTATGTAATGGTTTTATAGGTTTGAGTAAAAACATTCAGTTTTATCATATGATAAATAAATACTGCATTCAATGACTACCACTCAGTCTAAACATTAGTATTAATATACAGTTTATTAAATTATAGCTTTAAATACATTGTAGTGACTGTAGTGACTCCAAACGGTACTACTATTTATTACATAAAATATACCGTTATATCAATCATACAACTATTAGTGTATAAAAGTATAACATTCAGACCAGTGTTATTAGGTGTTTGACATTTCAACATACGGTATAACCAATTATTAATTTAAAATTAATTTTAATTAAATAACATTTTAAAAATAACCAAGTTCACATACACGTTTAAATATTTTGTAAATAAATATTTTATTTTTTAGTCATTTAACATAAAAAATTAATTTAATAATTTCAACAAATTTTAATATAATTTTTCTTACAAACTAAATATCATTTTTTTTGTAAAATTTAGAATAATTTATATAAAAATAATAAATCACAGGAATTTGCAATCAATGAGATCTAATGTGAAAAGTTATGTCAATTAAAGTTATAAAATAAAGTTTTTTTTAATCCAAACAAAACTTTTCCGATATTTCACTTGTTGTACTTCCAGTGGACAGTTCGTCATCAGGATATAGACCTCTGATAGTAAAACAAGGATCTGTTATGCATTGGTTTATTGTCCACTCCGGCACAAAATCGTTTGAATTGATGGTCAGTTGTGTGGTTAGCTCGAAGTGGTTATTGTCGACAGCAGTGTTCAAAGTGGACAGTTTGTGTTGGATCTGTTGAAGTTCGTGACGGCCTAACAATAACTGGTAGTCTGTATGTGCTTCAGCCAACTCTCTTAAATCAGTTAATTTTAGTAATAATTTTGGGAACAAAAGTGAAGAGCGCTGAGAGCCGTACCGCCAATTCATATATGCCTTCATTAGTAATAAATATTTTTCCTGTTCTTTCTGAACTAATTGACTGGCCGTCAGTCCCTCTCTGTCCGATGTCAACAAAATGACAAGAGTTAGCATTGTAAAGGTTGGTTCATCCAAATTTAATATCTTAATTGTCTTAATAAACTGCATGTGTTTTTCCAGAAGATCTTTAGTCACCAATGATTGCAAGTTATCCGAATAGATGACACCCGAAGACCGTTCATCATATCTCCAATGTTTTCCTCTCAGGTCATAACTGAACGCTCCTTTGAGGAAACATAACTCCAGAACTCCTCCTTTCAATAGGATTTGTTTATCTTGAGCTGGAATTGAAGCAAAAGAGTCAAATTGATGGACAAATAGAGCGAACTGTTGAATGGCTGTGAAGAATATGTTTAAGATATCAATCGGTACTCTACTGTCGGCATTCAAAGCGGCAGTCGTTTCGCAGTTAATGTTAAATGATATCTCTTGCGAACACTTTCTGATTTTAGTCATTATATTTTCTATTAATTTAACCTATTTTTAATAAATTACTATTTTTTATTAATTTTATAAACTTTATTATAAATATATTAAATAATATTAAAAATTAAAACCTCATCTTCCTTAAGAAATGAATGAATTTGATTAATGTTTGGTTTATATTTGAAGACATTTTCACATTTCAAATCTTTTGGTTTGATCTCACAGACGGTGTCACTGAGTTTGCGTTTTGAAACCCTATTCTTCAACATTTTCACCCTTTCCTCTTCAGTCATAACCCAACTCTTTTCCATACCAATGGACAGACATTTATGAAATCTATTTAATAACTATAATAATTATATATTTTTTGCTAAATAATTTTTTAAAAATATTTATAAAGCAAATCACCTGCAATATTGACAAGACTTTCTTGAGTTAATAGTTATTTCACAGTGTCTTTCATAAGGACAATGAAAGTTAAGAAAAGCATCGTTTTGGACACTTCTTCGAAAAAAAGCTTTACAACTATCACATGAAATACCGCCAAACTATTTGAATATATTTTTATAATTGTTATGATTAAACCATTTGAAAATATTATATTATTATATGTTATAAATACAGTATACAGTAATTATATACTAAATTGTCTAAAAAGTTATATAAATATTGAATTAAATGCCAAATGTTAACTCACGTGATAACTCTTTGCCCGATCGCCACAAACTCTGCAGACTTTGATCTGTTTGTTAACAACATTATTGACAAATTGATGGCACGATTGTGAAGTCGTTGCTTCAATTGTTTGTACATTTGATTGTTGTTGTATTGCCGACACATTTGCAAAGACATACATATTAGATGACGAATCTTCAGATGAGACAATACTACAGACACTGCCATTAGGAGACAGGGGTTCACTCATCACTGCTAACATTACAAATATTAGTACTGTATTATCGGAAGTATTGCTTAAAATTATTTTTTACTAATTATCAATTAAATTATTAATTTTTAATTTTTAAAAATGTATATATTTTTTATTATAAATCAATAATTTATTATATTAGTCACAATGTTTAAAAATAAAAAACAAAACACAATAAATCTAATTTTAGATATAATTAAAAATACTAAATAATTAAGTTATTTTTATATTTGGAAAACTTATTGATAAATTGGTTAATTAATCTCAATAAATTTTTATTGCAAATACAGTTACAATTTTAAATGAATGAAACGATTCACTAATTAAAAATAAATATAAATATATTGATAAGAAATATATGATTGTGTAATGAAAAACACAATTATCAATAATTTTATTAAAAAATTAACTGTAATATTTATTAGTAATATTTAAAAATTATATATTTTTATAATCACAAAATATTTTTAACAAACTTATAAAAAATATATTTTATATAATACTGTATTAAATAGTTAAGACATATATTTTATATAATTAATATTTGTTTTGATTGATTATAAATAATAAAATAAGTCATAATATGATTTCTCTAGTCATTTGACTAAAAGTTAGTTAAATAAAAGTAAAGTTATTTTTATTGCAGACCTGATAAAACATAAGAGCAATTGGCAGTAATCCCAGTCAGAGATCCTCAACTGTTTTACACATACTTTGATTTTATTATGTTATCAAACAATTTATACCTTTTTATGTATTTTCAATCTATGATATAACACTTGTTTGGGGTTAGTATAAGAATCACAACTTTCAATGACACAAAAGTTAAATGAGTTTTATATATATAATCAATTGATTTTAAATTATCAAAATTATGAGAAATTATAGAAAAAGGCGCTCAATATACCAGACTTTGACTTAAATGTTGATAGTTTTGAGGAACAGGGGGTTTCCCCGACTAACTCTTTTAGTTGTATCCCAGGGTCAGTTACATTTGTGGCGCCGGTAGAAGGCCTTAACTCTGGTAGGTTTTGAAAACTTATCATCCAATGAAGTTTAATACTATTTTGCATATTTGTTTTTAATAGACAATTTTTAAAAATAAAAACCAAATTGCATAGTTTATACATTAATCATAATTGTTAAATAACAATAATAATTTTGTTAAGTAACACTACAGTAGTTTTTATATATAATAGGTTATGTTTAGGATCATAGGTTTAGTTTCTGATAGACATCATTCACAGGATTGGTTTAGGTTTAATGTATTGATAAAACATGTTATGTAAGTACAGTAGTATAATATAACAGTAGTGTACAATTTAAGGAATGGCAAAAAGTAGGTAATGTTTTTTTGATTGCTTGAGGCCATCAAAAGATTTAATATTTTACTAACTAAACCATTTAATGAGTTAGTTCGCAACTAAATCAAAAAACATGAAATTGTTATTTCACTTTGAGGTCATACATCAGGTGCCGGTCTGTCGGAGTCGAGAATCTCCTAAATTGTGTGCTCATGTAATGCATAAAACACATTGATTTAAATGAGAGGATTATAGCAAATAGTGAAATGTTATGCAAGTGTTGGGGCCGTTGAGGCCGTTGGGAGGCATTCCAAGGACTATGACTGACCTTCACTGGAATGTCTTCAACAAAGTCACCACTATTTAGGTGTTATTAGAGATCATTTTAATTTAAAAGATATACAATAAACAAATATTAATTTAAAAAGTGCTATCAATACTATCATTTATTGTATAATTATATTTATTATGCTATTTGACAATTATTCAGTTATCAATTGAAATGCAAGTTACACTTAATACAACTTTTATATAAAAAAGAGCAATTGTTTTGCATATTTTTAAAAACTTTTTGATAGGCAAAGGTCAATGCACTTAATAATGTACTTTATTTTACTAAATTAAAGCATTTTAATTTGACTAAATTGATAATATTAAGTTAACTTAAGTGTGTTTTGATTCAAATAATTGATTTCATAGTTGTTTGATGCTTTTAAGTACAATGTAGTGGATAGTAATGTATTGACATACAGGCGCTGACAAACTAAACTCTCTTCTCATTTAATTTCCTTGACATTTATATATTTTTATATAATATTTATATCAATTCAGGGATTTAAATACATTATTAGTTTATAGATATCTTTTTTAAAACAAAAAAAAAGAAAGAAATAACTTATACATCTATTATGCATCAAATTTCAGTAACAAACTTTAAAAGTTTAATAAAAATAAGTTTAATAAATATTAATTGTATAAAATTACTTAATTACAAAATATTATTTGATTAATTTGTCTAAAATTTAGACAATAAATATATTTTGAAAATTTTTTAAAGTGGAATTTTATTAAAAAATTAATTTTAAAATATTATATTTTTGATTTATTTATTATTTGGTTTATTTGTTTTTGTTTGTATATTTTCGACATCGAGTTTACTAAAACAAATTATTAGGTGATATGATAAATATATAAAAGTTAATTATAATTAGTTTAAATATTCTATTTAGTATATTAAATATTATTTATAAAGAACAGTACAGTAGCTATTTATAATTATGATATTAATTTTGTTAATATTAGTTTTATTAAATTTTTTAATTTTTAAAAGGTTAAGATTTTAATTCATAAATAGTAAGTTAATCAAATTTTACAATAAATTAATGCATTAATTAAACATACTTCATAAAATAAATAGCTAACAATAGTTATAAACATAATTAATTTTATTTATTATAAGTGTATTATAATATTTTTAAATAATAATAAATTTTAAGATGTCATAAAATTTATTACAGTATCTATAATATAGATTCTATATAAATATACAAAAACTAATATTCAATATATTTAATAATATGAAAAAGTTATATACAAAATATTAACTATGAATCTATAATTATAATAATATTAATACATATTACTAAAAATATGTATATTTGTTTGTAATAAATATTTTACAATTGACGCAAATGTTTTGGTCGACTAAATTTTGCAATTAATAAATATTTATTATTTACCAAATAATGTCCATAAAAATATTATTTGTTTGATGTAAATTTGAATTATTTATTAAATGTTATTTCATTAATAGCATTAATGATTGCATTTAGTAAATTAGTTTCCATGGAGTATACAATGCATGACTTAATGGCAAACATTAAAACAAATATTAAAATAGTTTTATTGTAGAAAATTGTTACACTTTAGAGAAAAATGTGAATAAAAGTGGTAGATATGAATAAAAGCAATAAATCAACGATTTTTGCTATCTTTTTCTGTTTAATATACTTTTCTTGCTTAACACCTATTATATGGGCTCAGGTATTATCAAATGGAGACTGTCTTAGCTATGCCTCCTTTGATTACTTTCGTCAATCTCCCGGAGGATATGATTCTTCGGAGTCAATGGATGGTCAGCTTTGTGCAGCCCTTTGCGCTAAAGTATGGATGCCTTACGCGGGTGTTGTGTTGAAGAAGCATTGTTTGTGTGCGTATGAAAACGATAGACCCGCTATTGAAGCCATAGAAAAGGTGTCCAATGAGTTATGCGATATCAGTGATGACTACATGCGCTACTATGAGGGCAAAGTTATTCACCCGATCGTGGATTTGTCCATTAAATCAGAAAAAGAAGAGATTTCTATAGATGAAGAAATTAGGTTTGATGTCAGTATAAATAGCGGAGAAGAAGTTGAGTTTTCTGTTGATTTTGGCGACAACACTGATCCGACTGAATGGAGTTCTCAAATGCAATTCAAACACAAGTATTTGGTTCCGAATTCATATATGATTGTAGTCTTTGCCCGACAACCACAACATCTAAATCGCAGAATTTTAACAGAAGTTACTTATATTAAAGTAACAAATGAATTGTTTAACGAAAATATTCACTTCAAATGTCCGAGAGTTGTGGAACCGGGAGATCCAGCACTTTGTAATTTAACAATAACTAATGGTCAGTCTATGGAAATGAGTGTCGACTTTGGTGACGGAACATCTGTTTCTACAATACCATTGCCAGGTATTAAATAATATATTATATATTAAATTAAACAATTAATTGACAAAATACTATTTTTAAAGATATACCGATCAGATCATTGGGTGTTAACATTCCTCAATATAAAAATGAAAAAGTAAATTATGAAAAAATATTAAAAATCGAGGATTTGCTTTTAATTCCATTACCCGAACAATATCTTGATAATCCCGGAGCTATTCAAGCAATTGAAGGTCATGGTTCAGCACCGGGAGATTTGCAAGTGTTTGTAAGTAAATGCAATTATGATAATTGTTAAGTAAAATAAAAATATTAAAGATATTTAATTTATAAATATTAGATTTTGCGAAAAGTGTGTACAGAAGGTAATGATTGTCCGGCAAATGGCATCACTTGCTTTGAGCCGTCGGCTCTTTGCGTAATAAATAAGGGCTGTTCTGATAATTGTAAAGCATTTCCACCGCAAACAAAGACATTATATAATATTGTGAAAACATTTTCGCTGACTATACTCGAGGGACACTTTTATCTCAAGTCAAGCAGTTCTTTCCGCTTGAATGCTGGCGATGTGTTGGCCATTAAGAGTAAAGGCGCCCAATTGGCTCACAGAAAGGCCACACCAGAAGAAATACCAGATTTTATATCCAAACAAAACAGCGAAGATCTGACAACTATTTTATCTGAAAATTTCAAAGAAGTTAAAGGAATAAAACACTTCATAAGACTTATAGTTAGCGAACCACTAATACTGTCTGTTCCTCACGAGTACGCAGAGAGTGGTCATTACGGTATAAAACTTTTACTGAAGAATGAATGGATGGAAAAAGCAATTTCAAGAGAAAGTTCTATTAATATTCAAAGTAGTATTTCAAAGATACGATTAACTGTTACGCCTCCCAACACTCCTGTCAATCAAAAAGTTGATATCACTATTCAGTTAAATAAAGGTTCAAATATTAAAGTTATTTGGGATTTTGGTGACGGAACCGTTGTTAACGACCAAATACCAGGTTATACGATAACTCTACTTATTTTTTAAATTTAATTTTAATAACTATTAAAATTGTTATAAATATTTTACATTTAAATATCTACATTAAAAATATATAGATATAAAATCAAGTCAAAGATTTGTGAAATCGCATAAATATAGTCAACCGGGTATTTATATTATCAAAATAAAAGCCGAAAATCTTCAGGGAGAAACTTCAACATTTCATCAGTTAATAGCCGAACATCCGGTTCATAAAAACTGGAAAATAATGTCAGACTCCCCGCAATTACTTCCCGGTCAGGTCACTCTTAATTTTAGTTATCCAATCGACAAAATATTGCCTACAAATGCTAGCACTATCATTGATTTTGGAGACGGAAAACGGGAGATTTGGACCATTCCCGACACCAATTGGGAAGGAATTCATAATATTAAACACGAATATGAAAAGCCGGGCAAATATAATGTTAAAGTCAATATGAGTAACATTGTCTCAACAATTATTAGAAGATTTCAGGTATTTATTGTTATTTTGACAAATTGTATAATTAAACAAATATTGATTAAAAACTATAGATTGATGTTTTGAGACGTATTACGGGCTTAAAAATTGGTGCAAAATATTTTAATCCTGAAAGAGGTTTTATTGGTGGAATGGGAGCTAACAATGACTACTTTCCTATTGATAGACAAATTAATTTTACTTTTTCAACGATTACTGGAGATACTGAATATTATGTAATTGAATTAAATGGTCAGTCATTGAAAAATTCAACAAAAAATATGACAACATTTAAGGCACACGAGGTTTGTCATCAAAATATTCTAATAGCCATTAAAAAACTTACTGTAATTATTATCTAATTATTTGTATAATAGCCTGGTTTTTATAATTTTACATTTTTTGGTTACAATAACATCCAAAAAAAATCTAAACCATTCAATCTTCCGCTATATTTATTGGAACCAATTGAAGGCATGGATGTGATTGACGTTTCTAATGATACAATTGAACCGGAAATAAAAAGATTTATAATTGAATTTGAAAAGATCGGAACAAATACATGTCTTATTATTGATTTTGGAGATAATAAACCAGAAGTTGAAGCGTTTGGCGATAACGCTAATTGTAAACAATTATTCCCTGAAATAAAGTTTTCATTGATTGGAAACCTAACAAATCCAATGGAAATTGCAAAACAATACGAAAATCCTAAAGACTATAAAATTAAATTTTTGATTAACAATCAAATATCGAGTCTTTCCAGAGATATAATGGTTACTGTTATAGGTCTGTATATTACAGTTATTAGTTATATTTATTAAAAATACTGTATTTATTGTATATATTGATATAATATATATATTTATTTTTATATATTTTATTTAGAAATTAATTGCAAACCTCCAATTGTAAGCATTAGAAATAGAGTAATAAATTGGAGAAAAGGCATTGAATTCTGGAAATCAAAACCAATTCAACTTTTCTCTAAAACGATAGTCGACTGCAACGCCACAACATCTGTGACAAGAGTTTGGGATGCCTTCAGACTGGATGACCAAAACGGAACAGTTATTGAAAGGATAGACTTGTCGTCCTTAGACTCGCACCGCAAAAGTTTTCTCTATGTTTCGCCTTTTTTCTTGTCCGACGGTTTCTATAAATTTAAGTATTCAATAAACATGACGTCTCCCGATCCGCATCCGTTACTCCCTTTTTACGCTTCAACCTATACGTTCGTTAAAGTAGTCAGATCTCCCATTTCCGCACAGTTAGCTGAAGGTGCACAATCTCGTGTTATTCGAGGATGGGGTCAAAGGTGATATTTATTTTTTATAATAATCAATTAATAAAAACAATTATATGAAAACAGAATCCGTTTCGCACCGGGAGATTTCTCAAGAGATCCCGATGACGATAATAACAAAAATTTTGAGGTCAAATGGTTTTGCAGACGAATTCCCGATGAAATGATAAATAGTTTGTTACCCGATGAGAGACAAAACTTTTCAGAACCACTTTACGATAGAACCGGTATTGACGAAGAATGGGATGACGAAGATGGCGGCGGATGTTTTGGTCGCGGACCAGGTTTTATCAATTTTTTATATTATTTTTGTTAGTTTATAAAACTAATATAAAAATTAATATTAAGGACGAATTAATGTCACCGGAACTGAAGTCGATTGGAATACAACAGTATTTCGAAGACCTGGTCTGACATATGAAGTAATAGTTCAATTGATTCCTCCGGACAGAGCACCTTCTTGGGGAGCATTGCAGATGGTTTTGCTTAAGAGAAGACCGCCTTCAATCATAGTCTTATGTCAAACACAGGCTCTTTGTTTCCCTCATTTCCCAATCGGACAAAAAATAAATCCCGTGAGAGTTGGTCTCGAAGGTAAATGTCGTGAGAATTGTGAGGGAGATCTTCTGTATGAGTGGTCTATATATGGAGTGGAGAACAGTACAGAAACACATTTAGTAAATGCCAGTCATTATGTCGTCGGCGCTAACGAACCGAAGATGGCTTTAGGCATTGAGTTCTTTCATGAATACTATCCGTTATATAAAGACTTCTTTGCCCGACTCGGTATTATTTTTTTAAAAGTTATAATTTTCGTAAATTTCTTAATTTTAACGATTGATAATATAATTATTAATAGCTGTAATCAATGAAGAGGGAGTGAAAGGAGAATCGGACATATTTTTGCATATAAACCAACCTCCAGAAGGAGGCGAATGCACTATCAAACCCGATACTGGATATGCATTGTTAGATAAATTTAATGTCAGGTGTAGTGATTGGATGGATCCCGAAGACAAACCAATAGAATACTATGCATATTGGGTCAGAAATGTTGATTCGGGAAATGTTCAGTACTTAATGTATGGACCGGACAGATATGTCAGTCTTATACTACCGTACGGTAACTTTACGATTGGTGCGGATATAAAGGACAAGGAGGGAGCCGTCACGCGAATCAATATAACAGATATATCAACACTATTGCCGACCAGAAAAATGTACGACACGTTTATGCAATCAAAATCATTGGACAACGTAGACGCTGCCGGAGATCAGGTATAAGATATTTTATTTTCTAATTATATTATTATTTAAATTATTATATTGAATACAAACTTTATAAATAATAGGCCCAAATGAGCATGGTCACACAAGCTCTGTCATCTCTAATGAATGTCAAAATGCCACGAACTCAACAAACGACTACAACTACTACTACTACAACAATAGCCGCACCCATCAGTGATGAGCCGACAGAGCAAGAGATTGAAGAGGCGACCCGTACTAAGGCTCGGATGGTTAAGTCGGTTGAGGCACTCATGAATGTCGATACACTTAATAGTTTAGAACAAATTGGAAGTGCATTGACATCACTAGCAGGTCGTGGCGATGGCATTGATAACGAAGCCAAAGAAGTGATAATAAAGTTATTAAACAAAACTGTTTCTATGGCCGCCAATGTTCAAGTGGAAAGTCCTCAACAATTAATTGACTTTTTAACAGTAAATTAAATTTTTAACAAATGATTATTTGGTAAAAACTTGTTTTTAAAATTATTTAAATACTTACAGTTTGGTGTGGGAACAATGGGTGGAATTGTTAATGTAAATAAATTTATAAATATTAGAAATTTCCGATTTAAGATTATTAATTATAATTAAAATTTTAACTTAAAAAATTAGCGAATGACTGAACAAATAATATCCGGTAAAGTGCTGCCAACTGATCGCTCCAAAGCCTGGAATTTGGATTACAGTGTGGAAGTGCCCGACGAAGATGAAGAACCGGGTATTCATTATAATTGAGATTTAATTTTGTTATAAATATAATTATTTTTAAATTATTTTACAGATTATATATTGGACAGCAAAACATCATTGAATGATGCGCTGGAAAAGGCTGTCATTCAATCTGAACGAAAGGCAGCGGAACTACAGATCAGATCAATGATTGAATTAACCATAAAATTAGTGCTTTCAATGCTCAGGAATATAGTGGTCGGAGAAAAACCAATTGAATTTGTTGCGCCCAGTGGTCTCACATTAACTATTGCTATGTTTGTCTTTATTATTTTTTTATAATTATAATAATTATATCAATTAAAATGTTTATAAAAACAGGTACCCAAAAGGTTCTCTATCTAACCAAACCATACGACACGGCGATGCTATTTATGTATTTCCTGAAGTCTGTGACATATTAGTTAATGAAGATCAGTGTACTGGTAATGAAACATTAGGAACACTGGTATGTATTAATATTTATTATATTTTATAATTTTTTATAACATTTATAACTAATTAATAAATGTCTGATTGTTAGGCTGTTTCGTGGCCGGCAATTCTCGAGTCTTATGGCAATAGTGTAGACCTATTATCTGCCGATACAAAGACATTGCAATTGCTTGTTCTCAATGAAAGTCTTCATATATTAGAAGTTAGAAACACAAGTAAATCATTTAGTATTATAGTTCCGCGCAAAGGATCAGATAATTCAGTGGATGGATCTCAAGCATTGCCTGAATCTACTTATGTTTCGCCCAAAATTAAATGGTATGAACGCATGGTTTACCATCAATTTATGGTTGAAAAGTCCGATTCAGCTGTCAATATAGAGATCGGACCGACAAATCCTGATTCAGAATTACTGCTATTTATCAAACATCGCGATAAACCAATGTTTGATTACTACGACATCCTTATACCTCTAAGAGCCATCAAATCAAAGACGAGTGACTCATTTGACATATTTTTGTCAAATGAAATCATTGACAATAGGACTGGATTTTTCTACGTTGGAGTCGTTGAAGTCAACAAACGTGAACTCTTGGAGTCGAGTGAAGCCTATATTCTCGATGAAATTATTGTCAACCAAAATATCTCTCAATCCAATTACACCGCCAGTGAAACCAATTATACAATTCCCGGAATTACCAGAGATTTTACCACAAATTACTCGATGAGAATATTCACTTCTGGTTGTTATTTCTATGACTATCACCGCAAACTCTGGTCAGCTGAGGGATGCTTTGTTGAAAGCGCTAATCAAATGATGACACATTGCAAATGCAATCACTGTAATACTTCACTTACAAAACATTAATTCAATAGTTAAATGAAATTAATTTATATTTGTATTTACCTTTAAGTGACATCATTTGGTTCGGGATTTTTCATTCAACCGAATTCTATAGACTTTTCATATGTTTTCGCAAACGCAGGCTTTGCTGACAACATAACAATTTATATGACAATTGCTATTACAATATGTTTATATATAATGCTATTGATTTGGGCGCGACATGAGGATAGGACAGACCTAACTAGAATCGGTGCCACACCGTTGCCCGACAACGACCCGACATCTAAATATTTGTACGAAATAACTGTCTTCACCGGTGATAGAGACGCTGCGGCCACTAATTCTAAGGTCTATTTTATACTTTCGGGAGAAGACGACGAGACAGAAGTTAGACATTTTGATGATCCTCACAGAAAAATCTTTAGAATGGGAGCCACAGATACTTTTGTTTTGGCTGCTCAACGAAAACTAGGAAGACTTAACTACTGTCGCATTTGGCACGACAACAGTGGTTCCGGAAAATTCAGATCGTGGTTCTTAAGCTTTATTGTTGTCAAAGATGTCCAAACAGGAGAAAAATTTGAGTTTATCTGCAATAAATGGTTGGCCGTGGAAAAGGATGACGGAATTGTCGACAGACTATTACCAGTTGCAGGAATAGGAGAAGCGACTGAATTCTCGCATTTGTTTCAACAGACGACCCAAAAGAACTTAGCCGACGGTCACCTTTGGTTCTCTGTCTTTATGCGTCCGCCTAGAAGTCGCTTTACTAGAGTTCAAAGAGTTTCTTGTTGTATGGCTTTACTGTATCTTTCAATGTTAGTAAACGCAATGTGGTATCAAAGAGTTCCACCAAAACCTTCGAGTGGTCTCGACTTCGGACCTTTTACTCTATCACCCGAACAAATCGGTGTCGGATTCTTCTCTAATCTTATAGTATTTCCGCCGACTTTCCTCATTATATTCTTTTTTAGAAGAAGTCGTCTTCGAAATCTAAGACCTTCTCGTATTAGTGAAGCACTCAAAAAGCAGAACATATCGTATCGACAGTCAAGTGCCAGCAGTCAAAGATCTATAATTAGTAACAATAAGGTTGGATCAAATGCAACATTAGTTGCAATCGACGGCGAAAAGAAAAACTCATTTGAGATGTTTAATATTGAGAACAATAAAAGTGGTAAGAAATCGATTAAGAAGAAGAAGACAAAGTTTATGCTTCCTTATTGGTGTCGGTATATCGGTTGGGCTCTCTGTATGCTATCCATTGCTATCTCTATATTCTTTTTGTGGGCGTATGGCATACAATTCGGCGACGAAAAGACCAAAAAATGGATCACTTCTTTAATTGTATCGTTCTTTGCATCAATTCTAGTGACACAACCCGTTAAAGTATTCATAACAGCACTTATTTTATCAACTCTTTTCAAATCACCGGACAGTGATGAGGATGACAGTGAAGAGGATGAAGAAGACTTGAACATTGATTTACTTCCTGATGAAGAATGGCTACACTGTGCAACACCTGTACGCAAGAAAGATAGGTCACGTGTCTATAGACCACCAAATATGACGGCACTCGAGAGGGCAAAACTGGAACGACTTAAAGAACTTAAAATGACTGCAATTCTTAAAGACATTTTTTCTTATTTGTTTTTCTTATGGATTCTAACTGTTGTCAGTTATGGCAATAGAGATCCAAATGCTTATCTTATGAAAGAAACTTTAGTGAAGACATTTGTCGAGGGAAGCAATGGTGGGGAAAACTTTATGAATGTTAGGGACGGAAAAATGTTGTGGTCGTGGACTAACTCGACATTAATACCCGGCCTTTTAATAGGAGAATGGTTTGAGCTTTAATATTTAAAGTCATAAATTATTTTAAATATTTGAATATATCTATAGGTATAACGGATTTCAAGCGTATGGCTTAAGAGGATTTCTGAACGATAGAGTCAACAGAATGATGGGATACGGTGTCCTCAGACAGGTCCGTATTAAACCAAATACATGTCAAGTGGAGGAACGCATCAAAAGATTAACCACAGATTGCAGAGCTTTTGCTAATGTATTAAATGAAGACAGAAAAAGCTACAGAATTGGTTGGTCTCAAGAATCTGATGCTTCTTATGTTAACGAATCGCTTCCTATGAGTCGTAGTGGACATCTTAATCCATCGAGAAGTAAAAAGGATGAATGGAATTATAGGAAACCATCGGAATTGGATGGACTTCCCTTCTGGGGTTTGTCTCTATTAGTAGTTATCGAAAAATATTAATTACTATTTTAATACTTAATATTTTCAATTCTCTAATTATAGGAAAACTTGACGTTTATAGTGGAGGAGGTTTTGTTATTGCATTGAAAGTATGCATTAATTAAAAATAAATATTTACTTAATTATATAAATGTGTTTTAAAAATATAATATTTTATTGTTTTATATTACTATAGGGTTCGCGAACTGATTTGTCTGAAAAAATTAAATCAATGAAACAAAATCAATGGATTGATACCCGAACTCGGGCTATATTTGCCGAGTTTTCCGTATACAACGCTCAGGTCAACCTATTTGGTATCGTCTCTCTGGTGGCTGAGTTCCAACCGGGCGGTGGTATTATACCGAACTATAGGATAGATGTGGTCAGACTTATGCGATATCATCAAGGATTTGGTTTATTCATAATACTCTGTGAACTAACTTATGTGGCATTTATTGTCTTTTTCACTGTTCGTGAATTCAAGAATTGGCAAAATCAGGGAAAGTCTTATTTCAAGAGTTACTGGAATTGGGCTGAAGTTGTCATCATTTGTCTGTCATATGCAGCGATGGGATTATATGTCTACAGAATAATCTTAACCAATCATATCCTAACAGTTTTTAATACAACTCATGGCAACGGATACGTTAAGTTGCAATACGTGACAACTATTGACGAAATTTTCGGTTATATCATAGCGTTTACAACATTTGTTGCAATTTTGAAGTTTATCCGTATTTTGCGATTCAATAAAAGGATGGGAATCCTGTACTCAACACTCGCCCAATGCTCTAAAGATCTCAAATCGTTTTGTATAATCTTCGGCACCGTTTTCTTCGCTTTTGTCCAAATGTTTTATCTATTATTTGGACTTCAAATCAGCGACTTTTCATCATTTGTCGTATGTTTACTAATTAATTAAATGAAATAATAATAACATTTTAAGTAATAACTATAAATAAATTAATAATTTGTTTAATTGATTATCTGTACAGAACTCGGCTGAGACTACCTTTGGAATGGTTACGGGTTTGTCATTATTTTTTCACAATTGTTTTAACAATTTATATATAATAATTTGAATATATATATATTATATTACTAATCCTATGCTGATATCAAATGCTAAAACAGGTAAGTTTGACTTTGAGGCCATATCAATGGCGTCACCATTCTTGGGTCCATTGGCTTTCTTTATGTTTGTATTGATCGCCGCAATTGTCTTAATCAATATATTCCTCACATTAATTATAAGCGCTTTTGAAACCGTTAAACACGATGTGATGAAACAAAATAATGAATACGAAATCATGGATTTCATGCTTAAAAAAGTTAAAGCAATGTTTGGTTTGGCAACAAATCAGACCAATCATAGTGTCACTGATACCGAGGACTCAATGAATACTATTGAAGAACAGTTGACTTTATTTCCGGATAAAATTGATCGTCTCTTGCATTACATAAACGATATGTATTTTGATGGACAGCTTGATGTCAACAACAAGAGTGCAATGAAAAAGATGTCATTAAATCAAATGGTTAACAATAGGGTCACTCCTCAGACTCAGACTAATGATAAACAAAAAAGAAGAAGAGGAAGTCGTGGCCGACAAAACCAGACACAAATGGCACGATTGAGTCAACCGAAGATTCAGGTCTTGGATTGGATGGAAGTGGACGAAGAGCTGCATAATAATCACATGAACTAAATAAACATTTAATTGGTTTGAATATTATAACTTTAATTCTGATAATAATTTAAATATTTGTCTATATATTTATTTAGGCATATATTTTATAATAATTATTACTGATAATGCTTACAAAATTATCATAGTTTTATTATGTATACTAGTTTTAGTATATATATTAGATAACTTATAAATATTGATATAGTTATATTAATAAACAAATAAATTATAATGTAATAATGTTAGTTTTTAAAATTATTTAATTGTTAAGTTTGTTAATAATATTATAAGATAATTGTGATATAAGAATATAAGAAATGAAAGATATGATTCACTTTTAACAATTAGTTTTTGAAATTTATTTTTTTAAGTATTAATATAAACAATAAATGATTTATTTAGTATTAAGAGTTCTTTATATAAATTGCATATTTTATTTGATTAATACAAAAATATGCTTAAATATTAAAAAATTATTATTATTACTACTAAAAGTAACTTCTAAATGCACTTTAGTATTATTACACAAAAAGTATAGCATTTAACAATGTGTAAATTTGCTAATTAATCAAAACTTATTGACGTAAATTAATTTTATGTATTTAAATTGTAATTTCATTGTTGTTTATTTATCTTTTAAAATACAATAAAATTAAATAATGCAAAATAAAAATTGTTTTTTAATTTATTTTCACTATCTTTAACTTAAAATGAATTAAAAAATATCCAAAAAACCTAACTAAATATTTTAATATACATAAAATATTTTTTATCTCAACGTTTTCTATACTATAGTAATTAATTTATTTCATAGACAACATTATGACTGTACATTACATTTTTATGTAATAAAATAAATAATTAATTAAATTGTCAACTATTGTTTTGATATAAAATGTGGAAATTTTTAATAATTTATATTATTTTAGTTTTAAGAAATTTTAGTATACAGGTTTTTAGTTAGATAAATTTTCTATAAATTAATTTTACAATTTTTTAAAATGTCATTATTATTTAATACAATATTGTAATAATGTAACTTTTAATTATTTTATGCACAAATATAATTTATAGTTATTTTTGAAATTTATAAAATAGTTATAATTTAAATACTTTTTGTTAATTGTTAATAACTACAACATTATGAGGTAAATATGATCTATATTTACTTTTTTATTATTTAACTTTATAAGTTAAGTTATAAGTATTGTACTTAAAATAATTTGAGATTTAGTTTTAATACATATTTTTTTAATAATTTGTGAATGTATTTGTATTGCCTAAAAATAACAAGATTATATAATTAAATAATAATTTAGTTTACAATTACCTAAATTAAATTTAAATATACCATGTTTAAATTTATAATTACTAATTGTTTAGTATATGTTATAATTATTAAATACTTAAATATATTAATTAGAATTTGTTATGATGACTGTAAATATTTAAACGTATTGTTTATGTTTTACACAAAAATATCAAATAAAAAATCTTAGGTTAAAAAATATAAATCGATTAGAAGTTAACAAAACTAGTAATAAGTTATAGTTTAAGTGTTTTGTATTGTGAAGACTGTGAAGAAGTTTGTCTCACAAAAAGAGATCAATTATGTAACCAATAGATACCTTATTGTATGACACTTTTGTCTCATTTCAAAAGGTATTAACTATCGTAAAAATTGCTTAAATGATAGCACACTTGAGGCTCTAGTAAATTATGGAAAAAATGAAAATTTATAGAAAGTTTCTAAAAAATTCCCACGCATTTTTGTAATACATTGCAATTATTAATAATAAATAAATATTATTATTCGTAATTTAATTTATTAATAATAATTTTATTCATATTAAATGCTAACAAAAGTAATACATTTTGTCAGAAATTTTTATAAATATTTCAATTTTTTGTTTTTACATTAATCTAAAAATATCATAATATAGATTAATTTTAATAATAATAATAATAATAATTAATTCTATGTATTGGGAATACCATTTGTATTATGATCTTTATTTTGGTGATTCAAAAGTATAATTTAATAACTAATATCTGAGAAATTTATTAGAAATTTATATTCTATTATCTCTAGACTCGAGTAAAATATTTTATTATTGTATCTCATAAACAGTTTATTACATAATTTTATAAGTTATTGTACTTTTGATTATCATTTAATAGTTTACCAATAGATGAACAATAGATATCATAATCTGTTTGTTTTCGGATATAAAATACCGGTATTTTGTGTTATTAAAAATATAAACACTAAAAATATAATAAAATAAACAATAAATTATTTAAATGTAATGATAAATATAAAGATAGAAAATATTATTTAAATAATTTCTACTAAAAATTTACATTTATAAGTACACTAGAGAAAAAAATATTTAGTGTTTTTTACTATGATATTACTAACAAGTAATATACAGTATATATATATATTTAAAATAGCATTTCTATTTTGTTTTGAATAAATTTTGTAGTATTTGTAAGCAAAACAAATAAATAACTTGTCAGTTGAGAAATATCACTGAAAAGCATACAATTTGATAGTATTATTAAAATTATATTTAATGATATTGTTATTATGATAATTAGGTAATATTAATTTATAAGTAAAAGTAAAATTTTAATGATGTGCATAAAATTGTAATTAAAAATAATATTTTATTATATATAACGAATTTTAATTTCTATATAAATAATTTCTATATTGATATAATTATTTAATATTATATAACAGAATTGTATTTATATTTTTAATACTAATAATATACAGTGTATACTACGGTTATTTAATAAATAAATAATTACTAAATAATTTCTGTTATTTCATAATTATACAATTGTTTCTAACTATATAAATTTAGTAACACTTGACAATTATTTCAATCTTACTTTACATATATCAAATTTTAAGACAAATAAGATTAGTATGTTAAATGTAATTTTACAATTTTACTAAGATTAGCTAATATGTTTTTTTTAAAATTAAATTGTACGATAAATATACAGTACTACTGTATTATACATTTTTTAAAAGGTTAACAATGCTATACTATATTATTCACATAACATTATTTTATTATTTAGAGAAGACTACATTAAATCTGTTTTAAGTAAACAGTAAACAGAGATAATTATAGCTAAAAGTTGTTTGACATATAAAAAGTATAACAAAAGTGTTTATCAAAACATTTAGAGAGCAGTGAGTGAATCCCACGCCAAACGTGACCACACGTAACACACGTTCATTGCTTTTAGTTTACTATTTTATATATCATACAAAAAGATAACTGAGTTATTCAATGTCTAAGTTTAGTTATACGATATATAACTTATACCTAAAATTTATTGCTAAAATTGGTCAACAAAATAGTATAAATTATTATTATTTTTAATGATTGTGTGTATATGTAGTTGTAATCAATTCAATAAATTAATATATAGTGAAAATTGCGGAAAATGTGTTAATGTTTTGGCAAAACTCTATATTCAATATTTAAGAGCATTTGGATCATTAAATAATTGATGAGAACAGACATGTCGTGTATATGAAGTAAAACTATAGTCAAACAAATGTGAGGTACAGTAGTGTAAGTGTTGAGACATACGGTATATAATGTGAAGTACTGTTGGAAAAGCAAGAGCTCGTTGTCTGACAGTCTCTGGAGTACTAACTCATAGGCAAAACCATTGCAATGAAAGAGACAGAATCGGTGAACATTACACACATATTACAGTATATTATACACAAACACATACACCTAGAGAGCTAACTGAGCTCAAGAATAGTTGTATACAAGTGTTATACAACACAAAGTGTGCGATCAAATGTGCACTTCGACTCTGACCTTAATATATATATATATAAGTTTGCTTTACATCGACTATGAAGTGAAGTCCAGAGTTTTGAGATAAAAGACAAACAGTTTTTTCTCATTTTACTTCAACTTATCATTTAATGTTTGCGCCAACCATTCAATTCAATGCTCTTTTCTGGCACTCATATCAAGTGTTTTATTACAACTATAACAACAACAACAACAACAGTCAGAAAACTTGAATTAACGTTTAAATCGATTTTATTATTTAGATATTTATTCTCATCGTTAATGTTATAAAACGGACACTAAATATAATCATTAAAATTATTATCAAAATATTTGGGCCAATCTCTTATCTTTTTTTAAGCGTTTGCTTTTTAAAAAAGCAAAATCATTACAACTTTGAAGTGAATCCTTACTGAAAGTACATATAATATCAATGTTGTCATTATTGTAATATTTTATACTAAAAAATTGATTTGTTATTACAATTCCAGTAAAATTCATATAATAGTTTGTCTATAAAATTAATAAAGATCTCAAAAAAATTTGTTTATATATTAGTGAAATATTTTTATTATAAATAATAAAAATGAAATCTTATTTATATATAATTTATAATAAGTTTTCTAACTGAAAGAGAAAAATAAAATATTAATATTTTTGTAATATTTTATCAAACTATGAAAAATTGCTGTCATATGAGTTTTGAAAACTTAAACGTGTATAAAAATATATCAATTAATCAAATGGTCAATTCAGCATTAATTAGTAGAAAAAGTGATATGAATTTATATTTGCAGTCATTTTGTCGATTTGGCCGCAAGTTTGAAGTTATACTAATTGTATAGACATGAGACTGAAGGAGCGGATCCTTGTTTTACTAATATGTATCACTTGTTGCCTCCTTTGTGTCTTCTTCGTGATCACTACTCGACTACAAGACCCCGACAGCTACAGGTTTGTTATCATTTAATCAATTAAAACTACTTTTTTCATATTTATATTATTGAATATATATAAATTATTATTATAATAATAATAATACTAAGATTTTTTGTTTTTTTAAATATAATAATCAAATAAAACAAATAGTCGTTTTATCGGAGGTGTAAATCTGAATAAATTGTCTGAAAGGGCAGCCCTTCCTCTATTAAATCAAATCCAGAAACGATTTTTATATAAACATATGTCTCAAGAGTTGGAACCAAACCAGAAACCACTTGAAGGACAACTCAATACTAATCCATTGAACACAACGCAAGTCTCTGCCAAATGTAAGTTAAGTTTGATATAAAAACAAAAAACCAAAATTGATTATGTCTTTAATTACTTAAATTACTTGAATTTGTATAATTACTATTATAATTATAACTTTACATCATTATATACATCATTATATATATATATATATATTTGATTTAATTTGTATACATAAAAAACTTATGACTATATGAAAGAAAATATATTAATTTTAGTATTTTTTGTATTACTAGACAAATATTCGGAAATAGATAGTGAAAAGTCAACAAATAATATAATTATTAAAAAAGACTTCAATAATAACCGATTGGAAAGCAATGCCTACAACCATATTGACGAAGACTTTACCGATTTATTACATATCATTGCATTGCAAACGAGATCTGATGAAAACAGCAAAGAAGAGTATCCGATGTTAGCGGAGGTGTTGGGGATAATACCTGAGTTAGTAATCATTGATATTATTTTGTTTATATTTTTCAATAATCTTTTCAATTTCTTATCATTAATTTATCATTTAATTCGCTATTGACGTAATACAGTAAAATTAATATTCAAATTCAATATTGCATTTAAATTTTAATATAAAAATATAACAAAATAACTTATTTATACTTTTATTTTATTAGCAATTTTTTATTATTATAGCATAAACTAACTATATTGCAAAATTTAAAGCTATTTAAAAAATTAGTATAATTTTCTTAAAATAACTTATTATTTAAATAGTTAATATTAGTTTTATAGACATTATAAAAATAATATTGAATATATTTATTGTAATGTATATTATCTACTGTATATACTGTATATAGTATATGAGTCCTATTTTATTTCTTAAACTTTCACACACTTTGTTGTCAATTAAATATGACATTATTTTTTTAAATAATAATAATTGGTCTCATCATAATTGTCAGTCTCATATGTTAATGTTTATTGCAAATTGTTTTATGTTATAATAATTGAAATTAACATATTTTATAAATTATATAATGGATATGAATTAAATAATTTTAAATTAATATTAATATTATAAATAAATAATTATTGAGAAAAACTAAAATAATTATAGTTAATATATAATATAATGTAGAAAATAGCATACATAGTATAGTAATTGCAATTTTAAAGATGTTTTTTTGATGATATGCTTTAAATGATTATTTATAATTGAAATACTAAATCATAAACTGTGTGACTCTTATATGCTTTTATTATAATAGATGTATAACTATATACTTTGTGTAAAATTGTTTTTCTTTAACAACGTTTCAGTTTCTTATCTAAAATGTGATAAATTGAGACAAAATTGGCTCAAAATCATGAAACTATAAATAAATATATTTAGTTATTGAAATTGTTTTGAGTTTTTTTATACAGTCTTTATATCATTAGATTGTAATCATATTTGCATGAAATCTTTAAATACATTTAATAATTATACCCGTATTTGATAATTATAACATTGTAAATAAAGTAAAAATTATTCAATTAAGATTATAAGCTATTGAATATTAATTTATATTATTAGCATAATTAATAATATTCATATAGTAATACATTTGTAAAGATAATGTTTTTAAGTATTAGATAATTCATGTATTAAACTAAATAATTATTATATAAATCAAATTTAATTTAATTGTTTTACGAACTCTATATAAAGAAAAATTAAATCAAATTTTAAAATACGATATATATATATATATAACGAAAAAAAGAAAGAAAATCAATTTATGCTTTGTTTCCACCGTTTTTACATTGAATACATTGACGGGGTTTTGAGAACCCTAACTATGTTTCTCTGTAGCTATACATTGGTTATAGTATTGCGTATAACACTCAATGACAGTCGATAGTGTAATGTAGTACTAATCAGTGTTGGCAGAGACAAAATGTTTGTATAATACAAAGCGTAATATACAGTATAATAYAATGTAAAATACATGACCAATTTGGTTTACAAAAAAAATTAGCGCCGCCTAGTGCTAAAAGCATTGATATAAGCAAAGTAAATCATATTTTATAATAAATATAGATTTAATATTATTATATTTTTATTTAATTTCATTTTTTATTTTAAATTATTTGATTATTATAACTTAGAAATAGCGATTATAATAATAATGCATTTTTTAGAAATTATATTTTTACTAAATATTTTAAAATAATTTTTAACATAATATACAGTATTTAAAATTTTTAAAGTTAATGTTATTATTATTAACATCTCATGAAAACTACCATATGGTTAGTGACCATACCGTCCGCCTTTTGATTCCGGGTTGTCGTATACGAAGGCCGACACTTAGCCTCTCGATCACCGAAACCACATTGAAAGAGAAAGAGAGAGAGAGAGAGAGAGAGAGAGAGAGARATATATATATATAAAGTATAAAAATATAATTTGATTTGTATTGATAGGACAAACCTGAGTTCATGGGAAGTGTTTCATTTGTCTGTACTTCAGAACGAACTTTACTCTGAAATGGACGCAAACATCAAATCAATTTTGAATGACATGTCTTCGCTACCAATTATTCACATAAGTATTATATTATTTAATTTAATAAATTATTATTATTATTATTATTATTATTATTATTATTATTATTATACAAATCTATAAATAATTAATATTTATTAAAACATTAAAGTTTTATTTAATTAATTAATATATTTATTGTGATTAAAGCCCAGAAAGACGGAGGAACTCAACTAAAATTGATTATTGATTATATAAACGGAGGACAGGCTTTGTTTAAACCCATGAGGTATTTAATATAGTATTATATATACTTTTATTAATATATTTTTTATAACAGTGAATATCATTTTTATTACTTTATATGACATAAAGTAAGCGATTTTATAAAAATAGATAATTCTATGTTCTAAATGTAAACATAAATCCAATACAAAATATGTGATTTTATTATTTATTATAAAAGTATATTAAATTATATATATTTTTTCATTATAGAAAACTATCTCATATATTTTTAAAATTATTTTATAACAAAAAAATAATACTAAATTTTATCAACGATTTTTATTTTTCATTTTGAGGATTTAATAGAAAAAAGTTTAATTAAATTCTAAACTATTACTATGAAATTTTTAATAAATAGCAATTTAGAAAATATTTTTATATTTTATATTAAATTTATATAAATTTCATAAATTGATTAATCTTCAATTATTTTAGTTAAAAAACTATAAACGAAATTCAAATTATTACTAAAATAAATGTATTTTACTTATTAATGAATAATAGTAGACTACTTGAAAGTAATAAATAATTTACAAATTTGCTTATTTAAAAATTGAGAGCACTATAAAAACAAATGTTTGTAGAAATATATAGTATTTTGTATGTTTTGAAATTTATATGAGATTTTATTTTTAATTATTTACTAACAAAATAAGTCGTTTATAATTGTTTTGTCTGTAATACTAGACGAGACTATTGTCGATAAGTAAACATTTAATAGCTATTGATTTTGATATATACTGTACTTGTAGTATATGTTTTCAAACTTTACACAATGTCTAAAGTATAGTAATAATTGTACAGTACGTGTAATTTTTATTAATGATATTTTGTTAAATAATATAACAAAAATTAATGGTAATTGTATAATGAAAACATTATTGTGCACATCATTGCATTACTTAATGATCTTATATACTGTATATTATTCTATAACAAGATCATTTTATTAAATTTAAAACTAATATTTAAGCAATAAATTATTTAATGTTTTTTATTTTTTATTTACATTTACAAAATTAATAGATTGTTACTAAAGATTTTATATTATAACTCTTACTATTTTGTAATTAAATATTAGTAAATAATTTTTAGATTAGAAATTAAATTTAAGAGACCATGCTTATTTAATAGACTACTTTTGAATTGAACAATATGCAATTATCAATGGAATTAACAAAAATATTAATCGCTATTAAAAATAAGTAAAATATTAAACTTAAAAATCAAACACACTTTTAATACGATAAATATTTAGTTTATGTTTATACTGTATTTTATATGATGTAACTATAATAGTAGTAAACTTATAAACCTAAACTATTACTGTATAAAAATCAATAAATGTTATTTTCAATATAAACTTTATAAATATTACTTTTATTGATATCTTTAAAGTTGATTTCACATATTATAATAAAATTGTAAGTTTAACTTACTTTTACATCAATGATGAAAATACTAACAATGAGTACCGAAACACTACTCAACTAATCAACACCAGATAAGTGTTGATATTAAGTGATTTAAAATGTAAGTTAAACTTAAAGTATAATTTTATTATAAATATTTTATTTCAATATAATTTATTGTAATTCACATTAAACTCTAAAAAAGTGTTGACCAAAACATTTGCAAACTATTGCAAACAATTTTGTTGCATTTTCAAAAAAAACTTGAAAAGTTTTGTTTACTGAAATCTATAATGGCTTTTTTAGTGTGTGTGTGTGTGTGTGTGTGTGTGTGTGTGTGTGTGTGTGTGTGTGTGTGTGTGTGTGTGTGTGTGTGTGTGTGTGTAGCAATTTTTTGCGAATTTTTAAATTCTGACTTCAGATTCGGTTAGAGAACTACTAATAATGTATTGAAAGTTGCATTAAAATTTTGATATCTCTTCGGGAACATAGACAAAATGGCGGCCAAAGTAAAAAAAATTTAAGAAATTTTTTATAAGTATAGATTTGAATAAAGCATCAAAAACAAGCATAAGAAATATGCATTAAAATTTTGATATCTTCGGGAACGTAGAGAAAATGGCGGCCAAAGTAAAAAATTTAGTTGAAAATTTTAACGTTTAGAATTATATAGAGCATCAAAAATATTATATAATAAATCAGCATTATTTTTTATTTTTTCAAAAATTGGCGGCAAAAGTATACAAAATTTTAGGTAATTTTTAACGTTTAGAATTGTATAGAGCATCAAAAATAATTTATAATAGATCAAGATTAATTTATTATTTAAAAGTAAGATTATTGTTGTTTATTTTGTCATTGTGAATCATTTGATACCTCACATGACTATAGTTAAGTATATTTTATCATACTGAGTCAATTGATTCCCCATTTGACTATAGTTGTTTATTTTGTTATACTGAGTCATTTGATACTCTACATGACTATAGTTGAGTTTATTTTGTTATACTGAGTCATTTGATACTCTACATGACTTTAGTTGAGTATATTTTGTCGTTATCATATTATATGTATTATACTATATAGCCGCTATAATTATACTAATGGTTTTCTATGATATTCAAGTTTTTTTTCTGAAAATGCTTTCTAGCATTCTTAACTGGTTTTTATTGTTAATTATAAATACTAACAAACATTTATCATTTGTCATGTATTTTGGTATTACTTTTTTTTTGTATAACGACTGCTATTATATTATATAAAGTATAATATAAAGAAATAAAATGCTGTTTTAATTGAATTTATCGTATAAAACAAATTTCTTTTAGTTTAAGTGCTAAAATAATTATATCACATTATTGAATTTTATTTCAATTTCACTAAACAATATCTACTTTAATATAAAAATCACATAACAATGTATATTGTTATCAAATTTATAAATATTTAAAAGAAAGTCTATAAGAAATAATAATTATAAGTTATTTAATTTTGAAAAATTTTCTATATTTCTGTTAACTATATTTAATTAAATGAATTTCTAAAGTTTCACTCTTAGTACAACATTGCTATGAATGATGTTAATTTTTAAATGAAAAAGTTATTATTGATAAACTTAATTTTTATCACTGCTTTATACTAAATAATTAGAAAACTAAGTCTTAGTTAAATTATACTTTGTTTTGCTATAACCTTAAAACTATTTATTTTATAGTAATATAATTGATTATGTGATAGAATTTAATTCAATAGACTATTAATGCTTTGTGTAATTAAATTTAATTGAAATGTGTTTAACACGATTTGAATTAATCAATGAATTGAAAGTAACAATAATGAATAAATGAAATTAATTGTTAATTTGATTAAATAGGTTTCCCAGAGATCGAGAGACAGATCCAAATCACTTTTATTTTACTGATTACGAGCGACACAATAGTGAGATCGCATCCTTTCATTTGGATCGGTTTGTGTCTCATATTTTTGTTCAAATAGTTTGATATACAATACTAAATGACTTTTTATTGTTTGCCAAATGCATAGAATTCTTGGATTCAGACGGTCTCCACCAGTAATTGGAAGAGTTCTTAATATGAGTTCAGAGATCTATGATTTGGCTGATGAAGAACTACTCAAAACATTCTTTATATCTCCTGGTATGACATTATTTCTTATTATTTCATTTGTTTAAATTATATATATATTTATAATAAATTTTATCATAAATTTTATCATAAATTTATATATCAATTCAGTCAATTATTACAGTTAATTAATGTAAATATATTACATATCATAGCCAACAATCTCTGCTTTCATGGAAAATGTAGTTATTATTGCGATACCGCACATGCATTATGTGGTAATCCCGACCTATTAGAGGGCAGTTTTGCCGCATTTTTGCCATCAAAAGAATTGGCTCCAAGAAAAGTATACAAATCTTTTAAATCATATAATTTTTAATTTTATTTTTATATTTTTTTTAATGTTATTTCATGTAATTTATAACTTTACTATAGTTGTAAAAATCAGTCTGAAATTGCGTGATATTGATTAAACATTGATCTTATAGGTTGTCCTTTTAGAAAATGGCTTTTACTCCTAGTTTTTAAAATTAATACAGATTAAGCCAAATAATATATATACAGTATATCATTGTTATATATATACCGTATATTAGTAAAGTATTGATTATCATTTTAGACAATTATTTGTCACCAAAAATGACAAAAAAAACTCAATTCCCGATATAAAAAATACAATAAATTCATCAATATTGTATAAAAAGAGTCATCAATTTCATTGTTTTTATAGTCATTTAAACGATTTTTAAAAAATAAAATATGTGAATTGGTAATTACTAACTAAGTGATAGTTTAGAAAATAATTATTTTAAATTATGTTTGTGTAATATTCAATATATACTGTATATAAATATATTTATTAAATAATTTATAAACATTCTAAGATATAAATGACAAATACAAATATAAATTGTATAATTTATTTATGTATAATATTTAATAAATTGATAAGTACTGTATTGTACTGAGACAATGTTGACTCTTGTTTATACAATTTTGATATTTGATATTTAATTTAGATATTTAGGTATTTATGTTTCAAATTAATTTTAAGCAAAATTAAAATTCTTCTGTACTCAGAATCAATAGTATATGAACTAAAACATTGAAGAAACCATTTTTTTAATTGTTTATATAAAAAATATTTTCGTGCTATTATTTATAATATTGATTTACCAAAAAATATATATTGATTTATCAAAATTGATTTACGAGTGTTTTGTAAAAATGAAAATATTGAGTATTAAAAGAGAAAAACCAATTTTTAACATATGGTTTTGAAAGCTATTTTATGGTCAAATAAAACCAGTTGAGAATGCTAAAAAGCATTGTCAGAAACAAACTTTAATAGCGTAAATAGATTAATAATAAAATACCCCACTTATGCAGTACTAAAATTAAATAATCCGTATAAATCATTATATTAAAAATATTTATTAATTAGTATTTGTTATATTATTATTACCAAAATATTCACTACTGGTAAACCTTAGTATGTATGACATATATGATGTATATTATACACTAAATATGTATTTTAAAAATGAGATCATATCTAAAAAAATTAGTTTTTACCCATATTTGTAAAAATATGTATGTATCATAACTATAGTTATGCATCTTCGGGAGTTTAAATTGCCAAAATCGGTCGGGAAATCGGGAGTAAAAAATGGCAAAATCGGGATATAAATCGGGAAATTAAATTTAGTTTTTTTCTTATAGTACCATAGTTTATATATCATAAAATCGATTATATTTGTTAAAAATAATTTATTTTCAGTTTTTAATTGATTGATTATAATAATGCATTTAGTTTTAGTTTATAAACTACAACTTGTTTTATGCATTGTAAAAAATATATTAATTTAGTACAGTATTACAGAACATATGTTTACAATACATACAAAACTACAATTTTTATATCAAAATATTGTTTAAAGTGTGTTTTCTAATACATATCATCCCATTCATTGATATTGAGTTAATATTGTATTAGATGTGCCGCTAATATTGTATTCAATATATATTTAAGAGTTATTTCAATCAATATTTATCGAATTTCGGGAAAAACACACTTAAATACTGTTTTTCGGTGTTTTTCGGGATTTTTTCAAAAAACACCAAAAATCGGGGAAATCGGGAAAAACAATAGACGTTAATTTCATTTAAAATATTGCCATATTTATATAAATATTAAATTCCCGACGATTTTATAAATAATAATGTTTCGGGAATTCCCGAAGATGCATAAGTCTAATTATAACAGACAATCATATTCTACATATTTTTGTTTCTATCACTCCAAAGTCAAAAATTCAAAATTGCACTTTTTTATACTTTGGCCGCCATTTTGTCCATGTTATTGAGGATAGGACATTTTTAATGCTGATCCCATATACTTTATTTTTGATGTTATAACCGAATCTGAATTTCAAAATTCATCAATTGAAATGCGACAGACACACAGACACATAAATTCCAGAAAACAAAGCTTTTTAAAAGTTTGTTTTAATATAATACATTGCTTTTGTTATTTTTTTGCTAAAAAAGAGTAATACTATTGATGAAAAAGTTTGTTTCATTATATATATATTTATTTATTTTTAAATCTAAATAAATAAGATATGGAGACATCCGTATAGACGATCGTATCATAAGAGAAGAAAAGCTATTTGGGAAACAGATCCGACATATTGTGATAAAGTGGTGAAAAAGACTGCGCCTTACGACTCAGGAAGAAGACTGTTAGACATTATAGATATGGCAATACTTGACTTCTTTATCGGAAATATGGATCGACATCATTATGAAACGTTCAAACACTTCGGCAATAATACATTTCCGTTGCATTTGGATCACGGAAGGGGTTTCGGTCAGCCCTATCACGACGAACTGTCCATTTTAGCCCCATTAACACAATGCTGTGTCATTAGACAATTAACTTTGAAAAGAGTGTTGAGTTTTACACAAACAAATCAAAGCTTAAGCAGTAATTACTTACAAATAACTAAAATTTTATTTTATTTAAAACAAATTATATATGTTTTTATATAACAGGATTGATGAGAGATTCACTATCGGCAGATCCCGTGAATCCCGTGTTAAGTGAGCCTAATTTGGTTGCCTTAGACCGTAGGGTGAAAATCATATTACAGTCGATTCGTGATTGCATTTCTCAAAGACCATCGGAAGAAGTCATTGTTTTCGATGAGTTTTAATCACTCTTTGAATCAATTATTTTGATACCAAATTGTTGTAATTATTATTGCAGTAAAGCTATCAAATTGAGTTCCTATACTATTGTTATCAATAAAAAATAGTATTTTGAATTTTTTTTTATTGCCATTTTAACAAATATGTTTAAATTTTAATATTGAAATAATTTATTTATTACTATCATAATTATTTTGTTGTTTAATCATTTTAAACTTGTTGTTTTTTAACTACAATTTTTAATATATATATATATGCATTTAAACACATATTGTTTAATAAAAAACAAAAAATATTATATATTTATTACCGATAATATTAAAGAATATTCAATGCTTTAAAAAGTCTGATTGCTTAAAAAGCATACAAAGCTATTAAAACTATTTAATTAATTGTATTTAATTTTGAATTAAAATAAAAATTAACAAATATACTGATTTTAATTTTGCAACTTATTATTTCAACTTATACTTATTTGACTTACAAACAATTATGTGGTTTTACTTAATAATACATTTACTGGTAATTATAATTACATCCAAAATACTAAATACTGTATTTACAAATGAGTTATTTGTAATTAAATCTATAATCTACTAAAACATTACATACGATATGTTTCTACTGAATTTGTTTTTATCTGTGATTGAATTTATTTTCTAATTAAAACTATATATAATTTTATGTTAAAGTATTCCTTAAGGGTTTAAATACTATTGAATCAATGATTAAATTCATTGCTTTTATGCTTTCAAAACATTGATTTTGTTAGTTATTTACTGTATATACAGTACAGTACAGTACTGTAAGGTATAATAAAATTTCTTTCTTATATCATAAAATTATTGTCTTTCAATAATAACTAATTAACGCGAGTTTATATTTAAAATTATTTTTATTCAAATTTATAAGATAATCTCTGGCTATTTTTTACAAATTAATAATATATTTGATTTATGTTTAAAAATGAAATCTTTTTGGATGTATTTATGCTGTTGTTGTTTCTGTAATTGTTGTAAAGTTAAACAGAAAGATGGGCCAAAAGATGATAAAAATAAAATTTGCGATGAATTGAGAGATAAAAAAGTTAAAAATGTAATAATTGATGAAAATTCAGATAAATTGAGTAAAATTGTCAGTAATTATGATGTATTGGATGAGGAAAGTGATCAAAAGTTACTGATTGATGAGGAAAGGTTAGCTCAAGAATTGGACAAATCATTGATAGGTGGGAACAATACTTATGGCAATTCAGTTAAACGACACAATAGTTTATTGACTGAAAACAGTGATTTGCATTTATTAGACACCAATTCAAGTGATTTCGTTGCTCTCCAACTATTTATGGGTTTAAGAAAGCATAAAGTGATTGAATCGATCGGTTTTGGTAATTATGGACAACTGTTTAAAGCATTCAATGAAGTCAAGCAAAGAGATGTAGCCATTAAAGTGATTGATATTAAAACAGTTGGCGACAAGTATTCAATTAAGTTTATGCCCCGAGAGGTCAATATTATTCGTAAACTCAATCACAAGAATATCGTTAAGACATACGAAATGATGAGAACTAATGACAAGATTTATATAATTACGGAGTTGTTGTCAAAAGGATCGATAGCTGAATGGCTAGAAAATAACGGTTCATTCAGTGAATACATGGCTTGGCTTATGTTTAGACCGATTCTTGAGGCACTCGACTATATGCACAGTCAGAAGATAGCGCACAGAGACCTCAAAGTCAACAACATTTTGTTGACAGAAAACTTGAACCCAAAACTATGTGATTACAACTACGCTCTGATTGTTGACCAAATAAGACCCAGAAGTCAGACCTATACGACTACTTTCTTTTATTTAGCGCCAGAAATATTTCAATATTTGCCTTACAGTCCATTTATAGCCGATATCTGGAGTTTAGGTGTTTGTCTATATGTTATGATTACCAATAGAGTGCCCTTTGATATAGACGAAGACTCTGATGTTTTAGACAACCAATTGACCGCACAATGGAGTTATTGGTCAGAGATTAGACATAATCTTTCGCCACCACTCAGACAAATGATTGCTTATCTTTTAGATCCCGATGTTGACAGACGACCCATAACTCTGGATATATTTAAACATAAATGGATTGTCAATAATCCAGAGTTTTATAATATTTAACAGATTTAATAAACTATTTATTATATATTACTAATTAATATTATAAATTATAAAAATATTTTTATTTAAAATTTAGCATAATTAATTGATAATTTAATAAGTTTTTTAACATTTTATTACTTTATAACTGTACAAATGTAAACTCTAATTAGACATTTAATCAATAAAACTAAACATTTATACTGTATATGATAAATGTTTTATTAGTTTTAAGTAATTGACATCAAAATAATTAGATAGAGTACTGCAATTAAGACAACAAATATTAAAATGTGAAATTATGGAAAATTAGTAACTAAGTTACAAAAATTTCGAATTTTTCGAATCATATTAATATTTTAATAACCAAAAAATGTTAAAATTTATTTTAAATTAATATTTTTTTACTCATAAAACTTTTTTTTAATAAACTAGTTTTATCTTTATATAATTAGTTTATATACCAATAAATTATATTTTTGTTTTCTATACATAAAATAATCATAATTTTATTTTCTCATTCTTTTTTATTTCATTTATTTTTTCCTTAATATTTATATAAAATAACTTACATTAAACACAAAAGTTCTAAATTGCATTAAATAACATAAATTAGAAATCAATCTTTTTTAAAAATATGCTAATTTTTGAAAATATTAATTTCTATCTAAAATATTATTAGATCTTGAGATAAACTATTTTTTATATAAACAATACTAATACTAATGATGAGCTACAAAATTGTTAGTAACAAAATAGTAATGGTATACAGTATTACAGAATAATATACAGTATAAGATCACCACTGATTCATAAGTATAGTGATACTATAAAGTACAGTACATTATAGTATTAAATTATATTGTTTACTGTATTTTTCTAGACTTGTTGGCACTTTTATTAAAGTGAAGGTCTTATTTTTGTATATATACAACACTAATATGATTATTATCATTAAATATATAAAAAATGTTTAATAAAAATAAGATTATAGTGACTGACAATAATGACTATTTTGCATATACTTCGGGCAACTTTCCAAAGGAGAAAAGTTTCTAAATAAAATTCCTCCAATTTATCCGCAAAATTAAGAAAATTAAGTAATTTATTTTCTGTCTACCCGTTAGAGAGAAACATATATTACACTCAAAAAGTAAAAAAATAGAAATTTTATGTAAAATATTTTATAAAAATAATTCTAATTTTTTTAAATCAACCAATATTGCTATTTTTAAATTAAATTTTTATATTTAACACATGTATTTTAACCATTATGATAAAATTTTAGGTTAAAAAGTAGGTTAAATTTTATGTCTGATCTCAATAAATAGTATGATATGAAAATAAATTCCTTGGGAATATAGAATTTGTTGTAAATAAAATAAGGAATGGATTTACAACCAACTCTACATATACTGTATGTAATTTATTCCTGTATAGTATACAGTGTATACTGTACTACTATTATACCATACAAGTAATTGTTGACAACTTTTGGTGATTTTAATTAAATTTCAATTTTAAAAAATCGGGTCAATTCGTTTTCAACAAATAAGATTTTTTTACGAATACTATTTTATTAAAATAACACTTTTTTAAATAAATATTTTTAATTCAAAATAAACTAATCTTAATAATCGCACGACTGTTATCAGTGATATTTATTGAAATAAACATTTATTGACAACAATTGCGAATAACATAGATTTATGTAAAGAATATACAGTACAGGAAATCTCACAATAATTGCTTAATATCTCATGTATTTATTTATACACATCTTATGATCACTAAAATGATAACATTAGTTAACCTCACTTTTTAAATCATTGCTTAATATTTATAAAATTTATATTCATAAACAAATATTTACTAATAGGTTGACAATATTTTTGCCATTTAAAAATTTTGTATTTTAGCAAAGATGACCATGATACAGTATTTGTAAAATATTAAATGTTAAATATAAAACATTATACATTATACTAAATTATTAAATACAGTAAATAATTAATATGTATTAATAAAAATTATATATTCTAGAATAATTACAGAATAATTAAAAAATACAATGAAATTTAACATTAAACAAATTTGTTTAATATACTATAATATAATAACAATACAAAATAATATAATTTTAAAATTATTAATTATTAATGCTTTATTATGCCTATAGTTTAAAATATAAATATTTCGACATATCTATAATACAGTATTTTGTGGATTTACTAACTAAACATATAAAGTATACATTTTTTTGTTAATTTTGTAATTTTGTGAAATAAACATTATTTCTTATACCGTAAATATATAGGATATTTACTGAACATATTGATAAACCAAATAAGGGTGTATCATGCTATTTTATATCAATTAATTTATCAATATCATCTTTATATGAATTATTATTTATTATCTACAAATATAAATTATAAATAAATATTAATTTTTTAATTAAACAAAAAAGTTCATTTATGCAACAAATTTAATTAATAAACACATAACAGTTTAAATTATTTACTATACTGTAGATCATATGAAAACAAATTATTTAAAAATATATATTTAAAAAATCGTATAAAGAGTACAATTATCTAATGATTGGTAACAGATATTTAGTTATCACTGATTAAAGGCTTTCCTTATTTGGGATATCAATACATAAATTGATTAAACATTACTAAACAAACTATAATTATAGTGACTGTAGTGACACAACTATACTATATTACTCTACAGTATTATAACTTCTAAACATTACAAATCAAATTTAAATACAATTAATATTTTATTTTTTCAAACTATCACACAATCACACAAATAATTGCATTGAAATGAAAATACATAGAAAATAAAACTAAAACTAATGTTATCGTAATTATTGAACAATACATTGCATTTCACTCAATATACTGTATTAAAGGCATTGAAAAGGATTACGCAATACTATCCATACTTTTGACCCGTATTTGTAATTTACAATACATTTGACATTAAATTGTGGTTTAATTTGTTTAATATGTAGTCACCAATTGATACAATTATCATTAATTTCAAACCATCTCTAAAGTGATTAACTAATTTGGGATTCATTTTATAGGTATTGTATTGTATTAGTATGTTATTGATATTATAAAATAACATTGATCATTTCATACTAAATTAAATATCATATATAATAATGTTATTTAGTTTATATTCATTCAATTTATTATCGTAGATATAAATATGTGCATGCTCATTTTTATATAAACGTTGTTGTTGTTCTGCTATAAAACTTGTAAATTAATAATCTAGGTTATTTTAGTTTGTTAAAAATATCGTCTATTTTTTGATACACGTTAGCCTAATATAAGTAATTTTAATGGTTTATTGTAAATCATTTAATTTTTTGACCATATGTTTGGTTTTTATATATGATATACAATTATATAGCAGTTGTGGTCAAGAAATATGTTGTCAAAATAATGGCATCAATTGATAGCTATATTTAAGCAAATAGTTTACTAACACTCGAGTCAATGATTTAATGTATTTTTTGTAAGTAATTAAACCACTTTAAGGACTGTTATATTCATAGAAATTCAAGTTTGGTTTCACGTGATTGTCATATGTTTTGCCAAAATTTGTTAGTCTTTATGATTGTATAGACAGGTTGTCGTGTCTGAGACCGGTCTCCACCGCATTTCAACCAACCATTGTATTGATTGCTTAATACCTGAATTTATAGTAAACTAAAACTAATATTAATATGTTGTCAATTGATTTAAAATTACAGATAAGAGTCACCAATCAGTAGTGCCTTTTGAATGCCTTCCCCTCAATGCTGTGCTCCAACTGACGAGTTATTGGGATTTCCGATCAAACATACCAGACATGACTTAACACATCTACAGGTTTAACATTTTATTAATTTACTATTTAAAGCATTTTTTAATTATTGTTTTTTTTCATTTAGTAATTATATTTTCATTTACTGAGTGTTAACTATTTTATTAAACATTTATAGTTTTATTATTATTTTATTTATTATAATTTGTTTTATTACTTGAAATTATGGACTCATTTCAGACACAGAAGAGAATCACAGAATTATTAAGTGGTGTAAGAATTTACTATAATTTTATTTTTGTTTGTTATTATTATTTAACGATTTGTTTATAATATATATATATATATATATATATATATATATATATATATATATATATATATATATATCACATATAAATATAGAAATTATTATTACCGGTAATCAATTGATTAATAAAAAAATTTATTTTCAAAGCATCCGACACTTAAATCATTTCTGGCCGGTTCTATCAGTGGAACCGTATCGACGGTTTTATTTCAACCGTAAGTTATCTATTAAAAGGATTTTTCCCATAATTAATAATATTTTTAAATTTCTATAAAACTTAGATTTGATTTAGTTAAGACCAGAATCCAAAACGCCAATTTATTAACTGCTACCACATCAACATCATCCAGGTAATTTCTATATTTTATCTTTAATTTATAACAATTTTTATTGATAATTAAATTTTAAAAATATCTGTTTTAGTGTTGCGACAAACCGTTTAATTCCTTTAGTAAATCAAGTTCTTAAAGAAGAACAGCTTTTAGGTCTATGGAGAGGAACTGTTCCGGTATAGTCTTATAAAATAATTTATTTAAAATTAAATAATTAATTTTTATAAAATATATTTTAGTCTTTAGTAAAATGTGTTCCTGGAATCGGTCTTTACTTTTGTTCACTGGATTATTTGAAAACACAATTTTGTAAGAACTCTAATGGAGTGCAATGTCAACCGTCAGCCATTGAAGCCGTTTCTTTTGGACTCATCGCTCGATCTTTTGCTGGTTTTGTATTAATTCCGGTTACTGTTGTTAAAACCAGATATGAAAGCGGCGTTTTTGCTTATGGAAGTCTTGGACAAGCATTGAGGCACACATATGTTAGCGAAGGCGCCAGAGGTTTGGTGTGTGGTTTGGTGCCAACACTTATGAGAGACGCACCCTTTTCTGGACTCTATTATATGTTTTATTCACAACTCAAACAAGTGGTTGTCATGTCTTCATCATCTTCTTCTTCCAATAATACTTGCATTTCTCCGGTTCTTAACTTTACTATTGGTTTAAACGCCGGTCTATTGGCATCAATAGTGACTCATCCAATGGATGTGGTTTGTATTTTTTAATACATTACTTATAAACATATTTTATTTAATAGCCTTTTAGTTATAGAAATACTACAATATTTAAGTCAATAGTATTTAATATTTGGTAATTCAGTACATATTTACTTAAATTAGACTTTAATAGAAATTCATTTAAATTATGATCATTACATTTACAAATAATAATAAACATAATTTCTTATAATAAAAATTTTACTATTTAACTATTACCGTAAGTTAAATTTATATTAAATGTAAAAATATGATAAAGGTGTCATCAAATTTACATTTGGCCTATAGTTAAACTAATGTTTAATAACTTATAGAATTTTATCAAAACTTTATAAAATAAATCGTTTAAAATATTTAATCTATATTTATAAAAATTTGTCATTTGAATAGTCATAAGATTTATTACAGTATTAAATATAAGCACAAAATCATTTACACAAAATCATTTACAAACAAACAAAAAATTARTACAGTTTATTATACGATTGCTTTTATACTATTTATTATATGATGAAACTATCGTATAATAAACTGTAYTAATTTTTTGTTTGTTTGTAAATGATTTTGTGTAAATGATTTTGTGCTTATATTAATAATTTTATTTTTAATATTATTTATAAACAGATCAAATTATTTTTAAAATTTAATTATCAATGATTCTTATGATATATTCATAAATTGTTAACTTAATTACTGGTATTAGTTATGATTCATATACATTGTATAATACACTATAATAACACATGAATACTATATTTATTACATCTTAATTACATTAATACGTAAGCATTAATGATATTATTTATTTAAATTAATAAATTTTAATTTACAATTGAAATTAAAGGTTAAAACTCGTATGCAATTATATCCCCGACAATTTTCTTCGTTGATGTCAACACTTATGTTAATAATGCACGAAAAGGGGTGTTAAAGGTTACTTCAGTGGACTTTTGCCGCGAATGATTCGGCGGACACTTGTGGCCAGTATGACGTGGACTGTATACGAACAGCTCATGAAAAATATTGGACTCAACTAAAATAACATATATTTTAGCCATATTTTGCATTATTTTTACATTAATTTATAAGATCTCAAAACATAAAAATCATTAATTCAATTAAATTACATATTTTTGATCATTTAATTCATGCAATCATTGTTAAAAACATTACCAATACTGGTAAATGTTTATTTTGTTGAATTTAATTAATTTATACCATAAATGTATTGTTATTTTGAATATTGTTGTTATATTTGTTGTTTAAAATTTCATATTTTACTATCAATTATTTAAAAAAGATAACATATTTATACTGAAGTTACGATAATGTTATTATAGATTACAGATACAGAAAAAATACAATTTTTGACAAAAATTATTCGCAATTTATTATTTATTGTAAAATTTGTTAACATGTGCTTAAATAAACCATTAATAATTATTTTTTGAATACTCATTTGCAAATCTTTAATTTATTTTTTAAGTCATACAAATAAAGCAATGTACTGTATAAGTTAATATTAAATAAGCTAGATAAGTTCACTGGATGAAACCTATCAAATTAATTCAAAAATTAACCTCATTTAATGTTAATTTGTATGTACAGGTACTGTACGTACAGTACATAATTTAAACATTCAATTAAAAAATTTACAGATTTGATAAAATAATTGATATAATTTAATACAAAACACAAATTTAGAGATAAATACTAAATAATAAAAGATGTTTGAATAGTGTTTTACATAAATTTCAATAAATAATAAAATAATTTTGAAAACAATTTAAAAGTGATATTAATGGCTATCACTGGCACTTTCCGACTCGGATTCAGATTCTGAATCTTCCGATTCTTCAGAATCTTCTGACTCGCTGTCATTCTCAGTGTTATCACCGGTGAAGTAGAGAACAGCATTGGGAACCAATTTTTTGATTAAGAGTTGGGTTAAACTCCAGTCATCACAAAGAAAGTCATTGATATCATTGTTATAACTATCACTTCTTTTGGGATCATTTTTTCTCTCAAGAAGTGAATCGTTGAACAGATCAAAGAACGAGTCTTTGTTTTTCTCAGAAGACTTTCCATCGGTGGTGTTATTTTGTTTTGTGACATCTTTACCCTCTTTCCAGTCAATGACACAGCCTTTTAAAGCGATGGGATAGTAATCATTGAGAAACCACGGATTGTTAGGATTTGGGCCAAACATAATCTCATATGTTTTGGTGAGCGAAGTGTTTTTGAAGAACTCATTTATCGCAAATGAAAACTTAAGTTCAATTTTGTTGGGATTTTGGCCATAATTTATCCGAATATCCGATAAGTATTCCAAAACTGGTTCGTCTTTCTTTTCAATCCAATGATTTAAATCATTGACTTCTTTCATGGCTTTGAGCCAAAAACCAGAGATTCCTTTAATTACGAAACCATTGGTTGGTTTACTTTGATTGACGAGTATGTGACCCAACTCTTCGTCTTTGTCTTCTATATGGACGTCCAGTTTGCAGTCAGTGTCTGTCGGCTCGATTTCACCGTTAATAATAGCTCTCCTCTTCTCATAGATACTGTTGTAGTCCTTCTGATGTTTAGCCACAACATTGAAGATCTCTTCGGCTACCAGTCCATCAATTTTCAGTTTTTCAAATTGAAGTTTCTTTAAGGCTTTGACCCGACGGCTGAGTGATAATTGCCAGTCGTTGGCTGGAATCGGTCGCATCACAAACTCCTCTGAAGTCGAAGTCATTATCCAATTGGATGTCTTTGAGATTGTTTTTTAGATATTAAGATTCAATTGTTTTGTTGTTATAACTATTGAATGCAACGATTTGTTAAGTCAAACGTTTAGACAACTAATGAAACTTATATTTGAATTCTTTATAAATTCTTTTATTAAGACATGAATTCACGCGATTCCTATTTGTTTCCATTACTAACAATACAAGTATTACAATAGTATTATTGACTATTATATATTGAATTATAGTGTAATAAACAATATTTTTATAAAATTATTTTCTTATCATTAAATAAGAAATTTATGAAAAATTATACTCATTATGATTAATTGTTAATCATTGTTATATTTTTCTAATAAGTAATTAATAATTGGATTAATTAATAATTTTAACTTTTTGATGTATAAGTTATTAAATGAGGTATAATTTTTTATTTAATAGGTTTAATCCAGTGAACTTATCTAGCTTATTTAATGTTAACTTATAAATTTATGAGTCAATTGCTTTATTTATATGACTTTAAAAAATTAATTAAAAATTTGCAAATTAGTCAAAAAATAATTAATAACTAATTTACCGGTAAACACATTTTAACATATTTTACAATAAATAATAAATTGCGAATGATTTTTGTCAAAAATTGTATTATTTCTGTATCTGGACTAATAGGTTATAGAAAATTATAAACTTATAATTATATATGAAATATTGTATATTAATTTTGTTAAAAATCAAGTTTTATTTTAAATTTAATTAAATTTGAATCATAATTATACATTAGTTTTCATTGTCTTCTTCTTCATCGTCGTCTTCACTGTCCTCTTCCTCATCGGTTTCAAATGTCTGATCCGGTATGTCATACAATAGAAGAACAGCTTTGTTGGGATCTTTCAAGATGAGGTATTTTCCGTCATCCAGTTTCATACACGTGTCAATAATGCATCGCAAAACACCCCACGCATTGTCCATATTAAGGTTGGTTTGATCCGCAAATTCTTTAGGTTTAAACTGTTGTGTCCCTAATATAGCGTGTTTTGATGAGTCTCTGAAGTGAACTCGAGATACATATCTAGTTTTGGATAATATATATCATATTTTTTTGTTTGAAATTTAAAATAACAGTAATTAATAATAATTACAAAATACCCGAATTTGATTTGATCGGAACCGGCCAACAGTGCCTGAACTGTCCATTTGGCTAATTTGCAAGCATTGTTCTTAAGTTCATTAGCGAGAACAGCTCCGCGTTGAACATCAAGTTTTTGTCGCCAATCAATTCCGGCGGATATCTAAATAAAAACTTCAGTTAATGTATAGTTCAAAACGAAATAAGAGAATAACATACTCTTGGATCCCATTCATTAAGACCTTTAATATTAATAAATTGGGGGCCATTTGGTCCAATGAGTACACCATCGTGTTCACAGCGAACAACAAGTTCTACTTTATCTCCTAAATCCCATTTACGATACCTATAGGCAACAGAGGCCACCTGTCCCTCTTCGTCCTCTTGAATAAATGGATTTACATTTTCAAACTTATATTTTTCTTCTCCTGTTTTTAACACTTGTTGCGAAAAATTATGGTTAATAAAAGTGGCCTCAAGTGCCAAATTTCGCGGCCAATTAATGCTATTTGTTCCGTCTTCGTTATTATAAGGCGGTTCAGCAGCTGTTTCATTGACAGTAAATAAATCAAACTCAGATTCATCTCTTCTGTCAAAAAACAACTTATTGTCTACTTTTTGAACGACAATATCCCAGGATATAACCGAACGCGTGGCACACATAAGTGTAGCTATAATGGCATCCGTGGCAAACACATTGCCATCAGTTTTGGATAACTGTCTAATAATGGGATCGTCAGTTGTCGTCACTTTATGGAAGATTCTGTTTACTCTTTGAAGTCTCTTTTCATTCTTAGTCGTCACTCTATCGTATGTTTTATCATAGTATTCAAGTGCACCACAAGTGTAGACATCCTTTCCTTCGACAACAGCAGGAAGAGATAGTTTACTAAGTCGTGGGAAATCCATTTCTTCAATTATCTTCCAGTTTGGTCTCACATCAACCGATGCGTCTCTCTTTTTCTGAGGCGCTCCTTTCTGGTCATACTTTTGGCGCATATTCTTTTGCCATTTGCCTCTCATAGCGGCTCCTCCTTTATCACGGCCTCTAACACCACGCGAAAGGACATGCATTTGTTGTTGACCTCCAGGTCTGTTATGACGACCCCTTGCATTCCGCTATAAACGACAAATATTTTAATCAAATGATAACAATATTGATATGTTATATGAATGCAATTACTTGTCCGATCCTAAGCCTTCCCCTTTGCATTTTATTGATCACACGAGTTGTGTCCACCAATTGATATGAACTTTCATCGTCTTCCTGATTATACGAGTACTGACCGCCGCCGCCAAACTGTGACTGATATTTGTCTAAATAAATCATTAAATTATCATTAAAATCGATATATCAAACAAATATCATATAATAATACAATCACTTACTGGCCAGTCGTTTGTCAGCATATGTCTGACCCGTCCAATCGGCCACCTGTTGGTCGAACAAATTGGTTATTAATAAACAAAACTAAGGGTTTCGGGAAAAAAGGACAAACTTTGCCGATTCGGTCGCTTTTAGAAAAGGGCTGATACGGCATATCTTTGTATTGTTCGGGTACTGTATTAGGTCCCCATCCCAACGGATTTTCCTGTATTTCAGGTGCAATGAAATGAAGAAGTGGTACCGACATTGTGTCCACTAATTCAATGTCTTTAACCATTAAATCAATGCTTTTTTATGTCAACAATATTTTGTGTCACTTTTGTTGGACTCAATCAATGAACACGTTTTGAGTATTCAATGCATGAGTCGAGTGAGTCATACATTGTGTTATTAAAACATATATTACGCTAAAAGTGTTTAACATTTGTTTGCAAAATATACTGTAATTTAGTTTTGAATTGTATTTTAAACCAAAACGGGTCTCACTTTTCGTTTACATTATTTATCCGATTGATTGAAAGCCGCAATACTTTTATAACTTTTTGCCAAAATATTTCAATTATTAATGATTTGTTAAATCATTCATTAAATTAATAATCAATTGATTGATGTGTTAATAATAGTATAATAATTTACATATTGTTTCAATGCATAGAAAAAGTGATAACAATTATGAATACATTATCCAATAGCCTATAGTTTAGTGTATTAAACGTCACACTAATTGATATGTGATTACAATAATTATAAATTAATTTATATTCAATATTAATAGTAAATTACTTTTAGTAATAGTATTCAATTGATTTGCTTATTAATAGCTGAATAATAGACAAATATAATCAATTGATTTGTTGATCACTCACTGATTCAGACTGTCTGTGATTCAGAGTAAGTCTTAAGAAAAAAAAGTGGAAGAATTGGTTCAATTGATTGCATTATTGGTTGGTTAGACGTGTCTTGAGATATGACGACAATCAATAAGACATTAGTGTTGTTTGATGTCGACGGCACTCTCACCCAATTCCGACTACCAATTAAACCTGAAATATCCGAAGTTCTTACAAAACTTAAAGAAAAAGTGACCATTGGTTTAGTCGGTGGATCAGATTTGCCAAAAATAGCTGAACAGATGGGTAGACAGGGAGACGATGTTAGTGAAGCAATAGATGATGTCATACAACGATATGACTATGTGTTTGCTGAGAATGGATTAGTTGCGTACAAGAATGGCTCACTTTTAGCTAAAGAAAGTATTGTTAATTATATCGGCGAACAAAAGCTTCAGAAGTTAATTAACTATTGTCTCGGATATATGTCGTCACTTGAATTGCCGGTAAAACGCGGAAATTTTGTTGAGTTTCGCAACGGACTCATTAACATCTGTCCCGTCGGTCGCAGCTGTTCTCAGAAAGAAAGGGATGACTTCGGCGCTTATGACGCCATTCATAAAATTCGCGAAAAGTTTATTAAAGATGTGAAACAACACTTTGGCGATGAGTTAGATCTCAATTATGCAATCGGAGGACAAATTAGTTTTGACTGTTTTCCCAAAGGATGGGACAAAACATTTTGCTTGAAATATGTTGAGAAAGATTTCGATAAAATATACTTTTTTGGTGATAAAACACAACCGGGAGGTAATGATCATGAGATCTATTCAGATCCAAGAACTATAGGTCATTCAGTCAAAGATCCCAATCACACCATACAAATTCTTAAACAATTATTTTTTAATGAAAATAAATGAATGAATGATAATTTGATAAAAATATTTTTATAAATTTATTGTTACTTCTTATCAATCATAAAATTACACAAAAATTTCTTTAAAATGCTATTTAAAAATGTTTCTAAAATAAAAGCTTACAATAAAAATGACAATTTATGACAATTAAAATGTGTTCACTATATATCATATTTTACACATTAATAAAATCTTTTAAAGCACTTATTTAATGATTAATAAATAATGAAATGAAATTCTCTTATAAATAAAATAGAGTTATCGATAGATTAAGAAATTGACGAAAATATGGCATATATTTGACAAATTAAGTGTTGATTCTCTTTCCGTGAATACGGAATCTATAGAGACAGGTATAGTCATTGTGGCCGTGATTTGATAGTATCACTAATTCAATCAATTCGACGGCTCGAGGATTTGGGTCTTCAACCGCGAAATATTGCATCGGAGTGTTGTTATCTTCGTAGACATAATTACCTAAAAGATGTCCCGTAGTATCGGTTTCGTCGTCGAGCGCTCGGACCTGAAATTCTTTGGGCGCGGAATCGATGTTTCCATCTCTTGATATTTGTTTGGAAATGTGTTCATAAGTGAAACCGGATGGATATATGGCTTGAGATAAGCGAATCACGAGATAACCATTTGAACCTCTGAAAGCCCAGCATTCGCCGGGACTTATTGTCGGTTGAATGACTGCCCGCGGACTCACCGATGAACTCCAAAAAGGTATACCAAAGATCTTATATTGAACTCCGTGCGGATCATATGTTTCTGAACAACGAGTGTTTATAATAGTTCCTCCTTTTCAAAGCATTTAAATAACATTTAATGACATTCAAAGATAACTATAATTTATTACACAATTACCTGACGGTTCCAATGCATAATCTGGTTGACCTGTCTTATCGGCGTCATATACAGCCAGTGCTTCACTTATTAAAGACCTAACTTTTCCAATAGTTATATTAGATGTTATGGATTTACTTTCCCTTTTCATCTGTTCTTCAAATTTCTCAATAGTTGTCATTAATTTTTGTTCAATCGATTCCCTGAAAACATCATTTGTTTTCATTAATTCAAAATTTATGAAACTTTTAAGTTCTTCAACTGCTTCTGATGGAGACATAGATTGTCGTGTGTTTTGATTATTGCTTAACAATGAAGACATAAATGCAGACAAACGTAAGTCAATCAAAGCTATCAACGATTCAGTATTATTCTCGACAGCAATTCTTTAAAGAATTATTCAAATATTCTTCAATTTTATCCATTTTTTCACTCAAATGCGTAAACTTTTCATTTTCATTAAATTCATTGTTTTTCATCTTTGAATTCATATCACTGTTTGTTTGTCTCAATTGATTCAAATCATTACGCATTGTCTTCATTTCCTTAATCAAAGCATTGATTGCATCTTTGGCCGCATAATCACTGACCAGTCCATCAAATGAACTGTAAGGCAGTGGACTAGATATGTAATGACTCAATAAATATATACAAGGAGTTAAAAACAATAATAAGACCACAAATCGGAAAATTAAAGGACACTTATTGGTGGCCCGTTTGACGGCATTTGGTGTCACAGAATCAATTATTCGAGAGGTATTGTTTATAGTTGTCTTAAAAATATTGGTCACTCTCTTAACTATTGTCAATTCTTCTTCTTCATCTTCTTCATCCTCATCTTCATAATAATTATATCTTTCATTAATTGTGTGACCATTTTGTCGATAATTATTGAGTAGTTGTTGATTCCGTCTGTTATTCATTGCATAGTCATCGTCGTCACTAAATTCTAAAAATAAATAAAATACTCTTTAAATTTAAATATCAATTTATTTTAATGAAATCAAATATTTACCAATTTCTGGTTCCATTGGTTCCAAACCCTGTCCTGAATTAGGAATTAGTATTTCTCCCGATTTGTTGTATCTTCGTCTGGCTTTCTTATGCACTTCACAACCGGCCTCTAAAATATATGATAAATAGTAATCAAATTTTTAATTTATATTATTCTTAATGTTAAATAAATACCGCATTGATTTCCACCCAAACAATGACTTCGAGTAAACATCTGATCATTTGGAGATCGTTTGTCGGGAGACACGGATGACTCTCTTTCAGTATTAGAGAGCATTAAGTTTGAACTATTAATTGAATTATTAATTATTTCTGTTTTCGTGTGTGTACTCAAAGTACGAGACAATTGGGTGGAAGTCTTAACTGAAGACGAAATACTTTTGCGGGACATATTTGGTACCAACCAATCAAATAGATTACTAGTATTTGAAATATTCTTATTATAACTGATACTCTTAGCGTAAGTATAATCTGTTTTTGTTAAATCTTTTTGTAATTGACTTTGATTTAGATATTGAATATATAATTCGTGAATTGCTGAAGAATTAATTATATGTTTGGCTTTATGTGACCACAAATCCAATAAATCATTCACTTTCTTTGAATACCACTTTTCTGAATCAGTGTCAACACTATCGTTGAATTCTTTGGCCACAAATGTGACGGCTTTTGAGTGTTTGTCAACCGATTCAAAGTTAAGTGAAGAGCACTTATGAATCAATAAATCTTGAGATTCGTCGTCCGTATAAAAAATATCTCTATTGTTGTTGTTTTCAAACAAATTCTTGTCTTTCAATAATTTATTCACTTTTTGTTTCTTTCTGTTTGCAAAATAAAACATTAATTTTGTTAATCTGTTTTCTCAATATTATTATTAATGAATTAATGAAATAATTAATTCATAAATTAATACTTAATAAATTCATAATACATTAATTCAAAAAACTATATCTAATGATTAGTATAAATAATATGAAATTAGTTTCATGTCATAAAAAATAAACAAAACGTTTAACTAATACCTGAATTAAATGAAAAAAAATAAATAAATTGAAATGAAAATAATATTATGACAATTGAAATGAAATGTAAAAACAATTTATGAAAAAATTAATGGTAGAGACAAAAAAACAATGCATTTAAAGGAGTTGACCACAAAATTGTCGTCAAATTTATCAATTAAATTGCAAATTAATTAATTAAAAGCAAATAATACACTAATTAATGAAATGCTCGTATAGTTTGACAAAACACTCACTCAATGGGGAAATCATTGTTTGCATTGAATTTCATTAAATCCATTGATTTGTTATTCAATTTAAATGATTGCAAATAATAATACAAAACAATGTGTTTATCAATGAATTCGATGCAATAAAACACTAAAAACTGTATAATAATTGTTACATAAATATTGCAAATATTGATTCAAATCAATTACATTAACTTATTATTAAAATAAATAAATAATTTATATTTTCAAATATCTGTTCAATTGATTAACAATTAATAAAATGTATTTAATTTTTGATTAAAGATTTGATAAATGAAAATAAAAATCATTTGAATAGCGATAACAACAAACAGTCAATAGTGTTGTCAATCAAGTGATGACAAGTGGCTTATGATTAGTGATAACAGGTTTTAATGGTTTGAGTGCAGTGTTTGTCAAACAAATGCAGTCATTAATAGATTAATCAATTGATTGACATTTCATTACTTTATTTATTATTAATAATTATATTGACATTCATTTGAATTCAAATTTTAGTCACAATTTGTTTAATATTTTTACTCAAAAGTTCAACAAATATTTCGACAAATTGTTGGCATTTTTGTTCATAAATGATGTCTATATATAGTAAATATATTGACGTAATTGATGTTTGAATGTTATAGATGTGTGAATGTGTGTCACGTGTTGTCAATTGAAATCCCTTTCCGTTTGTGAGACACAACACAAGTGTTTGGATTTAATAATACTTATCATTAAATCGTCTTTAAATCAAACCATCGATGGCTACGTAAGTTGTTTTGTCATTGATTTTAACACAATATTAATGACAGTTAACTAACAAATATTATTTTTCAAACGACAGCAAAGAAGCGGTTCCTTCGGTTCAAGTGTTCGGCCGCAAGAAAACGGCAACAGCGGTGGCCTATTGTAAGCGCGGCAATGGTCTCATCAAAGTTAACGGCCGACCGCTCGACAACGTTGAACCACAAGTCCTGAAATTTAAGCTCTTGGAGCCAATTCTTTTGTTGGGTCAGGAAAGGTATGTAAACAAAGAAGTCAAGTGTTGACAATCAGAAAACCTAATCAATTGATTGATTTCTAATAGATTTTCCGGAGTTGACATCAGAGTTCGTGTTAATGGTGGCGGACACGTGGCACAGATATATGCCATAAGACAAGCCATTTCTAAAGCTTTGGTGGCTTACTATCAGAAGTACATCGATGAGGCGTCCAAGAAGGAGATTAAGGACATTCTCATTCAATATGACAGAACTTTACTGGTATCAGATCCACGTCGTTGTGAGCCCAAGAAGTTTGGAGGACCGGGTGCTCGGGCCAGATATCAAAAGTCGTACCGTTAATGGCTTTACTGTTTTTGTTTTATATTATGATTTAAGTAATAGTCTTTTTGCGGTAATTTTGAGGCGATTATTAATAAAATGATAATTCAAATGATTTGAATGTCTCTCTATTTTTTTAATTAACGATATTTTGTTTTTAATTACCTTTTGGTTGGCGTCGGTATGAGTCGACCAAACTGTAAACCCGGACCAGCTTTACAACCGTTTGCTGAACACGAACTTCTTAAGCATCGATGGGTTGTATGACTGGTCTCTTGTTGATTATCATTATTATTGCATCGCATTATCTTAAACACACACTTAGATAATAATTAGATTGAATTATAAATGAGTTTTGAAAGTCACTCATATCTACGTCGAAAAAGTAAAATAATGTCAAAAGTTTGATTCACAAGAGTTTTTACAAATAAGGGATAAAATATATAATTTTATTAATATTCAAGTGTTTACTGTTTAACACCAACGCAAACATCTCAATGGATGTTAAGTTTACACAACATTTTGATTGTTATATAAATGTAATGTTATTATGAATATTATAGAAACAGAAATACAGTAAATGAATGCAAATTCCGCACAATTGCTTAACTGCTATATAAATGTCGAGATATTAGTTATTTTTGATTCATTTACTTTTACTTATCTCTTAATTTTAATTATCTATTCATTGATTGCAAAAAACTCTTTTCTATTTATATTTTTATAGTTAATGTTTAGTAAATGTTTTGACGATTTATTAAACTTTTGTTTAATATTATTGATGGCAATTGTATGAGTCATATATTGAAGCAAAAAATATACTTCAATGTATTGAATCTATTGTTAAGCCCTACCTGTGCCGCATCTATTAATTCCCATCCATTTGAATATATGTTATACTTTATTGCTATTATTATGTCTAATGAAGGGTAAGGCGTTGTTAGGTAACTGTGTTTCAGGAAATACTGCCTATTGTTAATGATTTACAGTTACGACTGTTTTTCATAGTTAATAGACTAAATTCTTTACATTTATTTTTATATTTCAATTATACACGAATTTCATGACTTATGAAAAACTTTCATATTTTAGTCATAAACGTAAAGCAAAATAAATAATATTAACTTAAAAATTATTGTATTAAAAACATAAATTATTTATACTTATCGTATAAATGTTAATTAATTCAAACATTATTACTTAAAAGTTGGTAATTATTAGATATATTATTATTAAGAATACATACATTTATATGATATGTATATTACTGTAAAAATTATAAAATGTATTAATTGAATACCAAAATATACAATATTACTAAAAGTTTATACAGTATTTAAACTACTTATACCTTGAAATCGACATATTTTGATAATATTTTTAATTTTACTGTAGAGTTAATCCAAGGATATATTTCTAAAAGAAATCTATTGAATAAAGTTTTATTTCTTTTGACTTTTGATATCATAATATAAACATTATTTTGAAAATAACAAATTAAATTGTCATTGTACTCAACTTTATAAGTTAACAGTAATGTAATTAAGTTATATTTAATATTTTTACATTATAAATAATTTAATAGTTTTCATATATAATTTATTTTAATAATTACTTTACATTTTATATCTAATACATGTCTAATTTATAAATTAATTAAATTATAATATTCACAGAAAAAACAAACTTTTCATTAAAATAATCAAATTTTTACAGAAATTCTAATTTGAAAAATATATTAATTAATATTTATAATTATTATAAAATTTAGTTATATTATAATTAAATAACTTTTTAAAAAATAATTTAAATAATTGTAGTGTAAATTAATTAACAAATTTGACAAAACATTTGTACGATTGGTTTAATGCTATAACTGGTGTCAGACTGTCTACAAGTTTACTGTTATTTGTGTTAAATAGTAATACAAATGTTTATATAATATATTAATACAACAATCATATGGATTGAAGTATTGATCAATTGATAGTTGTTTTCATTTAGATGTCACACATGTTATAGTAAACAATATTTCAATATTGAATTCATTTGGGATCAATTGCAGTGATGTCTGGCAATCAATGGAACCATTTGTTCAGTTATGACACTTTGGTTCATGCCATCTCTGGATCAGTTGTAAGCAGTGATAATATTGTGTCATGACTTGGATGTCATTATTAATTATAACTAAAATATCAATTAAAGGGCGGAATGACAGCAATGGCCGTCTTCTTCCCGTTGGATACGATTAGATCCAGACTTCAGATAGAAGATAACCGTAAGTCTAAAGACACGCTAACTATGATAAAGGAATTGGTGGCCGAAGAAGGAATGTATGTCTTGTAATAACAAAAATGTCGACAGTTTTTATAATTAGACTAAAAATTCATTTGTTTACTAATAGTGAGTCTTTATATCGAGGATTAAGACCTGTTTTAGTGAGTCTTTGTGCGTCTGGTTTCGTATATTTCTATACATTTCACGGCTTAAGAGCTGTTTTCGGTCAAAACAAAGCAAAATATTCTCCTCTAAAAGATTTAACATTGGGTGCCATCGCTGGTAACTCTTTGATATCAATGTATTTGACAATTATTGCTGACAATTGTATATAATGTATAGGTGTTGTCAATGTATTGATGACAACTCCTCTATGGGTGATAAATATGAGACTCAAAATGCAGGGAACTATTGTGTCTGAAGCTGACAAACATTTGAGAAAATATCCTCACTATGAGGGTGTCATCGATGCCATGACTAAGATATACAATACTGAAGGTCCATCTGGTTTGTGGAGCAGTACTTTGCCATCGCTTATGTTAGTTTCAAATCCAGCGATTCAATTCATGATTTATGAAATGCTAAAACGCGAGGCACTAGTATTTCTTAAAGCAGACCAATTAAGTGGAACCGTTGTCTTTGTGTTGGGAGCTATTTCTAAGAGCATCAGTACAGTTGTCACTTATCCATTACAAATTGTTCAGTCAAAACAAAGAGTATGTTTTTCAATAGTTTTTTTAAATTATTGTAAAATTTCTAATTATAACGTTTGTGATGATAATAGTATGGAACCGATGAAATAAAGAAGAAACCAATTATTGAGATATTTAAGACTATTGTCAATAAACAGGGATTCAATGGTTTATACAAAGGCATGGAATCAAAGCTTTTACAGACTGTGTTGACCACTGCTCTGATGTATCTCTTTTACGAAAAGATTTCTTCGACAGTCTTTCAATTAATGAGAGCATCAAAACGTGTCAAAAGTCAATAGATTTATATTTTATTTATTCATTATTTTTCATTTTCTATATATTTATAATATTTTGTAGTTTAAGTTTATTTATTATTTATTATTTTAATATTATTAAGTATTGTTAAGCGTTATTAATCATAATAACCCACACATAATAAAGTAGAGAAATTTTTATGATTACCCGCTTATATAAATGATAATGAAATTTACACGAATTCAATTGACATTTTTTTATTTTATGTTATGAGTTAACTAATTATGGGTTTCAATGAAAATGATTATAAAATAATTAATTTAAAACTGAGTGGTATTTTCACATGTCTTCCAATGGTTTACTTTCTTATTAGCTCTCATGTAGTGATTGTCTTCAGGAAAACGACCTCTACTTCTGACAGTGTAATCCATGGCTTGTTTTTTGTTTGCATTTAAGTTCTCTGAAGAGCTAATAAATGCAGGATTTGAGTAAACAGTGTTTTGCTTGGAAGGGATCGGTGACTGATAATCATTGATCTGTTGATTAGCAAAACTCACAAAAACCTATTTTTAAAAATAATATTATATTTATTAATTTAATTTAAAGATAATAATAATATTATTATTATTATTACAGACCTGATCTAATGATGTTTGACTAACAGAGAAGTCTTGTAAATTAAGTTTCTGTTGTCCTTTTTGTAAGTTATCGAAAATTGTCGACAAAGGGATGTGATTGTAGGGTAGACTAAACTCTAACATTGTGTGGTGATGTGCCTAATATAGTGACAATCAACTGTATAATAGTGTCCAATATATTTACAAATAGTTGTCATTAACTTACTCTGAGGACACAGGAAGGGAAATATTGGTTCATAAAAGTGATGGCATCCGAGTGATTGTTCTCAGACTCGTGAAGTCGTAAAGTTATCAAATATCCCGAACCAAACCTATTATTTATTTAGTAATCAAATATTAATTTAATTTTGAATTTAAAGTGATTTTTTAGCAAAATTAATCCAAAATAAATGCTAACTTATGTTTTAAATACTGTGGACTTCCAATGCATTTGAAGCGTCCGTTAACCATAATTGCCAATCGGGAACATAGGATATCACACTCTTCCATACTATTATATGAAATTTTTATTATTATCGGTAAATCATTTAATTTAATTCAAATTTGTATACCTGTGTGATGTCAACAGTACTGATCTCCGATCTCTGACTGCATTTTGAATGTTCTGAATAATATATCGCCGACTCTGAGGGTCGAGACCACTGGTCGGTTCATCCTTTAATTATATTTAATTAAGTTAATTAACATTTAATTTTAATCAAATATATTTAATGTCTACCAAAAGTGCCAGTTGTGGGTTCCCGAGCATAGCTATTGCCAAACATAGTTTTCTACGATTACCTCTACTCAGTGCCAATACAGGCATCTGCGAGTGTGGCATCAATTGAAATTTAGCCAACGATTCATTGACAATCTGATTGCAATACATTGTAATATAATTAAATTAATAATATTCAATATCTATAAGCTGTTTGTGTAAAACTACTGTTTAATAATTAACAAAATTGCTAAAAACTATATAAATAAATATTATGTCTTACAGTTGGTATATGTTGTGTAGGTATTCCTCTAAGATGTGAATAAATAGTCAAATGTTCATAAGGAGTGAGAACAAAGTCGAGTGCATCCGCTTGAGGACAATAACCCAATGATTGGTAATTTGATGATAAAATTTTCCGAATGTCTTTGCTATTGATGATCGCCTGACCAGTCGTTGGCTTCAATTGTCCCGTCAGTATACGGAATAAAGTTGTTTTTCCGGCTCCGTTGACTCCCAATAGTCCAAAACACTAAATGGTTATGAAATTATTAATTTAATATTAAATATAATAAAATATAAAGAGTTATGTGTAATACCTCTCCGCGTGGCACCGAAAAGCTGACGTTATCGACGGCAATACGTTTTCCAAACATACTTTGAAAGACTTTAGTGAGTCCGACGATCTTTAATATATCGCTATTGGTTTCATTGAGGTGTACTTTCTTTCTTTCTTCGGCCACATCATTGTCTTCATTGTTAACAATAGATTTGATTATTTGTTTTGTTTTATATGAAGAAAAGTTAAAGTATTCGAGTATTAGATTCACTATAAATAGTATGATTCCTTCGACAGCAAGTGTTATATAATATGGACCTAACATTTGCATTGAGAATGGGTTAACATAAGTGTCCTGGTCAAATAACTTAAATATATCAGCGAACAGTTGGTTTCTATGTATATCAACTAAACCACTTAGTAAGGCATAGGGAGGGAAGATAATGGCTATCCTATCAAATGTTGATTGAAATACAGGACTCACTTCAATCAACTTAAACACATCAATAAGTAATCTCATAATCATTGTATTGATTCCAATGAATAGTGCTAAACAATATATGACCATAAATGCAATGCTGGCCTCATTGAACAGCTTCTCCATTAAATAGACTAATGTAGTCATAGCCCAACCAAACAGAAATAATAGCGTCAATACAGCCGGTAGATTGAGATGAGCCACATATATAGGCAATTGAAAACATGATATTATTATAGCTGAGAAACCAATTGCAACACTCAATGATATCAAATCCCATAACAAAGATGACAACCAGTAGAGTACAGTTCCCACACCAAAGATACGTTGCAGTTGTTTCTCCTCAAAGGTCCGTTCCCTTACAATATAGAAGACAAAGCTGGTTGGGATAAAAATAAATCCAACCAAAATAATGAGTGCAATGCCCGCATCCCCAGCCCTTTGCATTAGTGACTGGTCTCCCAATTGACTCGACCTTATGTGCAATGGATGCGAATATGTGGTAATTCCTATAAATTAAATATTTTTTATATTATTATAATTTGATAATTATTTTATATAACACTACTTACTATATTGACTTGAATTGTCAATACCAGCGACTTTGAGATTTGCTCTCATAATAGCATTATTAACAGCACTTAAATAAGATGGCAAACTATGATATCCATTATTATCAAACCAGATCTTAACTATTTGTTGACTCTTTGTTGTCATATTATTATCATTATTATGGAAACTCCAACCACCCCAACGTCTGTCCATAAATTCGGAATAAGTTCTTAACAAGAATTGGCTGACATTTACACGACTCAAATCATATACAAATCCGTGTCCAGTAAGTGCTGGACTTGAAATTAGAGGAGTCATTGATGTCATATCAGTGTTACATTCATTACATCGACAAAGTTTAGCATTAGTAGTCCAGGCATCTCCTGATAACGTCTTTAAGTGCTTCGGTAGATAATTTGTTTCTGAGGGAAGTTCTGTTAAAACTGGACACTTAGATACTCTCCTATCAAAGGAAAAAAATATATTTAAAATTAATTATTAAAAAATTTTAGTCAAAATTAACTATTAATAATCACAAACCAATTTTCTCGAGGTTTTAAACAATCAGGAATTTTTGGTTTTGTTTTGATTAATTCATTTGCTATTAATTTGCTATTTTGTGATGAATTGATTGCACTATAAAATGAAACACTTGATTGACCATAGATTGTGGGCATTAGTGGAAGAGCCGGATCCGGTGCAAAGGATGGCTTAATTAATGTCATTCCCATTGCAAATGCTATGAAAATACAGGGAAGGAATAGCGTACAAAATAATGTCTTCCAATCTCTTAATGTATGAGTGAATCGTTTGTTAAGAAGAGCACATAATTGTTTGAATTTAAGCTGAACTCCAGTGACCAGCTCTGGACAGTTCCAGTCCATAGTTGGGTCCAAATTCATACGCATATCGTGACTATTCTCTTCATTATTGAGGGGTTGACTGAACTTTCTGGCGACGGCTAGTTTTGCCGCTTCCATAGGCATATGTGACTCTTCAAGATTGCAAAGTGTAAGGAATACTTCTTCGAGAGTAGTACTCGTCAGTCCATAGTTTCCAAATCCCAGAGCATGGATGTTGGCGTCCAAACACTTAAAAAAGGTGGCGTAATCGTGGGCCACACCATATGAACCATGTTGTGGAAGTGTCAAAATGACTTCTTGACCGTAGTCTTCAACAAAGGTTGCATTAGGTATAAGACATTTAGTGAATGCCATCAATCTTTCGACATCACTGGACTCTTCTGTTGGTCCATTGGATGATCTGCCTGAATCATTATCACCATCATCATTTCCTTGTCTTGAAACTGTCAATTGATATCCGCAGCCATATTTGCTTTTAAGAAGTAGTGGTGATCCAATACAAAGTAATTTTCCCCTATGAATGACAGCCACTTCATCACTTAATATCTCTGCCTCATCCATGTGGTGTGTTGTCAACAGTACTGTTCGACTTTGTTTTTGTTGAACTATTAGATCCCAAATACTTCTTCGTGCCACTGGATCCACACTTGCCCTGAATGACAAAATAATAAATAACAAAAATTAAAACATATAAGACATACGTGGGTTCATCCAAAATGATTAGTTTAGATCCGCCGACAAAAGCCAGTGCTACGCATAATCTTCGCTGAAGTCCACCCGATAAATGTCTGACGAGATGGTGTTGTAAATGCCAGAGTCCTGTGCTGTGTAACATATTATTGATGTCTTCTTCAATTTCATCTTCATTTAAGAGTCCCTTAAGATCCGAATAGAACTGTAAGTGTTCTCTAACAGTCATATTCATAAATAAGGTATTATATTGAGGACAATATCCCAATAGTTTCCTGGCCTGCATAAACTCATCGGGTACAGGATGTCCATAAATATAGACAGAGCCGGCCGTTGGTGGCAATTGACCGGTCAGGACATTGATAGTTGTTGTCTTTCCGGCGCCATTCCTGCCCAACATAGTTGTGATTTGTCCCTCTTTAAGACTGAGACTTAGGTTAGAGACGGCCACATGTTTGCACTTTTTGCTACTTTTATTAAATATCACATAAAGGCCTTGCAATTGAATTCCCGGATTATTTCCGTAGCCATTGGTGTTACCAATTTTACCATTACGTTGTTGATCAGCGCTTTGGATAGTTGTCTTAGATTTGCTTTTGGATGTATTGTGAATATTACAACACCAGTAGTTGTACGTCAAAAAGAAATACCAGGGGTATCGGTGCGCGTTATTACCGGCTATCATATTATGTCAATATAGTTTGACAAAAATCAATTGTTATAATTTTGATTTAAATAAATTGTTTTCAATGACTTACGAGGGCAAACATGTGATATATACCATGCAATTACAAAATATAATATCGAGTCGACAAACATCATTATCATTGCCGTTCCCACATTCATAGTGTCCGCTTGCATTGGACTGTGCCATAGGTTTGTCCACTGCATACCGACACCTTGCACTATAAATAGTTTAAATTTGATATTCATTATACTTTACAACATATTATTGAATCAAACTAGAAATTGTTGGTTACCCTCAAACCGGGACATATACATCATGCCATAACAAAATGATGCAGACATTGAAAAACACTAAACATATGAAACATAATTATTATTTATTAAAAATAAAATTATTAGCTATACTTGTGATGCGACTTACAGTAAGCACTTTGTGAATATATGACATTTCATTTTCAAGAGTGATGGCCACCATAAATGGTAAGAATGAGGCCAAATATCCAACGATTCCAGAGAGAGCTGCAATGGTTGCCGTCTTGAAAAATGAACTCATCATATAACTGAATGATTAATACAGTTATTAATTGATTAGTATATTATATTTAATGTTTAATTTCAACGAAATGTTGATTTTGTATAAGACTTACCAATACATTATCAATGATAAAGAAAACGACATAAAGAATATATATAAGAGTACGGGATCTGAATTTGGTATAAGTCCTCCCAATTTAAGTAATGTAAGCCCACAAAGGGTCCCAAACGCCATTACTATGAGTCCTAATAGAAACCTAAAAATAATTAAAAATATTTTATTAATTAAAATATTAAATATTTAGAAATATTAAATATGACAAACCATGTCATCCAAGCAACTCCTGGTTTAAGTCCCATTACTCTAAGTACTTCTTCGAGATGAAGTTCCCTTTCAAGAACCTGTTCTCTTATTAAATAAGCGATTAAAAAAATCCAAGCAATTGTTGTTATTAGTGGTGAAAGAGCTCGTATATAGTTTCCAAACTTATCGATATCATAGCACAAGTATGGAAATTGTTGCAAATGGACTGCCGGTTCAATTAGTAGTTTAGTGTCATTAATTAAAACAGATGTAATAGCTCTGTCAACCATTTCTTGTATTTCAACGAATCCTTTCAAATAACCCAAATCAGTGATATAATTATCTCGAGGTCCCGGTTCCCAAATGCGTGATTTTAAAGCTTTAGTTGACGGCACAAAGTCAATGTCAATACGGATCTTATACTCTATATTGTGGGATAACTTTAAGGGATGTGCTGTCAATGGGTGTGTATCCATATTATTGAATACAATACCAGCTATAAATTCATGTGATTTTGTTAATTTTCGGGCCATGTTTTCTAACTCCAGTTCATTAGAGAGACCAACAAATCTATTCAAATGAACACATTGTGCAACATTTGCCGCCATCTGAACCAAACCTAAGATTGCTCCCGATTTTGCCATTTTTTCAATTAAGTTAAAAGTTTCGGTGTCATCAAAAATGCCTTCAAATTCTCGACCCAAAAACTGAACGATAAAATGTTTAAGACTTCTAAGTCGTTGATTGGCATTCGGATCTTTGTAGAAGTCTTTTAGTGAGCTAATGGTCTGCGCCCAGGCATGTAATACATCAGCAAATTCAGACATAAATGCAAACGTTTTGTTCATTCGGGCCATAATAGAGTCGGTTAAATCATTTTTAGGTGTGTAAAGTACTTTTCCGGCCAAAATAGGTTTAAGAAAAGCCCAGATGACAGGTCCGCCCTGCATCTGCATTATTTGTCTGTACCCGTGTTGACAAAACTTACTGGCAAGTGATGCCGCGTCCGCTTCATTGATATTTGGCTTTTTTACCACTACTTTCATGAGTTGCATCTCTTTGCTCAGCGCTGGCAATGTTTGTCCGCACATCAGTTTACCCAAAATAGTTGACGCGTGAGGGGCTGTCAAACACAAGAGTTTTGGTAATAAATTATTAGTAACTTATAATTGTTTAAAAGACTAATTAAAGTTAAACATTTACATCCAAGCAATTCAATTGGATCTCCTTTTAGGTCTATTTTATCTAATTCTTCATCCAAATTAAGAGATTGTGAAACATTTGCCACAAATCCTTTAATATAAGGCATTGCTTTTATAGCTTCTTTCAAACTATTGAGTGCTGATCTCATCTCTGAGTTGTGTAGATGTGCTTTAGTCAAAGCCAACAGCTCTAAAGTATCCATCGATTTACTACTTCTCGATGTCTTATTACGAAGTGGTCTAATCTTTTCAGTCCCGGAGTCCATCAATATATCCATAAATGGAAATCCAGTTTCGATTGTACTTTTAAGTGGTGACTGTGACAGCATATCCACAATTGTACCGATAAGTTGAATACCTTTCGGCAAATCGCGGATAACTGACGTCACATTTTTCTCAATTATCAATGGAGATAATTGATCCACCAATTTATGGATTCTAATAATTCATATTTTTATGTAATTTTATATTTTGTTATTCATCTTAAGTATATTATTATTATTATTATTATTACCAATAATGGATTATTTAAAAATTATTAAATAATTTTTTTTATTCATTCTATATTTTGTGTTCAATATATTTAATATAATATAATTAAACCAAAGACAATCTCTTTATGAACAAATCTAAAATTTAATATTTATTTTATTATACAGTACTGTATAAAAATAATATAATATTAATATTAACAAACATTTACTAAATTTAAAATAAATTTATTACTTTCCTAAATAAAAATATTTATATCGAAATTATTGTTTATTAAGTGATTTTAAAAGAGTGGTATAAATTTACAGTGAAATGCCTGTAATTCATAACATGTTTAATGAGACTAATGAGTCTATTGATATATAATACAGTATTATTATATCAAATATAACCTCAATTTAATTAAAGAGTATTTTAAGAAAGTTTTTCTAATAAATTGATTTCTCAAATAAATCTTAATATAAAAATAAGCAAATAATTTGCTAAAATTTATTACACAACTATTGTTTGACAAATAAATGTCTAAATATATATATATATACTTTATATATGCTAAAAATGATGCTATTTTAAGCTAAACTGTTATAATAGGGGACAGCGACGCTTAGGATTGTTATACAGTATAAAGTTATTTTAAAGTAGGCTATAGTGTGTCAGACAAATATTAATTAACGTATAGTTTTTAATGCAATGTTTGCTTACCTGGCATTTGGATAATATGGGATCTCATTATAAGAGCTTGAATTAAGGCAAGGGTTGTCAACATTGCATACAAATGACTGCCAAAAATTGACAGATCCGGCGCTCGGAAGTGCTTTTGAGTTATAATAACCTAATCAACGGATAAAAAATTTGTTTAACACATTAAACATACCGATAAAAACATATAATATCTATATATTATATTTATGATGAAAGATGATTGTAAATCACTGGACACATACAAGTCTGCCGATTGACTGCTGGAAACTGTAATCTGACGGTAAGTACGGCCAGAAAAACAATGGCCGGCCAGAAGAGCTCCAAGAATAAAGTTGTCTGTTATAAGTACACCATATAATCAATTAATTATTTGGAAAATATTGTCATTTAATAAAAAAAATAACAAAAAATCATTACTGGCTGTCGTTTTCTTAATAAAATCTTTTGTCTCAATAAAAGTTTGAGTTGTTTGAAGAAACTCATCGTTGGTTACCATTTGAGTAACTATTTAGTAAAAAAATAGCAGCAGTTGTGAGGAATGGTCTAAACATAACCTAATTATTGCACAAACACTATATAACGGTGCTATCACTGCACCATTCAAGTTCAGGAAGTTATTCAAGTTCGGAGTATGCCTTTAGCACTGGTAGGTAGGTATACACCAACCAAAAGATATGTTTGAAACTTTCATTCATTAATAACAAGCCATACATTGAGTGAACAGCAATACACTGTAAGTGAAGAGCAAGAGGTTCAGGCTTTTTAAGGACCGGTTCTTAGAGTACCGACAGTTAAGACTAGAAAGTCGATGCTATACTATGTAAACAAATTGAGAAAACATGTTTCCAGAGAGAGGACATCCCAGTCCTCATCAGTTTGCAATCATATTTATAACTAAATATATTAATAATCTATCGTAGATTTATATAGCATTTCGTCATAATATGATTTTCAATAGATATTTTCAAAGTTTGCAATCAATTTAATTATTTCTATTTTTAAATAATAAATTTTACAAATATATAACAATAAAATAAGTATTTCATAAATTTATGTAATACTATGTTAATGTACCACAAATGGTATATAAATTGTTATATAAAAAAAAATAAATTTCTACAAATTATTAATTCACATAGATGAATTATACAAATTTTATATTAAATTTGACTAAATTGATTCAAAATTACACTTACAGTTAACATGGACAAATCAACACTTTAGCATTGCAATAGTCAATATATCTGTAATGTTACTACAGTATTAAAAATATTATATAATTTTAAATTATTGATGTTAATTTGTGCATGTTAACTATACTTTTGATTAAATTTAGTAAAGTTTAATATATGGTCACAAATTTTTTCCTATATTTTTCATGTTATTAAAAATTAATTTTAATTTTACAATGCTTATTTTTAAAATTATAAGTAAATAGCATTTACAATAGTATAAAAAATAAAATAAAATTCAGTCACAATACTCGTGAAAATATTATATAAATATATTTTTATGCTTAATATTATATATATATTATTTAAAAAATTATAAATATAAATAAGTAAAACAAAAAATAAAATATAGAAATGAGTACATTGTTATTGATAGTACAGTACTTAGATAATACAATATCGGCGACAAATTATTATTTTTTTAGTTAATACAAAAACATATTTCCGTCAATACCAGTGACCAGAAATGGGGGAAAAGTTAAACAATATTTGAATATACAGTTATATGAGTACTATATAAGACATTATTGGATTAAAAACTTGTTTTTTTTATACAACAGTCGCTGTTGTCTCTCAGTGTCTGAACACTTCTGTAGCGGTGATTAGTACAGACTTGTGTTGTAATGTTTAGACTAATTTAACTAATAATTTGTTTGTTGTTTTGTATGCAATACCTGTGCTAACTGTTAGATAACAATAACAACAACATAACAGTCTTATTGTTTTTTAGATCACTTGTTCTTCACTGTCATCAATGAAAATATCTAATGAATACAAGCACTGGTTTTATCTTTTTTTGTGCCCATAAATAGTGTAAATTCAAAGTAGTTCACATCAAATCTATTTCATTATTATTAATAATAATTTTAGCAAAAAATTATTATTTGTTTTAAAAAAATAAAAAAACAAACAAAATAGAAATGAATAAAACAAAATCATATTTAAAATGAATTATATTAACATAATTGCAAACATTTTGTTAAATTCAGTAATTGTTTGCCAATTAGTAATATGTTTGTCCCATAAACACCAATACTATGTTATTATATAATTAGCACTATCGCAGACCAAATTCAGTATAAATTTATATTGTATTATAAATTAAAACAAATATAAATAAAATCTTTTAGTTTTAGTATAATATTATTTTATAAAATATAATTAAATAAAATATTGTTATTTTTAATTTAGTAATTAATTTATTCCATATAACAACGTATGCGAAATAATAAATTAAATTTTGTTAACAAAATTTAATGTATTTTTTAAAAATTGAATGAAATGAAGATTAAATAAAATACATGAATGTTATTCAGGAAAGGGTTGATACGATATGAGGGGTAAAATGTTTACAATTTATTAGAATCTAATGATCATAACCTCAAATAACCTGAATGTCTATTATTTAAAAATATATTCAATTTATAAGTTTATAAGAAACCATTTCTATAAAAAACTAAATAAATCTTAAAACAAATATATGTTTTTAACTATTATTATAAAAATTGGATATATAGATAAAAGTAAAAATAAAAATAAATTAATACAACAAATAAATGAGAGAATTGTGTTAAAAACAAGTAAACGAAATAATTAATTGACTGATAACTAAATATAATAAGAAAATTAAAAATAGTAAAAAACTTTTGCATTTCAAGTTCACATTTAAATGCAATGTTGGGGTCAATGAACCAAAAACAATGTTCACTCGCGAGTAAAAACCTAAAAACTTGTTGTATAGTCAATGAAAAGTGAACGACAAGTTTGGGTATAACTGTTATAAACAGTTACCTGTAGTGCCAACACATAACTTAACGGTACATCTAGTTATAGACAGTTTATAACTTGAATCTTATATAACTGTGTTGTTGTTATCAGTTTGGGGGCTATTGGAGGGTGAGCTCCGGGCTCTAACATTAGATTGTTTAGTTGCTTACTCTACCATTGCTTGACTACTGTAGTCTGTAATTCATATAACTTTATATGTATAGTATATTAATATTACCCTCTCTTCACAATTAGTTAAAATTATTTTTAATAAAATAATTAAAATAAAATTGTTTTCTACGATAATTTACATAATATTGTTGAAATAATGTCAACCTATGAGCAAAATTTAGATTAATATATAAAACATGAAAATTCACATAAATGTATGTTTGGCTAAAATTAATAAAATTTTCATTGAAAAACTAGGATTCAAATGAAAGCTTGACTTTCATTAATTAAAACGGATGTAAATTTTCAACAAAATTTTTTTTCTCCCTTTCGGCCACACTTTAAGATAATTTTAAAATAACATTCAATTCACTAAATTATAACTGAAAATGAGGACTAATTCTCACCGATTTTAATGATAATATTGAATGTATTTTTTAAAGACTGAACTCATGTATTATATAACACATCTCTCATCGTTTAGTTTTTTTTATAGTTTTTATGTTTAGTACTCAATAATCCGGTTCATTGTAAAGAAATGCTAGATTTAGATCACTTAATGATCTGGTTTTACCACTAATTGATGACCAAAAATCTCGATCTCATTCCTCACACATTTCGATAGTTTTAAAGAAATTAAAAGAAAATAAAGTTAATGTTTTGATAATATATTTGAAGAAAATAAAATGGAAATTCTCTATAAAATTGACACAAAAATTAGTTGTTTACTAAAGTATCTTAATATAAATAATAGAAATATTTATTTTTGATCAATTCGAAAGAAATTATACAATTTTGACAATTTTTTAAAATCTCAATTTTATATAACGTAAGACTACCTGTAGATACAGTATTAATACTTTATCTTACCGTATAGTAAAACATTTTTCTGCTAATAATTAATATTTTATAATAGAGAGCACAATAAAAATAACCTGAAGATATTGTTAAATAATACATATTTTAAACTAATTTTTTAAATAAAATTTAGTTTATATTGCATTTTATCAAATATTTTGATTTTTAATCATTTTTAAAGAATTGTTTTCTTATAATCACACAATGCTTATAAAAAAAAGTTGTTATAATTCTTCGTGAGTGGAAGGGGTGGTTGTCGAGTGGTCGTCATTATATTGGTGCCAGAATTCGGGCGGAATTAGACTTAAGTATCGGTCCTGACTTTCTAACAGCTCATCTAATGAAAGTTTTTCGTCCTGATTGTGGTCACCCTCTTGTATGAGTCTCCACGACTCGGCCTCGTGTTTGTCATACGAAGGAACCAACCATTCTTTAAGTTCATCTTTATTTAAAACGCTATCTTTATTTTTGTCTAAATATGTTATAAAATGATTTTGTTGGACCTAATAATAAATATAACAATTATGACTAAATAGCAATTTTGATGATTAAACAGCAAACCTGAGCGAACTCGGGATTAGTTTTTTCTTCTTCCGGAGACATTTCATTAATATGATTCATATACTCTTCAAGTGTCACTTCGCCATTGTTATCGTTATCCATCTCTTCCATAGCTTCATCAACTAATATCTCTTTAGTTCGATCTGATTCTTCGGGATGAATGAAGTCTTTATATTCATCTTTAACCAGAACTGAGTCTGAATTTCTGTCGGCATATTTCCATCTTCTTTCTGCTCTTTTAAACATATTTTTATAATTCTTAAAGTTTGGATCAGAATTATCTTCTTCGGCTATATTGTCGGGATAAGTCATATTAACATAATGTTCCCAATGAAGCACTTCTTTTTGTTCCGGATTATATCCTTCCCAACTGTGAACTTCTTGTACTTCAGGCTTATAATAAGCCCACTGTTGTTCAATATTATCTTCAATGAGTTTATGGTGAACCACTTCAATCCATTTCTTCAGTTCAGTAACGGTAGCCAATCCATCGCTATCTTTATCTATTTCTTGATCAAAAAGTTGTGACAATTTTTTTTTAATTTCTTCATAACTTGGCTGAGAATCAGGAGCAGGGATTTGGTCGGCGTGTAAATGGTTATCCATCTCTTCAATTGATTGAAACGACGACTCGTGACACCAAATAATGTCAAGTAATACACAAAATATCCAAACTTTTACCAAACTATTCATTTTAATTGCTGCCACTTATCGGATGAATATAACAATATATTTCAAGTAATTTAGTTAAAAGTTCTGCAATAAATAGAAATTATATAATATTTATAAAAATTATTAAATATTATCTTAAAAATACAGTAAAGGATTAGATTTTAAATATTTTACAACGTCTTCACACATAACTGAACTGATAATAATAATAATAATAATAATAATAATAATAATAATAATAATAATAATAATAATAATAATAATAATAATAATAATAATAATAATAATAATTTTTACTAAAGGTTTCGGTCAATAAACTTCAAGTTAGGGTTCAGTCGACAATTCAACTAATTATATCTGTATTGTCTAAAAATCTTTATTTCAATGTTTTCATATTTTTAAGACACTTAATAATTGTTAATATTTTAATATATTATTTCTCGTTTTTTCAATTACCGGCACATAATTTTTCTATAGTAAAAAACTTTTTGTAAATTTATATATCTATAGATATAATGCAATCAATATTTTATATTTAGAAAATAACTAAAATTTAAGTAATTTTATTAAATATATGAAATTAATAAATATAACAAAAAATCATCAGAAAAATGGAGTCTAAAACACAATTTTTTGATTGTTATGTCAAATCAATTGCCAGTTATTCAAACTACACGTGCGATCACAAGGACTACCAGTCCTCACAATAATTGTAATAATTATTATTGTATTAAAAAATATAATATACTCATAAAAATTAAGTTTAAATCTCAAGAATTTTATATCATATTTATTATTATTATTATTATAGTTATGCCATATATTATATTAATGTTGAATCAATTTGGATCAATCAATGGTTTGAAACAATTCAAACAATTTTATCATTTATAATCACATGTTGTTTGTTTAGACCTGTATTACTTTATACAGTATTATAATTTATAATACTGTATAATTATTAGAGTATTATCATTAGTAAATAAATACTTATAAATATAATAAATATTTAATTAAATTATTAGGCAATTACTACAAATAAATGTATTATAAAGTTAATACACATATGTGTTGAGGACTTTATTGACAACTCATTTGACAATACATTCAATACCTTTAATAGTGAGAAACAATTATGAGATGACTATTGAATCGTTGATTTGTTTTGAGGTTTAATTAGACGATAACTATCAACTAATGTCAGATAATTACCACAAATGATATCAATCAAAAAATATTAACAATTGAAACAATAATATTGTCATTCAATATAATATATGATATGACATAACATTTCACATAAAACACAACAAAACTTCAAATCAAAACATCTTTGCATTAAATGAACTCTAAGTTCAATGTTTGCCATAAAAACTGGTCTTTAAATAAACTTATTGTAAAAGTATTGTCTATTTATCCGATAAAGTCATTCATAATAAACGTTATGAATATTTATTCCCTATTTTGATAATTAGTTTAAAATACATTTAATTATATTTTAATTATAAATATAAAAACTATTGATTACTTGTATTATCAGATTTTATTATATATAAAAATATATTTTTAATATTAAAATGAAATGTCAGAAAATCTGTAATTATATGTAAGTTAAGTGCATTTTTAAAATGAGTTTATTTGTAATATTTTATTAATCAAACAGTTTATCAATTATTGTAATAATTTTTTGTACAAATATATCAAATCATTTATAAATTATAATAATCGTAAGTATTTTAAAAATGTAGACAAAAAATGAATTTATTTGAGTGAAACATGTGATAAAAAATGATATTATACTGTATTTTGATATAAATTTAAAAAATGTTATGTAAAGTAAAAATAATAGATTTGATTGTTTGGTTATAATACTGTAATACTATGTATATAATGATTTGGTTATATTATTAATAACAATCAAAATTGATGTAAAACATGATAAGCAAGTGGTAGAGGAAATCAATGGCAAAATGTTATCAATGAATATCAGTATTTAAATACCGGTATTAATGGTATAACTGTATGACTAGTGATGTGTTTGTCATAGACTTTGTATGCAATGGTTTGTCAAAAGGGGTCTCCATTTGAATGTATTGTTTGTCGTAATATATGATTGAAAATGAGTTGTCGTTTGTTTCGACATATCCTCCGCTGAATTGTTGTATTACTTATCGAGTGATTCACTCAATAGTTTAACACTCACTTCAAGTGTTTTAATCACCGATTTGTGAGTATTTTAATCGCAATTTAATATTGTTTTCAATTAATTTCTATCAATTTATTTGACTATATTGTCGGCCAAACCATTAAATGTTGACAAATATCGACTCATAAGTCATAGTTAGTGTCAAATGTCGGCTATTTTTGACAACATTTGACATAAAACTCATTGAAAGCAACACTAAGTTTGTATCAACTTTTGGGCGTTTCTTATGATTTCAACATTTGTTTTAATTGTCGACACATTTAGTGATAATTTGTTTATTATTAGCTATGATTTAACATAAATTAACTGTAATTATACGTAAATATTATTGAATTATATGACAAAAGTGAGGATCAGTTAGTTTTACAAATTGAATGTTTCATTTGATATGCCATTAAATTTATGTTTTTATATCAAAATTATTGTTTTAATATTAATTTATATTTTTATATTAAATGACTTTTAGTGTTAAAACATGACTTTTAATACATTAGAGTCAATGAATACTTCTATACTTGTATTATATTTTTTGTCAATCATTTTATTACATATTTTTATCTCTGATTTATTGTTCAAATAATAACTAAATCCGCTGTCAATACAATACTATTCATTACTTAACAATTTCACTGATTTTTTCGTTGCTTTTTACTTAACTTATGAGAAAATATTTGTCTTAAAGATAAGATTAAAATAAATATAATTATTTTAGTTAATAAAACTAAATAAATATATTGTTAATATCTGTTTGTTTAATATGATATTATATTTTGATACAATAGGTGATGAATAGGTTATCGATGATCGACATGTAAATCGGTTGATCAATTGATGACCATTGGCTCAAATCGTGAACCATATATATATATATATATTGTCCATATAATTGTAATAATAGGATAATTGTGACAAAATCGTGATATCCATGTCTGAAGTTCACAGCTTCGGCATCGATGCCATTCCGTGTCATGCATTTAATGCCCAAAGAAATAGTATGTCTATTATTATTATTATTATTGTGACAATTAAATGAATGTATTATTTGTTGATATTAACAGAAGTAGCCCTCTCTCCCAACAATAATGAAGTCCATATTTATCAAAAAGAGGGATCAAAGTGGACGTTAAATCAAACACTGGTTGGCCATGACTTAAGGATAACAAGTATTGATTGGGCACCAAATAGTAACCGAATAGTGACCTGTTCTGCGGTATCTATTGATTAATAATTGTATAAAAATTATAATATAATTAAATTTTGTTATTAATAGGACCGAAACGCTTATGTCTGGTCTGTAATTGACGGCAATTGGAAGCCAACATTAGTATTGTTGCGAATTAATAGAGCGGCCACTTGTGTGCGGTGGTCACCAAAAGAGGACAAGTTTGCAGTGGGAAGCGGTGCTAAACTTATATCGATTTGTTATTTTGAAGAGTCAAACGACTGGTGGGTTTCCAAACATATCAAAAAACCTATTCGTTCAACAGTTACTTCAGTTGATTGGCATATAAACAACCAATTGCTTGCCTGCGGCTCAACTGATTTTAAGGCCAGAATATTTTCCGGTTTTATTAAAGAAGTGGACAAAAGAGAAGGCGAACCGACACCATGGGGTGGAAAGTGTGCCACCGGTTCCCTAATTGCCGAGTTTTCGGGTGGAGGAGGTTTGTAATTGATGTCAATTTTAATTGTTTTTTAATGATTTGTATTGACAGGTGGATGGGTTCATAACGTGAGTTTTTCTCCCGATGGCAATCGTCTTGCGTGGGTATCTCATGACAGTAGTATATCTGTGGCCGACGCCAATAGAGGTATGTCTATCTCGACATTTAAAACACGATATTTGCCTTATTTGACGTGTGTGTGGACGACATCCGACTTGATTATTGCTGCCGTAAGTGTCATACAATTAGCCCTAATTTGATATAAAATTAATTTCTATTTTGATATGAGATTATTAAAATAATTTCTCATTAAAGGGTCACGACTGCTGTCCAATGCTTTTTAAGTATGATATGAGTAAAGCTGAACTCCAATATGTCGACAAAGTGGACAAATCTCTTAAGAAAGAAGTGGATGGGTTTAGGTATGAAGTGATGATTTAAAATATAATTTAATTTGATTGTTATATTTAGCATATGTTTATACAATTTATATATATTTAATTTCTTGTAGTGCTATGAGAAAGTTTAGAGATATGGATAAGAGAGCCATTGCTGATAATAATGTCAGTGACACCCAATTGGATACAATCCATCAAAACACTATTACAGAGATTAGACTTTACAGTGGGTCTAAGTCAGCGACCGACAAGATTTCTACCATTAGTGTCGATGGACAGATGGTTATCTGGGATTTAAAGGTACTTAAATTTAAGCACAATTTATTTAAATTTGATTAAATATTTTTTTTATTATTAGTCTTTAGAAGCATCTTTAAAAGGTCTTAGAATTGTGTGATTTAAGAGATTTATTAATTTAATATTTATGTTAAAAATCCTTCATTACTTGTCAAACAAATCATCAAAACAAACAAAAACACATGAGTTGTTATACAAAACTGATAAATTAAATTCATTTTATTTGGTTTTATCGCTGAAAACATTTGATTTAAGAAAAAAGTAGTGAATTTCATGAACACTTTGGCAATTAAATTGTGAAATTCATATATAATATTAAGAAAAATGAAGGAACGTTTCGTATTTTTTTATTACCACTTCTCTCAATTGTGCTGATGGCCAGTGGCTACCATTGCTTCCACTACTAAATTAACGCAAAACCAAATCATCGCAATAATAATAATAATCATATACTTAGCGGATAAATAATGATTGAAATAATTGTCAACCATTTGCACTATCTGTTTGTGCCTTTAAAATTTTATGACTATTTGACAAATTGCTCACAAAAATTGTTTGACATTTCGGCTCAACATTTTTGAGACGATATGCCTGTAAAACGACTTGTGGAGAGATCGTGTAAATTGGTTTGAAATTTTAAAAAACGTGAAATAATTAATTTTAACTAATTTATTATTGAATGTTATAAAAATTTAGTAAAACAATTGTATTATAAAAATTTAAATTATAGAAAAATTAATGATTTTTATGTGAAATTAACGAATACAGATAAATGAGTTTAATTATATATTAAAAAAATCACACATTTTACATTAAACACAACCATAGAGTCAATCTATGTTTAAATATTTTATTTTTCTTTTCATTGAATAAATGACATTAATTCTGTTGTAATATTACTAATAAATTAATTTTTAAAATAAAAAAATGTTTATAATTTTAAAAAAATATATTAATGATTATAATCTAAACTTAATAATGTCTGTATTGTATGATTAAATATGAAAAAATGTTTGTATATAACTACAGTATTGTTTTGATAGTAACAATGAAAATTAGACAATATTTAATTATAACAAAAATGATAGTAAAATAACGTAAATTCAATTACCGGTAAACAATATTTTTTGCAAACTTTGATCCACCCTTTGTTAGCTCAGGTATCCAATACACTAACAATTCGTATAAATAGTAAGCAGAGTATGCGCTAATAGATAGCATAAACTTAATAATAATAATACAGTAAATAATAAAATTTGTTAACTATTGTACATGTAATCAGCTTATTATGTGTTTTTCAAAATAAATATATTCTGTATATATATATATTTGATATTATTTATAATAATGTAAAAATGTACATGGACAGTTATATAATATATATTCTAATAGAGTACACATTGTACTGTATATTGTAATCAAAACTCAATTATCAATGCATTTATGTTAATAAACTCGTATTGAGAGTCAATTTTTAGGTCACAATTTTATGGCACTATTTTTAACCATAACTTAACTTTTTAAAAATAATTATTTAAATAAGTTTTATACTAAATAATGTCATTTGGGAACAAATTGTTTGTCACAATAACATTGTTTGCCATAATTGCAACCATTTGTTTGGCTGAAGAGAAAAGTGTCGAAGAAGAGGTGTATGGCGTTAAGTATGCCAACAATTGTGAGGGTAAAGACACTTGAATTAAATGTCAAAATTAGGTGACAATTGGTTTTAATTTGTTTTAATTTGTTTTTGTTTTTTATTGAATAGTTTGCAAGTATTTGGTCATTGAATTAGAGGAACGATTGAAACAAACCGGGAAAACACATGATGTCATTGAAACGGGATATGGATTTGACGATCAAACAAGACATAAGAAGAAATATGTTGTTTCGTATGATTTATTATTTCCTTTTAATTTTATCATAATTTTAGCATTTATTTGTAACTAAATATTAATGAATTTGTTAACTAAAGTGAACTGCGATTAGTCGAGTCGTTGGATGGCATTTGTGAGACATTATTGGAGTATAATATTCATAAAGAAAGGAAAGACAGCACAAGATTTGCAAAAGGGATGAGCACTACATTCAAGACATTACACGGTTTGGTTGACAAAGGAGTTAAAGTGGATCTCGGAATGCCTTTTGACTTATGGGACAAACCATCAGCTGAAGTCACTCATATGAAAACTCAGGTAATTATCAGATGTTATTAAAATTAAGATTTTGTTAAATGTATTGTTGTTTAATAGTGTGAAGATTTGTTGGAAAAGCATGAGTCGGATATCGAGAACTGGTATTTCAATCATCAGAAACAACCGCTAAACAAATATTTATGTGTAGACAGAGTTCTTAAGAGAGGAGATGCCGGTTGTCTCGATGAGACCTTAAGTCATACCAATAATAATAATAATAATGAAAAACAAGAACTTTAAGTCATTTTTGTGTGAATTATATACAGTATATAAATTTATTTTATTATTTTTACAAACAATAGTAATGTGGAGTAAATATTTTAAACTTAACAAAATATACAATCATTTATCGTCAAAATGGACAAAAAAAAATAACATCAATTGATATTCAATTTGAAAAACTCTGGCAATTTTCCGGTTCTTTTTTGCCAAAAGTAGTCGTAAATCAATTTTATAATTATTAGTATAATAAGTGTTGAGACCAACCAATTGATTATTTCAAACACTTCTATTGGTTCCCGAGATTGTGGACATAATTCTGATTTAGGAATCCTTAAGAGGACTCGAGTGGCAAACTTTTGGTCTGCATTTTCGGTATACAAACCATTTTTAGGCTTTGTTTCAATGTCTGGATCGAGAGCTGCGGCACATCGGATGTTATAAACGTCTTTAACGTTTTTGAAATGATTCTGAAGCCATGTTTGGAAAACAACTGTTTTACAGTTGCAAAGCCACGGATTATTGGACAGATAGAGTTCATCCAAGTGTGACAATTGATCCAATATATAAACTGGTATTTCTTTAAGACGATTATTATTTAAGTGTAATGCAACCAAATTCTTCAACAAATTAGTTCTCTCAAAGCCAGCCAACGATTCAATTGTGTTATTATTTAGGTGTAGATATGAAACATTCCTCCAGTTATTCAGTGCCAATGCATTCAGTGATATGTGTTTAATATTATTGTTGTCAAGTTTTACTATCTTTGTTATGGATGGCAGACTTGTTGGCAGTGATTCTAACTGATTGTTGGAACAGTTAACAGACATAACATCTTTATTTCTGACAACAGAGCACTCGCATTGTCCACAAATCGGTGTCTCCAATACAGTCATACGTTGAGAAAACTTCATGTCTTTAGCCACTTCTGGAGATTTACAAAGAATGTTCTCTCTGTTAATGACTTTATGAGACCTATCTTTAGTGTATTTCAAGAGCCAAATCAAGTTTTTATCACAAATCCATTCATTTCTGGTCAATGATATGGTTGTGATTTTGTTATCAAACTCTTTGATTGTTTTCAAGTAATTGTTCTCTAAATATAAGGATCTCAATGATGTCATACCATTCAAATCAATTGATTCCAACTTATTATGACTTAAATCCAAAGAAATCAAATGAAATAACTTTGGTTTTGATTGAAATTTTGTTAAATTATTGTTTGAAAAATTTAAATATTTTAAATCTTCAAATTTATTAAACAAATTATCGTCAATTTGTGTCCCAAATGTTTCAATGATTGTTAAGCTTTCAATGGATTTGTTAAACGTTTTAAGCCATTGATTGACTGCTGAAGAATCACTTCCGTAAATCTCAATCTCTTTAAGTTTCAATTTGGCACCAATTTTGCCACAAATACTATCATTAGAGCTATAAATCCAATCAATTGCTTTAACTAATTTCATGTGATCTTCAATATCCTTACATTTAAGTGAAAATTCAATGATATGTTGATCTAAATGAAGAAAATTGATGAAACAGTTGTCATTGTTTGGCACCAAATGAATACATCGTTGGCTCAACTCTTTCACTGAGTTATCTGTTATATCGTTTGATACCACCATCTGATGGCTACAACTCATTGATATTAATATCAACAAAAAGGTCACCAAAAGGTGTTTGTCATTGAATATGACTTTTGGCCACATATTGGCCACAATTGTGTAGAAAAATGATCGCAAATGTGGTACCAGTTATGAGTCAGTCATCACTCAAATGGACACACAATCAGAGCTAATGTTTGTAAACAACTATTAAAAGGCATTTCAAGCGTTTGTTTACTTAATATTAGTAATAATAATAATAATAATAATAATAATAATAATATAAAATCTCTTTTAACATAGTTTTGTGTTTTCTAAGTAAAAAATTAAAGTTTTGCAGCAATTTGTTTAAAAACTTGAATTAATTATTTGAATTTGTATTAAATGCCAAATAATTTGTTAAAAATTAAATAAAATTATTATTAATTAAATGAAAAGTGTTTGCGATGTCAGACATGAGGTGATCATTGATTGCTATGACAACCAATGAGACGCTTATAAATAATCAATAAAATGATTGATTCAATTGATTGCATGCATTCTATTGCATTCAAATTGCATTCAATTGTATTGTTTTATTGAATGCATTGTATAAAAGATTAATTGAATTAATGTTATAATAATAACTGTTGTCAACCATAAAGTCATATCTCATGTGATATACAGTAATAATAAAGTATTTATATATAATATGATATATTAAACACTGAAAGTCATTATTGTTAAGCACTTAATAACACATTGTTTTCATTAATTATTAAACAAGTGGTCCAACAGTTTTAGTGATCATAATGTCATCCAAAGACACAGTCAACACAAGAGACAAACACAGTGACCAGTGGTCGCCAGCGATCCCTAAGAAACGGTAATTTAATTGGCTATAAATTTAATGACATTTGTTTTGAATTGATTGGATCTATTGTAGTGATACTTTGCTGAAGTGGAATGGATGGGGATATAAGGACTCGAGGTTTGAATTTGATACTAGAAATCATATGTTCAGCTTTACGGGTGATCGCTATCGCATCGGAAGCCAAAAACTGCCACTTTTTGCCCAATGGGTCGAATCGGCTCTTGGAGTTGATCTCAACACGAAGTTCACATCACAGGTCTGTATTTTGATTAATATTTTAAATATCAGATTATAATACAAATAAATTTATTTTTAAGTCCGAATCGCAAGCATTAGATTTACCGAAACCTATCGTCAGTGAGGGTCTAATGAATGATTTACTTAAGACATCAATTGCTCATTCATTTGATGCAAGCGATCGACTTTTCCGAAGTCACGGACACACATTGCATGAGATATTTACACTAAGAGAACATAAGTTTAAAAGAGTGCCCGATATCGTGGTTTGGCCCAAATGTCACGATGAAGTGGTCATATTAGTCAAGTTGGCTTCAGATCATAATGTAGTCATTATTCCTTTCGGTGGCGGAACCAGTGTTTCGGGAGCTCTTGAATGCCCAGAAAATGAGAACCGAATGATAATATCATTAGATACCTCACAAATGAATAAAATCTTATGGGTTGATCACCACAATCTTACCGCTCATATTGAGTCCGGAATTATTGGTCAAGATTTGGAGAGAGAACTAGCAAAACTTGGGTTATGTACCGGTCATGAACCAGATTCTTATGAATTTAGCTCTTTGGGTGGTTGGGTGGCCACCAGAGCTTCGGGAATGAAAAAAAATATTTACGGAAATATTGAAGATATGTTGGTTCACGTGAAGATGGTTACGTCGAAGGGCACTGTCCAACGCAATTGTCAAGTGCCCAGAATATCCTCGGGTCCTGATATTCATCATTTCATATTAGGTTCTGAAGGGACTCTTGGAGTTATCACTGAAGTCACACTTAAAGTTAGGCCAATACCTGAGTGCCAAAAATATGGATCAATTGTTTTCCCAAACTTTGAGGTCGGTGTTCAATTTATGCGCGAAATTGCCAGAAGACAGCTCAAACCGGCATCAATTAGGCTCATGGATAACGAACAGTTTATCTTCGGTATGAATATTTCTATTCACTAATTGCTTTTAGTAAAGTATCGGTAATATTATTTTTTAGGTCAGGCCCTAAAACCAGGCACTGCATCAATATTACAGTCAATTATTGACGGATTTAAAAAGTTTTACGTCACTAAAATCAAAGGCTTTGATGTCAACCAAATGTGTGTCGCGACACTTCTTATGGAAGGCAATAAAGAGGTTTAATTGAATTATTTTTTGTTATCTATAATAATGTATTTTTCAAAATTAAATCATTTTATTTATTTTATAAGGACGTGGAAATACTTGAAACAAAAATAATAGAAATTGCGGAACAATTAGGAGGTATGTCTGCGGGAGAAGAAAATGGAAGACGTGGTTATCTTTTGACATTTGTAATCGCATACATTCGAGTTTGTATTCTTTTATTTTTGAAATTTTATCAATGATTTACATTTTTATATACTTTTGTTTACATAGGATTTAGGATTAGATTATGGAATTGTTTCGGAATCTTTCGAGACATCAGTTCCTTGGGATAGATGTCTGGATTTATGTCGAAATGTAAAAGAAAAGTTAAGAACTGAAGTAAAAAAATATATTGTTAGCAAACCGGCACTCATTACATGTCGTGTCACTCAGGTATGTCATACGTCTGTTTTTTTTTTTAATATTAAAGGTATACTTCTTATGGATAGACTTACGATGCGGGCGCTTGTGTTTACTTTTACTTCGCATTCAACTATCAGGACGGTATGATTAGTGGTGATCCGGTCAGTGTTTATGAGTCCATTGAAAATGCTGCCAGAGATGAGATTATTGCATCGGGTGGAAGGTATGTTGTCGTATATATTATTAATCGAGTTATGTATGAATTATTTTGTATATTTATAATCCATAGTATATCCCATCACCACGGATGCGGTAAAATTAGAAAACGATGGCTCGAACAGACCGTTTCTAATGTAGGTCTGGGAATGCTTAGGGCTGTTAAACAATACGTCGATCCCAATAATATCTTTGCCAACGGAAATCTAATGATCCCGTCGTCTAAATTATAATTTTTAATATTTTATTTATTTATAGTATTAAGTATATTACGGTAATTTATATAATAGTTTATTATATATATAAATATCATTTTATTGATATTATAAGTATAACTAAATTTAGTCATTTTTGTATACAAAATAGTTTTTATAAATCGATGCATTTAGTCATGCCTTTCGCCTAATTCACAGTTGAGTCTAAATTCATTTTTATTAGATTTATTACATAACAAATCAAAAATGATTAAAATTGAATAATTAGTTATGAATATAAATTTAAGTGTTTCAACACTTATTTTAATTATTAATTTAATTAACGCAGTTTTTTATCAAATTATGTCAATGTAAATGATAATAACAATTACAGAATTGAATTGAATACACTATTATTACAGTATTAACATTACATCGTTTAGTTAATAGATAGTATTAACTGTAATTTACTATCAAAACATCATTTACAATATTACTGAATATTTAAAATATTTAATTTTAATTTGATTAAACTTTATTTAAAATATGCTTATGTTTTATGTAATCAAAAAAAAAATACGAACAAATGATTAAATAATACATTGAGTTAATGTTATGACTGATTATATATTTATTATAAATTTTATAAATTAATATAAAAATGCCAAATACTCTTTTGACTACTAATTACAGTTATTATTATTATAATAGCAATTATACTGTAGTTATAGCCAATTATGACAATTGCATTGTTAAGTATATTTACAATTAATTAACTGATTTGAAATCACAATTTCAAAATATCATAAAAAATTAAAATCTTAATTTTTTAGTTAAATTTTAAACTGTGAAATGTAGGCATAAATGCATTATAAAATTTATGATTTTAAAATGAATTAATTGCTAACATTTTTTAATATAATACTACTGTATATTATGAATATTATGATGATTTTGTACTTTTAAATAGATTTCTTACAATTTAGTAAATAAAATCAATGCTTTTATATTTAGTTTAAATTATTGAATCAATTTATAAATAAAGTTAATATTGTTAATATATTATTATTAAAAAAAATGAAAAAGCTTTTGAATATTATTTAATAATTTTTAAAAATATAATTTACTTTTAACAACATTTGGTTAAAAATAAATTAATTTTAGAGATTAAGGATTTCAATATTAAGTTAAGACATTTATTTTGAAAATTTTCAAAAATGAATGCTATTTTAATAACGAACTGAAATATACTTTTTATTGAATTTTTAGAAAAAATATCACTTATTATTAAAAATTTTTTTATTCAATATCAATCAAAACTATTTATTAACTAATATAACAATCATTACTAAACATAACAATTTAAGATACAGTACTTTCGGTACGACCACTCTATAAGACATCTGATACATAACTCAAACTTAACAAAATTATATTACAGTTTTCGTTACGACTTCACAATATGCGTCCGAAACTCAACTTAAAGTACTGTATATAATAAAAAGTATATCTATTTATACAAAAAAATATATCTAAAAACATATTAAAAACTAATTGGAAAATAACTTAAACTACATATTAATTATCAAAAACTAATGTACATTAATATACAGTACAGTAGTTTATAAATGACTTAAAATATATCATTAAAATACTCTAAACTTGTAGTCAATGATAACCAATGGTTTCAAAAACAACAACAATAGATATATTTTTTACGGACAACAAATCCCAAGATTTATTGATTCATAAGTGCTCTTCACTTAACTTTGAATCGGTTGACAAACACTCAAAAGCCGTTACATTTGTGGCCAAAGAATTCAACGATAGTGTTGACACTGATTCAGAAAAGTGGTATTTAAAGAAAGTGAAGGATTTATTAGATTTGTGGTCACATAAAGCAAAACATATAATGAATTCTTCAACAATTCACGAATTATATATTCAATATCTAAATCAAAGTCAATCACTAAAAGATTTAACAAAAACAGATTATACTTACTCTAAGAGTATCAGTTATAATAAGAATATTTCAAATACTGATTGGTTGGTACCAAATATGTGCCGCAAAAGTATCTCATCTTTTGTTAAGACTTCCACCCAAATGTCTCGTACTTTGAATACAAATACGAAAACAGAAATAATTAATAATTCAATTAATAGTTCAAATGTGACACCAAATGCCGTCAAACGGGCCACCAATAAGTGTCCTTTAATTTTCCGATTTGTGGTCTTATTATTGTTTTTAACTCCTTGTATATATTTATTGAGTCATTACATATCTAGTCCACTGCCTTACAGTTCATTTGATGGACTGGTCAGTGATTATGCGGCCAAAGATGCAATCAATGCTTTGATTAAGGAAATGAAGACAATGCGTAATGATTTGAATCAATTGAGACAAACAAACAGTGATATGAATTCAAAGATGAAAAACAATGAATTTAATGAAAATGAAAAGTTTACGCATTTGAGTGAAAAAATGGATAAAATTGAAGAATATTTGAATAATTCTTTAAAGAATTGCTGTCAGAATAATACTGAATCGTTGATAGCTTTGATTGACTTACGTTTGTCTGCATTTATGTCTTCATTGTTAAGCAATAATCAAAACACACGACAATCTATGTCTCCATCAGAAGCAGTTGAAGAACTTAAAAGTTTCATAAATTTTGAATTAATGAAAACAAATGATGTTTTCAGGGAATCGATTGAACAAAAATTAATGACAACTATTGAGAAATTTGAAGAACAGATGAAAAGGGAAAGTAAATCCATAACATCTAATATAACTATTGGAAAAGTTAGGTCTTTAATAAGTGAAGCACTGGCTGTATATGACGCCGATAAGACAGGTCAACCAGATTATGCATTGGAACCGTCAGGTAATTGTGTAATAAATTATAGTTATCTTTGAATGTCATTAAATGTTATTTAAATGCTTTGAAAAGGAGGAACTATTATAAACACTCGTTGTTCAGAAACATATGATCCGCACGGAGTTGAATGTAATATCCATAAAATGAAGATATTGTCAACTATTGACAAAATTAAGTCTTTAATAAGTGAAGCACTGGATGTATATAACACCGATAAGACAGGTCAACCAGATCTACAGATTCCGTATTCACGGAAAACCAAATAATACTTTATCAGTAGTTATATAATAAGATATTTTGCAATTTTTTACTAATTAATAATTTTTATTAAATTATATTTTATATTAAACTAATATTAATGATATTTTAATATAAATATTTGTATAATTTTTATTATTAAGTTATTCTTTAAATTAAAAAATAATACGATTTTAAAGTCAAGTAAATTAAAATATGCGCCAAAAGTAATACAAATATTGAATTAAAAGCCAATAATGACGTGAAAGACATGTGCTTTTGGTTTGCATTGATATTCAATGCATTCAACGCTTGCATTGCTTTCAAGTGTTTAATAAATTATTGAATCACTTGTTATCACAAATGGACACCAATTTTGTCGAAGAATTGCTCCAAAAGGCTACTGAAGATGAAGAGAAAGCCAATCAAAGTGTTAGAGTCGACAAACCTATTGATCTATTTTACGATTTAAGACATCTTCTGGCTGTCGACACCAACCCTATTGATGCCAAAGAATTGAGGTTTGAATTTGTTGTCATCACTTAATCATTGATATTATTATTATTAACAACAGAAGTGGTAAAGAGGTTTATATGAAAAGTCTGGCGCGAGATAATTGTCAACTGATTTGCAATAAATTATGGCAATTAGAGACCAAACGAGTCGACGACACAATTGTCGCTCAATTGCCAGCCGTTGGATATCTTCTGCCAAGAAGTAAACCGATTCCCAAACCAAAGGCACCGACAAAATGGGAAACGTATGCAAAAATGAAAGGCATTCAAAATAAAAAGAAAGACAAACTGGTTTGGGATGAAGAGTCCAAACAATGGAAACCACGGTTTGGTTACAGAGGTATCAATCAGCAGAAAGATTGGGTCATTGAAGTGCCAAACAATGCAGGTATTGATGATTCATATTATCCTTTTGTTTAGTTTTTTGTATTTTAAGTTTATATTAATAATTATATCACCAAAAGATCCGAATGTGAATTACTTTGAAAAGAGAAGCGAAGATAAAAAGGAAAGGATTGCTAAAAATGAATTACAAAGACTGCGAAATATCGCGCGATCGCAGAAAGTGAAAGTTGCGGGAAATACTGGAATTGTTCCTCATATGAATCAACCACAAGAAAGTCTTAAAAGAGCATCCATTTTAGCAAAACAGTCCACTGCTTCTGTCGGAAGATTTGCTGAGAAGTTGGACAACGAAAAGGCGCCGAAGAATAGCGGCAAAAGACGTCACTTTGAACCCAATTTGGGTGATATGAGTAGAGAAAAGGATAAGAATCTTAAGATTATTGAAGATATTATGAATAAAAAGCCTAAACTTGATATCAATAAAGCAATTGAACCGATGGTTAAAGAGAGGTATGTCTTATTATATTTATTAAATAAATACATTTAAATAAAACTAAATTATTTCTAAACAGAAACACTTCAAACAAATCAAAGCCTGATTTTAAGGGAAAAAATAGACCAAAATTTGACAAAAGATCCAAAAATAGAGATAATAAACATAATAATAATAATAATAATAATAATAAACAAAATGTAAATCACGTGAAAAAGTCTAATAAATTTGGAGCAAATGGCAAACACAGGAAGAAATAGTATTATACACAATATTTAATGTGTTTTATAATAATTTTGATTAAATTAATAATAAAAATTATTTTTGAATATAAATATTTCATTAATTTTTATTATATATTACACAAAAATATATTATTTAAATATAATTAAATCTAACAAATAATATTAAAATGTTACTTATAAATATCATATAATAAAACAATTATAATATCGATAATTATTTGGTTTTTAAATAAAAAATAAATATTATTTATTTTAAATGAGTTAACAATAACTTTGTTTCGGAATTTAATAATAACAGTAAAACATAATTAACTGTTAGATTGTTTTGTAAATAGTGGTCGACTTTGTTTTCACTAATTATTTAAAAATCGCTAAAAGTCTCACTTAATGTTATCGCAAAGTTTAGGTTACTTTTGTCTGAATTTTATAGAAATAATATAAATTACATCAAAATTTTTAAAATGATAATATGGTATTGTTTTATATCTATTTTTGTTAAAATCACATAAAAGACAATACCAAACATATTTTAATTATTATAGTAATATTATAATAGGTTTTTGTTTTTATTGTAAGATTCAACCTACAGGTATGTATGAATTGATCAGTTTACTGTATTACAGGTAAATAATTTGACTAACTTTACTAAATGTTTAATAACTTTATGTGAGACTTTATAATATATTATTTAATTAAAAATATTTTGAATCAACTGATTTTTAATTTCAAAAATGATCCGATAATGAGATATATATATATATATATATATTTCATATAATAATATGGACTAGATTTTGCATAATAGTAAATATTATAAAATGATTAAATCCCTTAGTTTTAAAACATAATTAAAAAGGCACTGAAAGGCAATTTATAAGTTAATATAGTATTAAAAAAGCATTAAAATATCAATACTTTTTAAGTATATTAAAATGTAAATAATGCACATAAATATCATTATTATTAATAATGTATTAAAAAACAATTGTTTCAAAGTTATAGATAAGTGTTTTCAGAGGATGCGGCGATTTTCGGCTTATTTGGTGGCAATGGTCTCATTTGTGTGCGTGGCTTAGGCTGTATAGATTGAGTGGTTAAGGGATCGTTGGATGCTTTTATGGGTAAAGTAGTTTCACTAGTTGTGAATGTAGGTGTCGGTGGACTGGAATCAGACTTAAAATCAATCAGATGAGTGTCGTCACTACTTGACTGCGACTGAAGCTCTGGATCTATAGTTTTGTCGACTAAATTTGCAGGTGAGTGAGCTCTGGGAGGTTTTATTGGTATAATTTTAACTTTTAATTGTGAATTAACTTTGAACTTAACGTTCGTAACATTATTGTTGTCTTCAATATCAGAGGCCGAGTCGTCTACAAAAGCAATGCAATCGGTCTCTGGATCAACACTTTTGATTCTCAAAGATTCCACAGAAGAGCTGTCATTAATTTCAATATCATTTTGTTTTTCGACTTCAATATCAATCAAATCATTAAAAGGATACAATGACTTTGAAATGAACTCAATTTTAGACTCACTTTCGGCTGATTTATCTTCAAACAGTTGTTTATCACCGATAAGATTGGGTTCATTTAAACATTCAAGAGATCGTTCTTTAATTTTATTATCACATGACCTCTGAGGTCGCTCTGGTGGAGGAACTGATGGCCTTTCATGTATTGAATGCGGTCTTTCAGAGGTATTTCTTGTGGGCACAGATGGTGGCGGAACGTTAGGCTTTTCTATCACTTTATTTCTCAGTTGAATATTTGTTGAAACCTTTTTATCATTACTGACTGAGTTGTTTGTTAGTCTTTTAGTTGGTCTGTCTAAAGAAGCCGTTGAATAAATCACAGATGTATTTGAATCACAACTCTCTGCGAAACTAATTTCATTATTTATTGTATTTTCTGTTTCTGAATCAAAACTTTTTAAGGAATCTGAAGACTTGTTCCCATTAATAGAAGAAACTCTTTCAAGAGGTCTAACAGGAGGAGCGGGCGCTTGTTTTTTGTTAGATCGATGACTTTGTTGCGCTTTTGAGGAATAGTTATCTCCAAAATAAGTATTATCTCCATTCGTAAGTCTGTCTCCAGGAATGGCAAATGTGACAAAATTAAGATCTAAACAAATAAAACAAATTTATTTATTTACAGCGGTTTAGTTATGTATCATTTGATTACCTCCAGGAAAAAACCAATCACAATATTGAATTAATGCATCCAATATCAAACTGTGATGACTGGCAGCCGTCATATTTACACTAATAATCAAATATAAATTATTTAAGATAATCAATAAGATTTGCTTAAATATAAATTAAATAACTGACTCAAATTGTTGTCCATTTTGTGGCGGCCATATAAGACTGGGTGATATAGCTATAGCTAAGTTTTGCGCCGACATCTTATTTGACTCGCAATTATTGGAAATTTTTGATAAAAACTTTACTAAATATCGCAAATTATCAAAATGTGCTTTTGGTAGTCGATTGCAGACTTGCCACAGAGCTTGTAGTCGACCATCAGAGTCATTGACTCTGTTAATAATATCCAAATCAAATTATACATTCAATAATTGTATTAATTATAAATAATAATAATAATAATAATAATAATAATAATAATAATAATAATAATAATAATAATAATAATAATAATAATAATAATAATAATAGCATACTTTGCAGCATTGATCCAATCATTATAAAGACTATATGTAAGAAGTGGTTCTGGAAATTCTCTAAGATATGACTTGAGAGTACCGGCAATCGTATGGGTGTCGCGAATGTATTCTTCGAAGTCGACAAATCCGGCATCGAATCCATTCTTTAATTTTTTAACTTTGGAAGTACTGCCGGGAATGCGGAACAATCCTTCTTCAGACAAATTATTCAATAGCCATCCGACACACGTTTCGATGACAACTGAGATCTCACGCTTTGTTACGCGCAGGTGTTCGCCAAGTGCTGTACCAAACACTGGCTTTTGTGAATTATCATCTAATTGTCAAAAAAATTAATTGTCGTTAAAACTATTTATGTATTTCAAACTATATAAGTGAGACTCACTAATGACTTTTTCAATGACAGGCAAATAGATTTGCATTAATTCTTGCATTTTCTTATGATAGTTGGCTTCAATCTTAAATAAATTGAGAAATATGTGTGCATATTGTGATTCATTGCTTAATAAAGCAAACATTTCTGCCGCATAATTATCCTAAAAACAAAAACAGATTATTATTTTGTAAGAAAACATTAAAGATAATCATTACTCTGGTTTGATCCACTTTAATGCTTGAATCTTCAAGTTCTTTACGAAGAGACTCAGCTTTTTGTGCCGACGACAGGGCAGACCCGCCGGCGTATTGTTGCGACAATTTAAGTGCCGTTTGGTATTTAATTCGGTAGTTATCCATATCTGTTGTGGCTTTTGTTAAATGTTTCTTTGCTTTGTTAACAACAGGTATCTCCACTTCCATGGCTTTAGTTAATTGATTCAGACATTGCTTTTCAACATCTAATTCATAGTTCAGTAACTCTTTTGAAGCTAAACTCTGAAGTTTTGAACACTCGCTTAATGTTAACCTAAAAAACATAATTATAATAGATATTTAATTAATCCAAATAACAAAATACAATAATTTCCAATTGATTTATAATTATTCTATTAATAGCTATTAAATAATATAAAAATAATAAATAACAACAAATGAGTCATTTCTAAAAATAAATATTATTTAATACTAAAGTGAATTGAATTATTTGTATTACATTCAAACTAAATTTATTCAAACTATTGAGTTATGAAATTACTAATTAAACAAATCTTAATTTTTCAATAATATTTTTTAAATCTTCGCACTAAATAATTTTAATATTAATAAAATTTTATCAGAATTTAGAAATTATATATAAAATAATTTTTATTAAATTTTTAATTATCAATAACTATAAAAAAGAGTAAATGCTTTAAAAGGATGTATAATGTAATGAATACATACATCCTTTTGTCATTCATTAAGTCTACAAATAAAATAATTGTCTAACAATTGAAACAAAACTTTATAAAAATACAAGTATAGAGTGACTCACCCGAGGACAGAGTCAGTACCCAATTGTTCGGCCAATTCAGTGAAGCACTGGTAGAGTTGCATTTGAGGCATCTTTTTGAGGCGTTTCTCTGCAGACAACGAGTCGACACCCGTTCCCGTTGTCTGAAGACATGACGTGATTTTCTTTTCACTGTTAAGACACGTCTGTTTGATTAAGTCAACCCTTTTTTCAGCAGTTATCAGGTCTTCATTTAATACTTCACTTTTGTCTCCACTATAACAACCAAATTAATATTTTTATATACATTTAGTTATAATTAAATCTAAAATAGTATTTATTGAATTGAATGTCAGTTTCCAACTTAACAATAGAAAGGAAAAGGAAATTAAATTTATGTTTATTTATGTTTAAATTGTTTTGTCAAAAGTATTGTCATTTAAATGATAAAAATATATTTAAATATCATTTCCAACACATAATGTTAATATATAAAAAATTATATATATGATATATAAAGGAATATATATATAAACTTATATATAATAAAATACTGTATTAACTAAATTTATATTTATTTGTCCTTCAATAATTAAAAAATTAATACTAGTAATTAGATTATTTACATTTTATATAATTTTTAAAAAATGAAATTTTTCATTACTTTACTAATTATTTTTAAAACTAAAAAAATCAAAAAATATTTTGCCAAAAAGAAAAGAAAATTATATCATTAAAAAAATGATTAATCCAATCAACAACAAAATTAATACATTATAACAATAAGCACTTTTAATAGGCTTAGTATATGATTAAAAAAAAACTATGAAAGTCTCAGAAATTATTGGTTTATAAAATTGACATTAGATTTGCCGGAAATGGTATTCAAATATTTATAGGAAACTAATTGATCGCATCGTTGATAGAGCGGATCCATTGCAGACCAAGAGTTGAATAGCTCTTCTTTGAGAGTTTATGTCTAATTTTAATTATATACATAAATATTATTATATAAACTATATTTTTCAATACAGTATTAGTTTATTAAATGTTTGCAAATAAAAGTCAATAATGTGTTGGAGTTGTCGACAATTTAAGGCAAATGTTTCTCAAGTTTTTGTATTTATTATGAATTATTAAAATATTTTCATAAAGTTATAACTAATCAATTGTTTTTCATTAAATTTGGAGGCATTCAATCAATTCATCAAAATATTATATTAAAAAAATATTTAAAATCAAATGTTTGGGCAAATAGTCATCAAATGATTGATTAGATGTTTTTCATTGTAAACATTGATATGAAAGTTATGGCAAAAAATTGTTATTTATTTGAGGATCGCATTGCAGTCATTGATATAATACATGACTAATGTTTAGCTAACAAATAATTTGTTTAATCATTAACTTTGAGAGTTTAAAACCTTTTTAAAAATTATAATAAAGTAATGTTTATAAATGACAAATAAATAATGAGTTATCATTGAAATCATTAAAGCATATAAAACACATTAAATAACCAGTGATTACAACAACTTTTAAATATATTCAAAGCTATTAATCAATAAATGTTTTCAAGTTATCAAACAATCATTTTATTTATATTAATATAAAAAATATTGCCATAAAAGTTGAATTTTATGGTATAATTGAAAACACGTTCAATAAAATCAATGTTTAGTTTCAATCAAATGATTTGATAAAAATATTTTTAATGTAAACATAAAAAGACATTTAATATTAAAATACATATAACTTATTGAAAACAATTAAAGTATTTGATATTTAAATGACATTTAAAGCAAAACACTAACAAATAGCCACTAAATGATAACAAAATGATTAGTCAAATGATTGTCAAAATCATTTGGTCAGTTAAGAAGTGGTAACAAATCAATACAAACCGCGAGAGGTTTATGTGAACAAAGTCTTTGATATTTAGAAACTGTTTCTTCATTTCGATGGATCACAAGTTGAAAAATGGACACAAAGTGATGATAATTGATATAAACAGTAATGTTTTGGTCACAATTGGTGTGCCATTAGTGCACAATCACCACAAACTCATGTCTTTGATTAAGACAACAATCACAGTCACATCAATAATAGTCAGACATATTGTCAAACACAGTGTTAAAGCAATAATCAAGTCTTCAATGTATTGCACCCATAGATCTCATGTGACGTAACCAATGGTGTCATCACAACACATACCAGTCCTACACTGACTATGCAAACACCTGTACCTCTCGATACCTCCCAGTGCTCGATGAGTGGCTCATTGGCTCTAACATTGTCTGATAGCTCTTACTTTCGATGATTTACAAGAAGTGTCTAATGAGGTATCAATGATAGCAAATGTTGGCTTATATTCAACAACACGTTGTCATTACTTTCTTATTACTGGTTATTACAAAACTTATAACACTATTAATACAATAAATTTTTTATTTAAAAAAAACTTAAGTCTAAACTTAAGAAATTAATTATGTTTAATATTTTAAGCTTAGTTAACAATAATTATGATATAATTAAGTTTAATAATATAAGTTAAATATAGCCATAAATCTAAACTTAATTATGATATATCAAAATATAATTTATACCTATATTTTTGACTTATAAATAATGTTTAAATACTATGACATAAACTTATAATAAATGCAAATATGATCTCATTTACGGTAAGTGTGTGTTTAGTAGCCAATGACTCACTTTATGGTAAACTTCATATTGAGATCATATTCACAAATAAGTTTGGATTACAATTGCAATTAATAGTGTCGTGTAGTTTGTGGGACAGTTGGGTTGGTATTGCTTATCATATATTTTTGTTTAGTTATAATTATAATTATTGTTTTATCATCTGAAAAATTATATACATTATAAATCTACTGTACTTATTATAACTTTACTTTACAGTAATATGGTTTATATTTAATTTTGTATAAAAGTTGGAATTTTGTAAAATACTTTATGATAATTGTATCACAAGTGGCAAAAGTAAATTTATATTATTGTTTTACTTTTTATATTCATAAAAAATGCAGAATAACCTATAATAACCTTTTTTAAACAAATTTATAGTTAAAGCCAATTCACAAATGATTCACAATATATAATTTGATAGAAATTATTATCATTTGAAAATATCATTGATTTAATCGATTGCATAATAATATAATAATAAGGGATCGATAATAGGGAGAGGGCTGTGGGTTCACTGGTTATACAATAATTATTATTTTAATATCAATAAACTTGATCTAGCTTATTTTTATTTGTTATACTGTATTTATATAGTCAATCATTTTTGAATTATTAAATAATTAAACCAAATGTGATGAAGACATGTATGGGACAAACCATTTATAATATCTCCCAATTCGGTGATTAATGATTAACGCCCTATATTTGTCATTATTTAACTATTATTTTAATTAATATTACTAACTTGTAATACATGTATATTTTATAATTCAACATAAATGACATTTTTTACTATACAGTAAACTAATTTTTATGTCGATTAACTAACCATGATCATTTATTTAATGCTAACTTAAGATGCATTAACTCAACAAATAATTGTTTTGACACTTTTATAGCACCATTTTTAGAGTAAATGTTATATTTAAAACATAAGCCAAATCAACGATGCAATCAATCTATTTGTAACGATAATTAACATATTTGCAAACAATATATTGTATTATAATATCGGTATATCATTACATAAAAAAATAACGCTTTATTTAATGAATTTACAAAATATTAACAAAACTTTGGTTCAAAGATTTGTATACAAAGTTATCATTTCTTTGGAATAATAAAAACAAATAAAAAGATGAAAATAGATATAATTTGAATAATGAATTGTGAAGATTTGTTAAAGTGATTAAAACAATTATAAGACTTGTAAATAATTATTATAAATAATTCCGAATAGTATATCAATTTGACATTAAAAGACGTTACATATTATTGGAAATGTTTAGAAGCACTTCCTGTGGACAATGGAAGGGCCGGACTCGTCATACTCTTGCTTAGAGATCCACATCTGTTGGAATGTTGACAGTGAGGCCAGGATTGAGCCTCCGATCCAAACGGAGTATTTGCGTTCAGGCGGTGCTATAATCTTGATCTTCATAGTACTCGGTGCCAGTGCTGTGATCTCTTTCTGCATTCTGTCTGCAATTCCCGGATACATTGTAGTGCCGCCGGACAACACGGTATTGGCGTATAAATCTTTACGGATATCGACGTCACACTTCATAATAGAGTTATAAGTAGTCTCATGAATACCGCTCGACTCCATTCCCAAGAATGAAGGCTGGAATAGAGCTTCGGGACAACGGAAGCGCTCGTTTCCTATGGTAATCACCTGTCCGTCAGGCAATTCATAAGACTTTTCGAGTGATGAAGAAGAGGAAGCCGTTGCCATCTCCTGCTCGAAATCAAGAGCTACGTAACACAACTTCTCTTTAATGTCGCGAACTATTTCTCGCTCAGCAGTTGTTGTGAATGAATAGCCTCTTTCAGTCAGAATTTTCATCAGATAATCAGTTAAGTCACGACCGGCTAAATCAAGACGTAAGATGGCGTGTGGCAGTGCATAGCCTTCATAGATGGGTACAGTATGTGACACACCGTCACCGCTGTCCAGTACAATACCAGTGGTACGACCCGACGCGTACAGCGATAGTACGGCTTGAATGGCCACATACATGGCTGGAGTGTTGAACGTCTCAAACATAATTTGTGTCATCTTTTCTCTGTTTGCTTTTGGGTTAAGTGGAGCTTCAGTGAGAAGGACCGGATGTTCTTCGGGTGCGACTCTCAATTCATTATAGAAGGTGTGGTGCCATATCTTCTCCATATCGTCCCAATTGGTCACAATCCCGTGTTCAATCGGGTACTTCAATGTCAATATACCTCTCTTAGACTGGGCCTCATCGCCGACATACGAGTCCTTCTGACCCATTCCTACCATAACTCCCTATAAATGCAATTAAATATTAGTTAAAAACATTTTGCAAATCAAATTAATAATGCAATCAATTACCTGATGTCGGGGTCGGCCGACAATGGATGGGAAGACAGCTCTCGGGGCGTCATCGCCGGCGAAACCAGCCTTACACATACCCGACCCATTGTCAATCACAAGTGCTGCCACATCATCGTCACACATATTGATAGATTGGATCAGTTAAATGATATCAATAAACAATAAATTAAATAATAAATCAATTATTTATAACTCTTTTCACTTAAATGTTTGAAACGAGTGTTAACTTCAACTCAACTGTTGTTCAAATTTATACAACTTTTTACTCAAACTTATCAATACTTATCAATAGTAATGGATATCAATGACGACTCAGTCGATTGCAAAGTGGGTCACAATTTAAACACTCTTTCAATGACTAATTCAAACACAAAATGGTTATAAAAATGTAGTCTTTTTATGACGTATTTGATGGACAAGTGGTATATTATGATTGGCTGATAATAAGTGTATTCAATGGTGACGTTTAACGTTCAAACTTTATGCCCATATTTGGTAATAATTTTCTATTAAAACTTCCTCTCAATGTATTACTCATCGAAACATTCCTACCATTCCTGTCATTACAACTAATATTACGCTAAACTATACTATAGTATACTCTATGATAGCTTACGGGTAATACCATTATATAGACATACCTTTTGTCTATATGTTTATGTAATCCCCAGAAAACTAGTCTCACTATCACTGAATTAAACATAAATTAATTTCATTAAACTTTTTTTATTCACTAAAATCTTATATCAAATGCTTTTTTTGATCACAAACTCTGAATTTGGGTTTTGAAAAGTTTTTTATAACAAAGTTTTCAATCAAAACACGTTTAATACCTTATAAGTCAATGTTTGACTTCAATTAATATACAAATTGTTGTTTAAATATTTTGATTAATTAAATTAGAGGACATTTATGTTTATATTACTATAAATGGTTTCAAACTAATAATGTCTGGGCTTTTGTTGTGTTAATTAGTGTATAAATATTTTTTTCAAATTTAATTATATAATCATATCTAAAAAAATATCTACTTTATGTTGATTAATGTATTTTTAATATTTAAATTGAAGTTTATCTAAAAAATAACAATTTATTAATTATTATTATTATTAAATATGCAAATTACTGGAAAAATACAATAACATGAAAAATATTCAAACGTTGATATCTTATGTTTAGTTAATTGGTTTGCAAATTGTCGAGTAATTCATGAATTTGTCGTAAAAAGTGCTTATAATATGAAACCAATTCTTAATAAATATATATTTTTATATTTGATTTCTCAGGTATTGAAGGAATTTAATCAAAATTGACTCCAAATAAGTGCAATAATATATATTTTTTGAAATACTGTACTTATGTTATCACAATTACAAATTGCAATTATAATAAGTTAATAAATAATATGATAAATTGTTTAACAAAATGTTTGAATAAAAGTCTGCATTTAAAATCATTTTATTATTTATTAAAAATTAGATAATTTATTAACAATTTAAGAAACTGTTAATAAATGATTGATTAAATTGACAGTATTTTCATTATATAGTATTAATTTAGTATTATTGCATAAATACCTTATTAGTATAACATTATATAATACAATACATGTATTATATGATAGTATATACAGTATATTTATAAACTAAATAATTTAAATTATATTAACAAATACTGTACTTATTTGTCAATTTTTATATACAATGCAAAATCAATACTTAGTCAATGTACCAGTATTTGTATCGTAATAACCATAATTGTAATTTTAAATTTATGTATGATATCTATCTATTTGTTAACGCCTTTTAAGTTATTTTCAGTATGATTTTATTAATTAAAAATTTTTACAAAATAGTAATATATATTTGAGATTTGAAAATATTGAAAATTGGGTTAAAAGAAGATCACTAATTGAACTCATTTTTTATAAACAACTAAATTAGGCTTTAAGTGAACCGTAGTTATGAATTATGAGTTAATTTTATTTATATTTAAAAAAATACAATTGTCATTAATTTTAATGGTTTAAATGTATAATTATTGAAATGATTATGATTAGTTTATCATTTTAACTTATTGATAGAATTTTTATTTAATTAAAACAATTGCTAAATATTATTTCAATAATTTTTTATATATTTGACTGTTTTATACTATATATGGGAATAATTTTAGTTCATTAGATATGAAGTCATCAAAATTTATATTTTAAGTATTACTGCATTGTTATCACAAAAACAACTTCAATTGTAATGTAAATAAATGATAACAATAAGCCTTGTATTACATTTTATTTTAAGATAAGATATATTAAATACAGTGTAGACATAGTTTATAAATGTTAACTTTTCAATCAGTTTAAATTACATTTTAATATATTAATGAGTAGTTTAAATGATTGCATATTTCAATAAATTCATTGTTTAAAATTTAATGATTTTAAAAAATAAGCAATTGCAAATTATTAAAAATAGCTTAAAATATATTATGTATTAGCAAATAATATTTGCTAATAAAATTTTAAATATTTTATGATCAAGGAAGTTTAAAAATGTTTTTATCAATTTAAATTTTTAAATAAAAAATTGTCAGTTAATTATTTTACATAATATCACATTTAAAATATGAATATTTCAAAATATTTGAATTGTCTAAAAAATAATCAAATAGAGTATATAATTATTACTTAATGAGTTCATTGTAATTGTTATTTTCAAATTGGCATTCATATCATAGTAGACCTAAAAGTGTGCTCTAAATTAAAATTGACTTATATTACTATCAAATCTAAGTTTATTATTATATTTTTTTTATTTTAATTTATTATTTTAAAAAACAACATAAAATAGAATTTATAGATATTTTTGTGTATGACTGATAACATTAGATAAATTAATATATAGAATCTGAAAATTGTACATGCTTAAAGTTTCAAATAATTACATTTATAATTAGTTTTGTTATAATTATAAAATTTGTTTAAAAAATTGTTAAAAAATGTTTTATAAAATATTTACAATAACATTATTATTAGTTTTTTATAGAAATATAAAATGTCATCACATTATATCTAAACGATACACACTATCATAATTGTCATAAAGTTTATATCAATACTGTATAAAAATAAATTTAGTTTATAAATTATAATTGAAGTAATCATTAGTTTATATTAATATTAATAATTTTATTTATCTCATAGTTTATTACATTATACATGTATATGAAAATAAAACTTTTCAATTTGTCTCAATTAATAATAATGATATAAATTTAAATCCAATTAATAACATTGACTTTTATTTGATCGTCAATTTTGAAAAATTATCGGTATTTTGTTATAATTGAATAAAAACTGATTTATTTATATTATGATTAAATATATATTATATATTTAAAGTTTATAAATAGATATAATATATCCTAATCTATGTTCAAAATTAAGCAAACTTTCACACATATAAATCCAATCCATTAATAATAATATTAATTATTTGAAAATATTTTGTACAAAATTTGATTGAATTGTTAGTCAATGCGAGACATCTATGAATTGAAAGCAACACTTAAATAACAAACAGTGACTAACAGTGACTGCGCTTTACTATTGAGTGATAAGACTTGAATTGCAGACAACTATTAGTTTACTTAAAGATTACAACAATTAATAAAATATTTATATAATTATTGTATTGATTTGAAGTTCAATTCACGCATTAATAATAATTAATGATTTGATTTGATTTGAATTAATTTATTGAATTGTTTAACATATTGTGGTGTCTTTTGTCCCACATTTAAGTCTTGATTTTAATTGCAAATTCATTACATTTGTTGATAATTGTGAAGTGATTTTAATCATACATTTGGTTGAATTTGATGGCAAATATTGTGTCCACAAAATAGTTTAACATTTAGTTTGAATCACTATTTGATATATAGTTTGGGAATTGAATCGATTGGACGATGACTTTAACCAATATATCGAGGTTTGTCTTGTTTTTCAAATCAATTGATCCATTTATATGACTGTTTATACGGACAGAAAGCGTGAAAGAAGTCATGAAGACTACAACGACTACATTCCGGTCACTAAACGTATGAATAACTTACACATTGATGTCGTGTCTGACGGGTTTGTAATTCAAATGATTGATTACATCAAAAATTGGTTGATTTCAATGCTATTTATTTTATTATCAATAATTAGTGCCAACAACTTGTCTGATGCTTTAAATTGTTATCACATGACGGGATCAGATGCTATAAATTCAATACAAACTAACAATCACTGCCAGCAACCACACCACCGACAATGTCTCGGTCATAGTACGGGTGTTAATGACGGACATATCTATGTAGACAATTGTGTCGCCTATTATTGCACCACTTATTCACCAGAATTGGACTTAAATTCAAATCCAATATATTATGAGTCAAATCGTATACTATTTGAGGCACATCTTCATCGTCTTCAACGAATGTCAAACATTAGGAAATCTTAAGATATTTGAATAATTGTTAAGACATTAAAAGTGTTTTATTTTTTCTGGTTATTTATTTTTCTAAATGTCAAAACAATTATTTCAAAATATAGACAAATGTTTTTAAGTGCTTTGTTTAAGGTATATAAAAATGTTAGCAAATTAACGATTCATTGTATTAAAACTTTAATTGAATGACTAATCGATAAACAAAACAAATGAATAATTTGTAAATAAATCTTAAATATCGATAAATATTATAATTGATGTCATGTTTTTAAGAATTAGATCTTTGTTTTCGTGAGCGATAACAGGCGTGACATAAAACCTGATGCCTTGTCATAGTCTCGCCATTAGGACTGACTATTTTGATGACCTCATGTTGCCATTGGGCGCCTTTTTGAGAGACCGGTGCCGGACTTTTAGCACCGCATTGGGCACAGTTGGCACACAAAAGGCAAACCCAACGGCCGTGCGGTATAGTCTTGAGTCCGACACAAAAGGTATGGTATCCGCGGTCGCATTTGTCGCAAAACATCATACGGTCCTCATCGTGAGGTTGTCCACAATGGACACACGTTTTACAGTCCATACACTGCCACGGATATAGACGTATGGCACCAATCATTTCATCGGTAAATTCAAGACACGATGGGTGACCACTATTATCACAATCTGAACAATGAAGAAGTTCCTGATTTTTCATTGTTTTGCACACTTTGCAGACAGCGTTCACTTTGGTATCTCTTTGTCGCTCCAATTGCGGAGGACTACAGTCATCGCTATCGGAACTATCGTCGTCCACATCTTCATGTCCGTCACGACCACTACAACGACTACAAGAGCTTTCGTCGTCGGAACCAATGTCTGAACCAATTTCCGATTCAGAATTGCTGGCTGTGCCCGTCTGAAGAAGTGGTGGCAAAGTGTTGGCATCACTGATGGGTCCATAGAGTACGGTATTCAACGGAAAATACTTCAATTCTTGTGATGAATACTTGAGATACCAATCCTGATAGTGATTGTGGAAGAGTGCGACCGGATATCTACCGATTCGTCTAGTGTTTCGTCGGAGACTCTTATTGTTGAGACCCAACCCTAACGGTTGGTTAATAGTATAGGTCTGCAAATCGATGCAAACTTTTCTGTCTTCTCTTCGCTCGGCATTTAATTGTCGGTTATATTCAGTCACAGACTTCATAGCCTTCTTCAGCCACTGTTCTGCCATTTTGGTCACTAATACACACAAAACACTATATATAGACACAAATTACGTCAAACAATACAAACTTTATTGACAAATATAATTCATTTATTAATAAAAAATAAATAGTTTTATATAAATTAAATAAACTTTTAATTATTTATTTATTTATTTATTATCGTTAGTCTTCATCACTGGAACTATCATCCGGTTCGTCGTCCAACTCTTGCATTGGAAATCTAAGAATAGCTGCCACTCCTGTCAACTGATCCAACTCTAAATATATTGTATTTATAATAAAATGATTGTAACATTCAATTACAGTATATTGTAATCATTAAAGAAATGGTAAGTCACTTACGTTCACCAGATATATGCAAACTTGAGAAAAGTCTAACTTCTCCGCCATTATCTTTCACACTATCAACTAATAACACGAATCGCTTCCGATCGGCAATATTTGAACATCTTTTATATAATACAATAAACAAATTACCGACAAATAACAACACAATAAAATAATTAATAATATGTACCTAAAAAGTTTGTCTGAAATAAGTAGTGTTTCAATTGCCTGACATTCGTTAGCTTTTTCCACATGTTTTATACCATAAAAGGCTTTTGACGGTTCATTTTGAAGTGTTGTGTAAAATGTCTGCAATGTCTTCACCTCAGAAGCAGCCTTAGTGTCGGCCAAACGCGACTGAAGAAGAGGATCTGAAAGTACTTCTGTATGAATAAAACAAACAATTGTTACAATAATTGTTGTCAATGTGTTTCCAAATATCTAAACCTTTAAGAGAATGCTTAAAACCAGATGAAGAGTGGCATAAAACAAACTTATTCTTGTTTTCCAATAAGACTTTAATATCATTTTTGACGGCCATTTGACACATATATTCAAAGAACTGGTCCTTAACAAAGCCAGGACTCGCCAAAAGTATACACTTAACGACTAAATTATATTAAACATTAAAAACAATATACGGATTGTAAAACCAATTTTTGAACTCACTTTCAAAATTCATGTGTCTTAGCAATCCTTGACTGATGGCCTCAAAGAACTTCTGAAGACCTTTTTCGTGTTGAGCACAAAAAGATTTTCGCTTTCGAGGAATATTAACGTCAATCTTAGCCCTGATTAATGTCATACTGGGTGTCACTAAACAGATATGTGCTAATCCCGGTTGCATTATAACAGCTCCCAAATCAGCACTTTGTGTCGGATCACAGGCCAGTTCCAGTCTGTCCAATGCTATACTATCCCAATAGGCTTTAGACAATGTAAACTTACGGTTCAATTCAATGTCCAATGTATGGTATTGACCCATCTTTACGTATTGATTCTCAACAATATTTTTGCCTTTAACTCTAATAACAGATCCTTGAGTGTCGTATTCAACCGATTCAATACATATTGTTAATGTTGTCCGAACTCTATTACTTCCAGTGGTTCCGGTTGCCGACTCTATCGTCACTTTCCTAAAAGTAGTTGCCTTCAAATTGTCTCCTTCTTGGATCAGATTATATATATGCCACATGTCTTCGTTGTCATCGGGAATGAGGACAACTCTCCTGAAGAGTTGACCATTTAATTATTGATTCAAATTTCAATAAAAATTATAATCAATGTATTGATGTCATACCCACTGCACTCTTTGGTCATGTATTTGGACAACAATTTCATTATAACCGATGATGTCTTCAAATGTCTTCAAATGACGCAAAATATACAAAACATATGCAAAACATTTAGTATTTCACAGTCAATGCCAATGTCAGGGACTGTCTCTTAATTGTGTTCACACTATTGGCGCTTATTTTTAAAATCATTTAAATATATTATTATTATTATGTCATTGATTTAATTATCATAATTTTCATTCAAGCATTTATCACAAAAAATGTTAATTTTATGAATTTAAATAAATTAATAAAATGTTTATATAATTTAGGTATCACTGTATTGTATGGTAAGTGCAATGCATTACATATTAAATACCCTATTATTGTTGATATACTGTAAAGTACTGTACATTACTATACAGTATAATAGTGTTGTGTTATTCATAGCATTTCATTGCGTAATGTAATCGTTGAGTGACTTATAATAAACAAAGAGTTTTATAGTTTTGTTTGACTTTTAATTGTTTTTTAAACACTTTATTTAATTTTGAATATCATTTGATAACTAATATAACAAATCAATTGCTTATTAAAAGACTATTGTCTATAGATATGGGAGTCGTGTTTGAGATGAAAAGTTGCGAAAATCAACAAACGGTGTCATTTGAAAGTCCGATCGGAACTATTAAAGTGACTCTTTGTTTGTTTGGTTTGCATCGACTATCACTTGTCGATCATTTAGTTATTCCCAACAAACAAATAAAAGTTAAACTAATGGCAAAAGATGTCATAACAGATGAGTTGATCGATAAACTCAATGAATGGTTGTCCGCATATTTTGAATGTCGTGACCAACAGTTGGATACAAAACAGCTGACATTGTGTCCAATATTCACTAGTAGTACCCGTAAGACCCGTAACCGACTTTATGACTACTTATTTTAATATTAAAAATATTTTTAAAGCCGAGTTTTATCGTAAAGTTTGGTTACTGCTCAAGAATAACGTGAAATTTGGTCAAACAATTAGTTACAGTGATTTGGCCGCCGAAACGGGAAGTCCGGGAGCCAGTCGTGCCGTTGGATCGGCTATGAAGTCCAATCCAATACCTCTTGTAGTTCCCTGTCATCGAGTCATTAGGAAAGACGGATCATTTGGTCACTATTCCGCCGGTTCGGGACATGCATTGAAAGAGTGGCTCTTAAATCATGAGATGAATACTTCAAACAATTAGTCATAATTTAGATATTAATTTTGTTTGCTTTCATTTTATCATTTTATTCAGTGAATGTTTTTTTTATATAATCAATAATTGTATGTAATTTTAGTATAAATAATATGTTAATTATTGTGATTTATATATTTATAACTTTTTACTGTATCATATTGAATGTACAGTATGTAAATTTGGTGTTTTATATTTATATATATATATATATATGTATAAGTGATATATATTTAAATAAATAATTTCAAATATAAAATATATTTAAATTTAAAAATATTAGCATGGTCAATCTGTAATATCATGTTAGTATAATTTGAATGTATATTTTTATATACTGTATAATTTTTATGTCATTGTATTGCATTGTTAGTCAACATATGTCAATCACGTGACTAACACATGTTATTGTGTTTATAATTTTTTGAATAACACATACAAACATCAAACTACTATTAATTATATAAATTCAATGTTTAGCTATTGATATAAACAATTGTCACCATAAAGATCATGTTATCTTTGAAAAATGAGTCTCAAAAAAATATTATCACTGAAAAAATATCCATTTATTCAACAAATAAACGGATCAAATGTATTGACTCCTCTTTCACAACAAATTAAACAAAACATTGCAATTGAATGGTTTGTATTTTAATTGAAATAATATTAATATATATTTTAAATATAATTTATGCTAATTATTGATAGGATTAAAAACATCAGTCGTTTACCATCTGTTGAGATATTTGTCACACCTTTTAACTCATACACTGAACCCATAGTCAACACTCACACCAATTCATTGAAAGGTTTTACTATTTGTGATATAATATTAATTAAAATAAAATTCAAACATTAATATTATATTTATTTAATTACTTTCTTTAATTTATACTTAATTTAAAAAAAAAAATATTTCTTTTATATTTCAAAAAATAAAAGCAATTTTAGATAATTATAGTAAACATTACAGAGTTTGGAGTGAAGGCAGCACTCAATCAATTGGTGTAATTCAACAGTTTGTTTGTTGTAATGATAATCATTTAAATTCATTTATGTAAGACTGATATCTTATAAAATATATTAATTATAATTTATATTAATAATTATTATATTTTATAGTAATACAAACACAAATGTTTGTTTAGGATTTGCACTTTTTTGTCAAAAACATGAAAGCCTTTATTGGTTTCAAAAACTTCAGGGAAATCAATATCAATGGTTTAGAAATGTTTGTATTAAATATTATTAATTTAAATTTAATAAACATGTTTTATTAAAATTACAATTTTATTAAATTTTTTATAGTTATCGAAATTTCCTTTAAAATCAAAATTTTGTTGTGAACTTCAAGAAAGTGATAGCAAATGGGTTTTAAATTATAAAACACAAGACATGAATTTGCAATTGCTATCAATGAAGTACTTTAGTAATTCATCGGTTGAAACAACTCTAGGACTTACCGATTGTCACGTTATTTCATGTAATGTCTATTTGGATAATACTTTGTTATCAATTATTAGCGATTCATATACCGATAAAGTTTACAAAACTGGTAAACCAAAGAAAGTAAATAACATAATATGATATATCATTTATAATAGACATGTAATTAAAATTTTCAATACACTAGAAAATGAAATTTGATACATCATTGGCACCGTTTAAAGTTGGGTTTACTTTTAGAGATAGTGTTAAACAAAACGGCATACTTAAAGATTTAGCAGAATATCTCATTGAATCACTTAAATTGTTTAATATATCAATCCTACCATTTACACCAAATAAGTTAATTTCAATTGAAAGGTGAGTTATTATAATATATTTTTATTTTAAATTATTATTAATTTCAATTAGACTATAATTTAATGTTTTTAAATTTTAAAAAATAAGTTGTGATGAATTGGGAATTCCCTACACTGTTATTCTCGACGATGAAAGCATTGAAAAAGGTGTGGTTGGCCTCAGAAATAGAGACACAGACACTGAGGTTTGGCTTTTTATTTTACCGTACATTTCAAATGTAGTTTTTTATTATATGATATGATATTTTAACATAAGTTATGATAAAAATATAATTATTATTAGGAAAGCGTTCACATATCACGATTTCAACAGACATTATGTCTATATCTTAATGTCATTCATCCGTCAAGTATTCGTAATAAATATTAACTAATTTATATAGAATTAAATAGTATTTTAAGGTTTATATAAAAATAATTTTTATATTTAATAAAATTTATAAAAAAAAATTAAATAAATAAATTATGTGCACATTAAGATTACTTAGTTATTGTTTGAGTCTCAAATTGATATTTATATATTTGATTTATACTATAAGTGATTTAATGATATTTTATGTTTATATAAGATTGAATTAGTATTGAACACAAATGGTTGGATCATTGGGAAGACCACAACCAATGATTCGTGAATCAAATGCCAATTTAACGGGACATTCAAATGATTGTAACGTAAATTTGTTTATATGTTTGTCCCAAAAGCACTCGTAGTATTTGTTGCAATCAAACGGGTGTTGAAAAAGTCCGGCCCGAGTGCAGGCAGACTCTGGAATAGATGCGTCCGTTAGATTCCGGAGACCGGGATATGTATTGGTTATTGTTTGTATATTTTGGACTTTTGTGGGCAATGTTGTGATCATTGGTTTTTCACGACTTTGATTGCTATCATTGGTCACAACAGAACCAATTTCTGGTTCGTCTTCATATTCAATATCTTTGTTGACATTATTTTCCACTTTAGTCTCAATTGGTTCTATAAAAAGTATATAATTTAATTAGTTTTTATGACATAAGAGTTGTTTTAAATGATATGAATACCTTCAACAATGGGTTGAATTGGTTGTATAGTTTCGTAGTGATAGACTTCGGTTATCATTTGGGGTTTCACTTTGTTTCGCTCTTCGTTTACTTTAATGACTGGTTTGACACCATTTCTAAAGCCATATCTGGTATCGTGTGATTCAACCATTTTATTAACATTTGTATAATGAGTTTGTTTGATATCTTCTTTATTATCATCTAAATAGACAACTTTAACATCAGTTTGTCCCGAGATATCGATTTGATGAGTGGGTTGTTTCCTATTGATAGGTACTTCGGGAACATTTTGATCATTTCCTCCGTTAACAATATACACCTGTATTTGTGGTTTTTCTTCTTGAGATTTAAATCTTTGTATTTCAATAGGATTTTCGGTTGGAATATCAAACTTAATGTCTTCAGTTGTTTTCGGCCTTTTTGTTGTTGTTGTTGTTGTCGTCGTTGTGGTTGTTCTTCTTGCAAATGATGGTCGTCTCGCTCTTACAGTTGATCTGATAGTTGGTGGTAAAGGTGTTGTAGTAGTTATAGTTGTGCCCTGACTTTCTGTTGTACTTAATTTAGTTGTTGCTGTTGTTGTTGTTGTTGTTTCAGTAGATGCAGAAGTTTGCTCTTTAGTTAGTTTATTGCTTTCATAAAAATCATACCAATTATTTGCTGTCAAGTTTGGTGTTTCGAGTTGTGATTGATATGTGTTTAATGGTTGTTGAATATTATTAGTCGGGAATCCATAACCAGATTGTAACGGATAATATGGATTAAATTGTATTTGAGGATATTGTGGTACCGGAGGTGGGTATAAGTTTACTGGTGCTGGATATGCGGGAACAACTTGTTGATACCACGGCAATGAATTTTGAGGCCAAGACATGCCATTTGTGTGATTACTGATTGGATAGAGAGGAATGTGCTCTAAAATGACCGAAGATTGTGATGTAGTCGACATCGGAGTTGTTGTTTCGGGAGTTTCCGTTGAACTAATAGTTGGTTGACTCCATTGATTTTGTGCAATTAATTTCTGAATTGAGTCATAAATAGATGCTTGAAGTGGTAATTTTGAGTAATCTAATCCATGCATTGGGAAGATATGCTCGGCTCCGGATGATGTCTCATATGTTACTGGTTTTACTGGTGATGCTGTTGTCGAGTCTTGTTTTGAGAATTGATTTAAATTATCATTATTGATGACCTGATAGGTCGGTAAATTGGGATAAACTGGTTGCGAATATGGAGAAGACTGAAGCCATTCGTTCTTTACTTTCTGAACAATTGATTGAAAGATCTCAGACTTGGGTCGAGGAATCTCAAACTTGATGACAACCGGTGGTTGGGTTACGTTAAACGATACCATATTAGGAATCGATTCATATAATACTGGTTTAGGTGTAGTTTGGCTTTTAGGTACCAAAGCTACCAATGTTTTAGAGGTTTCGGTTTCCAAGTTATAGAGCTTTCCATCAGTTTTCTTAAATATCTCATGAATTGGTTTTGATTTATCTGTATTGTTAAGAATGTTGTGCTCATTGTTAAGCATAAGCATAATATATTCTTCATTTAATTGTGGGCTTTCTGTAGACACTGAAGAAGGAGCTGTAAATATAACTCGAGGTCTGGCCGTTGTTTTCTCTATGTCTGACACAAAACTTGGGAATAAATTTGGATATTCTTTAGTAATTTGATCAATATTTGAGTGCTTGTGATCATTGGAGTAATCATCAGAAACGGGAACTATTAATAGTTGTGATTTTTCCTGTTGTTTGTAATTATTAACTAAATCTTCGTGTAATTTAACTTTATTTTTATTTCTGATTTCTTGAGCAGAATTTGATTTTATAATAGGTTTTACTTTATTGTGATTTAATCGTTGATTTGTTGGATAACGACTGGCATATTGTTCATTAATAGAGGCCGAAGTGTCCAATTGATCCTTTGTTTTCTTGTTATTATTTTGTGAATATTCTTTAACTTTTTGTTTTTGATTTATAACTCTATTTCTTTCAATTGGTTTTGGCATTTCATTTGCAACAAAAGTTTTTTGGCGATTTGACACAACAATTGGTTGGCTAATTGGTTGACTGTCCTTTGATGAATGGCTTCTAATTTTTGTTGATTCAAAATCGGGAATAACAGGCAAATTAGGTATGGGTTGTGAATTGATGTCTAATTCATGAGTTTGTGGGAATCTAATAGAGTGCGGTTCCACACCTGATGATGGTTTGTCAGTAAATCTAATAGTTTGTTGCACTGGTTTTACTGGTCGTTGATTTGTTTTTGATATTATTTGTGATTTTATTTGCGGGATATTATGTTGAATAGGTTGCTGTTGTTGATGAATGTGTTGCTGTTGTTGATGAATGTGTTGCTGTTGTTGATGAATGGGTTGTTGTTGTTGATGAATGTGTTGTTGTTGATGATGGATGGGTTGTCGTTGTTGTTGATGAATAGGTTCTGACATTTGAATGGTTTGTTTTAAGTCATTATTATCAGACATTTGATGAAATGGTTTTTTACTATTTTTGATTTGTTGTGATTCTTGTATATAATCATTTTGTGGATTTATATTTGGTCTATTAATTTGAATGGGTTTTTGTAAAACTTGTTTAGGCAATGATTGTATTGGTATTGATGGCTGTAGTTGTTGTTTCTGATGAATATTATGAATATGTTGTTCATTTGGTACTCTATTTTTTGGTAAAATTTCCGGTATTTTATAAGATTCTGCAGAGAATTTAAGCCATTCTTGCATTTCGATGTTATCCTTATTTTTGTTAAACTCATCTAAATTAGGATTTTTTTTGTTTAAATTAGGTTTTTGAGTGATTGTAAGTTTTTGGTCTTTATTGGTATTAACTTTGATCTCTTTATTAGGATTGTTAGCGAAGTGAATGGTATGGATCTGACTCTTTGAGTCGCTTTCAGAAAGAGAGTACTTGAATGAGTCTAATAGTTTAGAGTCGATATTATGAAAACTAATTTGTCCGTTGTTTTGGTGATCTATTATTTGTTTATTTCTTTCATTTAAATTAGTAGTATATTGTTTTTGTTTGATATCCTTATTTTGATCGATGGGTTGTTTTATTTTATCTAAATTTAACATTTGAGGTGATATATGAAGAATTTCTTGATGACTGCTAATTCCTGACAAATGTTTTGCGAGATTTGCTTTATTATTGTTATTATTATTATTATATTTGTTTGATAGAGGAATTGATGGCAAATTAGATGGTTTCATATAAGGAGGTATTTCAATATTTTCTAGTGTTTCGATGACTACTGGAGTGTCACCGATTGGGAAATGAAATGATGACTTAATTGGAGAGTTGTTAGCATTTAATATACTCTCGGGTTTTCGCAACCCTTTAATTGGCAACTCTTTAGTTATATGTCTGATAGCATTTGATGGCATTCCAAGAGGTTCTCTTGATTTTTCTCTATTCTTATTTTTATTACTTCTCAGAGGAATTATATCATGAAGTTTTTGGACAGTTTTGGTAATACTTGATAAGTGAAATAAATCACTGGGATCTTGAAATGGTAACTGATTCGATGGTTTCCTATTTTTTGCATGAATTGAACCTAATTGTGTCATTTGTGACTGTCCTCTCATTTTATTTCTGTAAGCATCTGGTCTTATCTCAAGAATCGGAATACTAACTAATGGGTCGCCGATGAATGGCATTTGAGGTTTTGGTAATATATTTTTATTTTTGTCATTTGAGTCACGATTTGGTCGCTTTCTGTGAAGTTTTGGTATATAATCGTTGACTCGAGAGAACCAACCATTTGGTGTCTCATCATTTCTGGACTGAATTTTGGTCTTAAACCACATCGACTTAAATCTATTACTCAAATCTCCGATTAATTTAGTCATATATATTGAAATCTTCTTAAATCTCGAACCACTAGTTTTATCTGTGTTTTGATTTTGGACCGGAAGTTCACTCATTATAGGATACGCAGAGTCGACGTCAATATAATCAGATCTTTCTTGAAATTTATCATTAGATTCATCTATTGAATCTATATTTCCAATATTTTGATTGAGTAATTCCGGTAAATCTTTGATGACTTGATCTTCAGGATCAATAGGGCCACAACCCCTGACCAGCCATTTCCAGTTACATAATAGCTTTTCTTCATCAAATCCAAGATTAAATGGACATTTCATTTGATAGGGTTGTAAATACATTTTCCCGAAATTAGAGCAGTAAAAGAAGTTTTCGCAATCTTCCGGGTCTTGAAAGTAACCATAACTGGGACATACAAATCTCTTTTTTGGAGTCGTTATGATTTCTCCCGAACCAAGACATGGTGGTGACCAAGACGGCCAAT